TAATAATAATAATAATAATAATTTAATTAAATTTAATAATTTAATTTATAAATATAAATTAATATATAATAAAGTTTTATTATAAAATAAAATAATTAAAATAATAATTTATTAAATATACTTTTTTCTCTTTAATATTAAATTAAAAATAAAACTTTCTAATTAATAATATTAAAATTTTAAAATTATTTTAGAAAATAAATTTAAAATTAGATAAAATATTTATTTAATTTATATTATTAATAAAATAAAGTTTTAAAAATTTTTATCTTAAAAATTTTATTATTATTAATTATTATTTTTTTTTAAATTTATTATATATATATATATATATATATATATATATCATTTTTAATATTATTTTATTTTTTAAGTTTATTTTTAAATATTAAAATTATTAAAAAAAATTTAAAATTTTAATATAATTATTTTTTTAACTATTATATTTTTTATTAATTAATTTTATTTTTTATTTATTTTATTTATTTTATAAAACTTTTATTAAGTTAAATATATATAATTATAATTTTTATAATATATTTATATAAATATTATTTAGCTAATTAATTAATTAATTAATTATATAATATTTTATAATAAAAATTTTATTATATATTTATCTAATTTTATAAATTAAAGTTAATTTAAAATATAAAATATTATTAATTTAATTTTTTTATAATAATTGATAGTATTTTTATATATTAAAGTGAATATATTAATTAAAAATTATATTATAATATTTAATAATATGTTCAATTTTAAAATAATAATAAAAAAACTCATATATACTTAACTATAAATTAATTACTTATATTTAAATTAATATTAATAAATATAAATAAGATTAAAATTTATAAACTAATTAATAGACTTTTTAAATATTTTAATTAATAATAAATTAATAAACTATAAAAATTAATAAATAATAATTTATAAATTTTAAAAATTTATCATTAATATTTTATCTTTATTATTGAATATATAGATCACTAAGTTAAAAAAAAATATAACTATTAATAGTTATATTTAACATCTTTAATCTATATTTATATAGTCTGAATATTACATATCATTTGATTGAATATATTGCAAAAAGTGAAAGAAGCATGTTGTCATATATCTGAGATAAAAGCAAGTATATGAAGAATCTAAAAGACTAATCTATTTAAAGATTAAATTCAAATTTTGTTATTGATAGCTCAAATTCCTGTGCTTGTGAATTGACTTTTTGATTGTTAAGTTAATGATGATTAACTTTCTAGCTCTACATAATAGATTACTTTTACTGAAACTTAAAGACCTTGAGAATTACTGAATTCCTAGGGATATTTTTTAGAATGTCACATACCTCTCAAAGGATGCAGATATCAGTGATACTCTTGCTTTCCATGATAGCTAAGATTGATTTGACTGTGTCTTCCATGTAGCAGACAGCATTGACCACCATGAAAGCTGTTACGTGCCATTTCTTTGAACACAGCCGCTGTGAGAGTCTCATTGTGTACTCTCTGAATGATCTCCACCAGAGTAATATTCTTGTTGACAATGAGTGGAACACCAAACGCATTAGTGACCTGGAGTGGGAATGCTCAAGATAAGTTAAAATGCTGCATCTGATGCACTGGCCAGCAGGTCAGGCCGTGGACAAAATTAATGTCAACAAATGAATATGGTTATTTTCTTATATTGTTATGAATAACTTTGAGCAGGAAGAAAACAAACATTGAACAATTTTCATTTCCTGCCATCATGAATCAAGAATTGAAGACTAAAATGTTCTGGTATTCACTATAGTTAGCTCTGAAAAATGAGCCCCACAGAGCTGTTTTCCTATTAGTTATTAGTTTACGATTGTAAGGGAAATAGTAGTTAACTATAACATAGTGGAACCCTAACTTGCAAAATAAGAGGGAGAATTAACAAAATGAACAACCAATCAAGCTTGAATTGTAGTTAAGCTTTTTCTTCCTATCAGTATTTTTACCTGTATTTTGGACAAATTATCTGGTAGCCTTCAGTATTGATTCTACTCCCATATAGGTCAGCATTCATGTGGAAAGCTGAATCTCAGCTTTGATGGTATTCAAATTCGCCACATTGGATTTGCCCGTAACTAATAGTTAATGATCACATCCAGCAGAATTTTGCCGACTAGCCTCCATAAGAAGCGGCTTCTTCTCCTGAATTATAATGAAATATTGGACAATTGGTATGGAAACTTTTATAGCAAAGAAACTGGAGGACAAAGTTACCTCTTTATGATAGGAAACTTCAAGAAGAGTTTGGTGTGTAATCTGCTACCTGTCGAGTTGCTATGCTGTGTCTGGCTCTGTTGACATCCTGTTAAGGGAATTCTTCAACCATCGACAGGATCTCACGTCCCTCTCTCGCTACTCTGTTCACCTCTGGATGGGTTTTAGCGGCTATCACAGATGTTGTGAGTTTGCTAAAGAGATGTTCTGTCTAGCATATTATCTTCAAAGATCTCCCTTCGGAGGACGATGTTGACTCTCGATTCGTTGTTCTTGCTGTGGCTGTGTTGAAGACCTGTGGAGATAGTTCTTCTATCGCTGAAAAGCCGATGTGTTCCCCCTAACTGCCCTGCTTTTTTCTGATGATGTTTCGAGGCTCCTGCGGAGAACGTAAGCTTCTCTTCGTCTTTTCCACACACCACGAATGCGTCTTCCAATACCCTGTCAACTTCATGGGAGTGTCGAGAAGTCTTGTTCATGGAATTGTGATGGATATAGTTATTGTTTAACTTTTCAATATCATTTGATAACTACATGGTAGTTACCTCACAAAGTTGTGAGATAAATGTCTTCACAAGAATCATTTCATCATCACTCTTAGATCACTTCTTCTATACTGCAAAAAGTAATATATGTTTTAATATTTCAGAGATATATAAATGTGCTGTCATCTTCAGTTATCAATGCAGCTTTTGACTCTTATTTGCTTCAATTCTTTGCTCTCTTATAACTAACTACTCAAGCAGTCATCACAATTTTAACTAAGAAGAATCACATGCAGATAGCAAACCAGCATCAACACACAAAGATGCATTGGTTCAGATTGAGCAGACCATATCTCTTCTCTCATACCAAAGATCAGAAGTTCAACACTGGGTGAGATGAGATTAGGAGCTTCTTTGATTAATTTGAAACAAGAACTTCCAATACGGTCAGTGAGTAGTTATTCATGCGGCAACGATAAGGCTGATTGCATGCTGAATCAGAAAATAATTTACATGGACAAAATTAAGCAATAATTAACTGTAGTTACATGTATCAATACATCTTCCTGTTCTTAGATTCTTTCTCCATGATGTTTACAATTTTCTAGTCGTCTCTCTTATTCCTCTGTCCTTGGATTTTCCTAGTTTTTGCTGCAGATGTGTACAGCATCTACATTATTAACTATGTATATTAACTCTCCTTGTTTGTCATTATTGTAGTGTGACATTCCTTCAGATGGACTGTTAACTAATAGTGCATCCCCTCTTTGCACACAACCATCATGGCAATAAAATTAGCTGTCGGGGCTACCCAGAACAAGTGCGTATTGAGTATTTGTTCACTTGTCTTTACCTGTGTTCTTGCTTTACTTTCCCCGCTTTTCTCGTATTTTCTAAAAGTCTTCTTTGTTGCTGCAAGAGTGTTTAGTAAATTTCAGGCATAAATGCATGCAAGTGTCGCATACACAACAAGCGGCTCAAGGCATAAGTATGGCACCTCAATGTTCTGCAAGCATATGTCATTCAAAATGCCCATGTATGGTCCATCTGGAACCGATGCAAGGGAACCGAGGCATGAAGAATTTGAACAAAATATGGGGAGCTAATGAAATAATATAACTTGACGTCTAGGTATGCGTACGTGCACGCGCATACGCATACAAGCGGGAAGCGACGGCGCTGGATGATGAAAAGCTCACCGCTCCAGTAAACTTTGTGAGACGTGCCTTTCTTTGTTATTCCCTTTGATTATCAATGCCTTCGGTGAAATATATAAGGGCAAAAGTCGGTGGAGAGTCCACCATTTCCATTTTCCTCATAGGAAATGGAATCTTAGAGAGGAAAGCAAGGCAAAGCAGGCAGACAGGCTGCGAAATGTGGATTGGAGTGGTATGCCGGGTGAAAATTGCGTTGGCCTTTGAAAGGATTGTGATTGCATCTGCAATTGAAAGAGAAGTTTGTCGAAGACAAATGAATGGTTGCCTTCTTTTCAAACCACGACACTCGAGCCCTGATATCGTGGTTGTTATGATGGTTGAAACATGTTAACTAACTTTAGAACATGTTGTCGAAGCTTATTTCTACCTTTTCCTTTGAACTTGGCTTCTGACTACTCTAAATTGAACTTGCGAGGGGTGGGTCTTTATCCAGTTTAAGAGGAGAATAGATGATTGATATAGTTAACTAATGTAATTCCTAAGTGATGAACAATCAATTTAAAATATTTTCAATCATCTAACTCATCTAATTTCAATACACTCTTTACACCATCAATTCACAGTAAAAATGAAAGAAAACTCTATAGAAATAGAGAGAAGAATTAAACTTGTAATATTTAATATTAAAAAGCAAGAAATATTTTTAATATATTATATTATATACTAAGTTATAAATTTAAATAATTAAAGTTTTTCTTAAAAAAATTATATATAAATTAAATTAAATTTATTAATTTAATTAATTTTAGACTTAGTTAAATATAAATTATTTTTAAAATTAAAATTTTATCATTATTTATTATTTAATATTTATTTAGTAATATTTTACTATTTTTTAACTTTTTTAATAATTTTTAAAAATATATAAAAGTTAAAATTATATTATATTTAAATTTATAATAAATTTATTAAAAAAATTTAAAATTAATTTAAAATTTATAATATATAATTAAATATAAAATTTAAAACTTAAATAAAATAAATTTTATAATTAATAAATTTTTTGTAATTTAAAATTTGATAATTAAATAATTATAGTTAAAGTTATTAATAATTTTAATTTTATTTTAATATTATTGATAATTTTTTAATAATTTTAAAATATAAAATAATTAATTAAATATATATAAAAGTATTTAAAAGTTAAAATATTAATTATAATTTTATTATTACTAATATAATTTTATTATTACTAATATAATTTTATCTAATTTAAAATTTATTAAATATATTAATAAATAAATAAAATAAAATATTAATATTTATATATATAAAATAATTAATAATATTATTATAAAAAGTAATATTAAAATATATTTACTATGAATAAGAAAAAAAAGTAAAAATATATAAAATTAACTGCTAAATTCAATATAAAGATAATTTAAAAGAAAAAAAATTGCTGAGTCTGCTATTTCATTTGTTAAATCTATTGAACATTTTATTAAATAGTTAATTTTTTATAACTAGTTAAACTCTACTTGTGAAGAATAGATTGCTTGATTGATTATGAAGCAATCACTAGCTACATGAAAGTTATAACATAATCAATCACTCAATTGATCAGATCACTCAACTGGCCACCTTCCCACTGTACATTAAACAAATCTTTAAATTCCACCACTACTATATTAAATTATTCATTAAAAAATTATATACAATTAAATTCTAGCTCTGCAAGCATTCAGAGGTTCTATGTCTAGTATTTCTACACTTACTGCAGTGTGCTGATGCTCACTTTTTAGTGAGTTGATTTAAATTTTTCATCTCTCTATCCACCATCTGCTGAGCAGTCTGAGAAGTCTGAGCTTTAGCTAATTCTTCTTCTTCAGTCAGAATTTCTTTTTGATCTATGTAAACATAATCTTGTCCTCACTTGCATTTCTGCTTCTCATTTGCAGCTTGTAAAGTCTTGTTCTCTTGAGTCAAAAAAGCACCCCCATGCATAGCTAGTTGGCACCCTCAAACTAGTTGATTTAAAGCTTGGTTGGTAGAACTAGGTGGGCTTTGTGTATGACACTTGATAAACTGCTTGAGCTTGTTGAATTGACATTTCAATTGAACAGCATTTTGAGGAGTCTTTGAGGTCCAGAAGGTCTGAGATTCATGAGATGTGTCTGGGGGACTTGATGTATGTAGTTGATAATATAGATGTTCAAGAACCTCCTTTGCATTGAATGACACTAAGTCTGTGGCTCTGAATTCATTCTTAATAGTCATATTCTTCAATGTCTCTTTTCTAGCAGCAGAATATAGTTCTAGAAATTTCTTCTTATCCACATGATTAATGTCAAGTCTCATGTCAGATTCAATCTGCTTGCAATATGCTTTCTTCAGAGGAACAAAGCAGCTTACATCTAGTGACTGCAGCAGATGAGAAGAATGAGATGGTATATAAAGAGCTATAATAGCATTCTCTCTGTAGAATTGGTCAAATTCAGCAGTGACATGACTCTCATGCTCATTCAGAATCAAGAGTTTATATCTTTCAACTGTATAAGTCTGAGTATGCTTGTTAAACACCTCTTTCAGTCATATTAGATCAAGCTGATCAGTGGTTCAGCCATTCTCACTAATCTCAATTACTCAATCTGCTGACAGATTTATATATCATGAAGTCTAGTATAGCTTGCTCTTGAGAATAATCATTGAAGGCAGACTCTGTTCTCTTGTATTAACTGACTCAATCACAGTCACTCATTTCCTATTTTCTAACTGTATAAAAGATGCCTTTCCAGCTCTTTCTGATCTAGTGATCACTAAGATTGTTGAAATAACTCTCATAAGAAAGCTAACTTCATCAAAATTATATGTATACTCAGATAGAATTTCATACTTCTTCATGACATTATTCATCATTCTAAATCACCTCTTTATAATCTCTGAATCTTCACATAGAGCTCACTGGTGATCATATCTATGTGTGAGTCTGATCTTCAGTTCAGAATGATGTTTAATAAATCTCTGCATTCAGCATTCTTCAATACTAGAGAATATGCTAGATTCATAGACTCTGAGTAGCTCAATGGCCATATATTGTATACTTGCAATTCAGAGAGGTAGGCCTCTCTCATCCATGGAGATTATTCATTGAACTAGAGCTTCTTCTTCTGTAGATGTCAATTTCTGATGTTGAGACTGGGATTTCACATATGGAATGCCTCTATGTAGTTGATTAAATAGAGTGGCATGAGAGACACCATAGGCCTTAGCAGCAGCTTGAATGCTAGAAATTTGCTTGATTTCATAGACTCTAATGGCCAAAAGAAGTTTTCCTTCCTGATTAGAGGCTTGAATTTTCATTGTGGTTGAGAAATTGAGCTTTGATTGTTGATGATGGGTTGAAATTGAAAAGGTGGCCAGTTGAGTGATCTGGCCAGTTGAGTGATTGGTTACGTTATACAGTGCAGATTATGTAAGAAGGTGGATAGGCCTAACACTACTTGCATAATAAACATATTTATTAGCACTGCAAAGGTTCAGCAACTATAGCATACTTAGACTTACAAGAATAAGATATGCTGAAACTAGCTTGATTTAATTTATTTAATTAGAAACAATCAACTGTAGATAATTCAGATTAAAATCTTATCATTTGAAATATTTCAAATGCTGCTTGCTAACTAGTTAACTACTCAAAGATGTTGACTTTTTCAGCACTCTTAAGTTAATTTAGTCTCAACAACAATAATCCCAATTTCTATGCTATAAAGAGATTAAAAAGAATGGAATTGAAAATAGATAAAATCTTTTGCTTCTGAAGTTTATCACATCTGCTCTCACTTTCCTATTCTCCAGATACTTTGTCTGGGAACCAAATATGCCTCTGGGTGGCCCTTTTCAACATTCATACCATGGACTAAGTCTTTCATCTTCTGAGCTGCTTAATCACTTCATTGTAGTTACTGTTGGCCAAACAAGAGTGTACCCACAACTGTACTTACAATGCTCTGATTTCCGAAATACCACCTTTAACCACGGCCGGAGGATCAGAATCTTTGGTATTTCTTTGATCTCTTATGCAGTTGCTAACGCCTCATTCATTTCTTAATCTTCAAACTCTCGAGAATAGTTCTCAAATGCAAACTAACAAAAGTCAAGATGGATGAAAACTTCTCCGTCATCACTTGTTTGACGACTGTTTAGAACTCGTCCATGTCTAGCTCGAGGAGTGGACCTACCACCTGGGATAAGACCCGTCTCCAGGGTGTGACATATTTCTATTCTTGAATAACGGATTGGAGGAATGTGCCCCTATATCTATGCCGTTGATACTGCGTCTCAGCGAGGATATCACTCACCATATATGCTAGGACGTGTTTACCTGTAGACACAATCAAAACCAAGTTACTTTCCAGATCAGTTGTGGCCTGATCCACAATGCCACCACATGAGTTGATTCAACTGGGTGCTTTTCATTGTAAATATCTTGGTTGGATGAGAGCAGAGACAATCTCGGGACTACAGAGAAAAGATGTGTACACTACTAGCCCAGGTGAAGACAGCAACCTACTTGCTTTCGCCCTAACACTCTATCCCACACCATGCAACCATGAGTTACGATGAGGTGGTGATTTCCAACCCCCTTGAGACGGTAGCATTTTCATCATTCACTAGGTAATGTTTATTGGGAGAGGCATCACGATACTGGATTGAATTATGCGCAAATACTTTGATACAGTAAAGGAAGAATGTTTAATTCGTCTTTAGGATCTAGCCGGTCCTAATTAATAGTTGACTGCTTCTAGGAAGCCAGCCAGCCAGCGAAGTAAACGGAGCAACCTTTTTACAACGGATACAATCACATTATGCATTTACAACATCTGCACTTTTTTCTGTTCGTGAATCATTGTGGTTTTTGTCATATCTGTATGATTGGGCTTCTGATTCCATTTTTAACGGGAATGAAAATTTTCAGGGATAGTTACAATGGGTAAAATCCAGTCCTACTGATTGACATTTCATTTCATTCATTTTGCCCTTTTAGCAACACTTCTATACATTCATCCACATATATTCCATTTTCGATGCTATGGGCACCTGCTGGCTTGAGCCAAGCCTCAAGGATAATTTTTTTACTGAGCATGCCGTTCTGAGTTTTCTGGATAAAATCTGCAACAACTTGTGACACAAAACTATTGACAGTAAATGATAATATAGGAAACTATATGATTTTTCATGAATTGCTGTTGGATTTAAAGATAGATAGATTGATGCAATAATCTATTGTCTCTGTTAGAGAAATGAGAAATAACTTTGTTATTTATCTCTCAAAAAATAATCAATATAATGTAAAATACATAGTTTACTAACTGCTATAGATAGTTTCTTCTTTTGTCATTCTTGCAGATTTACCTGCTTCTCATACTGCTGCTTATTATCTATCTCAAGTAAGTATATTATATTAAAATAATAAAAATCAAAAATCACATAATTAAATTACTTTATTTATCAATAATTAGTTATTAATCTATGATAAATAAATAATTTATATTATTATTAATTTTTTATTAAATTAACTTTTATATATTTTTTAATTTTAATTTTATAATTTTTCTATAAATTTAATAAATTTATTATTATTTATCTAAATTTAAAAATAATAGATTTAATTTTATAATATATATTGATAATTAAATACTTTTTAAATTTTATATAAAATAGTTAATATTAATATAATTAATTATTAAATAGATAAAATTATTAAATAAATAATATTTTATCTTAAACTAAGTGAAATTGTGAAATTAAATAACTAATTATATATCATAGTGTAATGATAAAACAGTATAATGATAAAAATATCAACTTCTTCATTAATCAATCTTCAAATATTAATATATCACCACCACCATGATCAATAAGATAGATGATCTTGAAAAATGTATTCAGAGTATCATTAAAGTCTATAATAACAATTGAAAATAGAAAATTCTACCTCTGATGTGCAAATTCAATATTTCTTATCAATATCTTTGAGCAAGAATTAATGAAAGAAAAACACATAATGCAAAGACTGCACTGAACAAGAAGCTTAGCAAAAGTCAGAAGAACATGTTAAAAGAGTGAATAGCTCATATGAATAGAAATAATTGTCTACTGATCATAGAGCAGATTCAAAATAATGTGAATCTCATTCTCAAATATCATCATACTGATTTTTCAACCTTCTCATCTGTGGTCAGCAAGATGTGAACTTATCAATATATATAAAGTTTAAATAAATATAAAAGAGTTAAGCAGAAGGCAATAAATCTAAAAAGAATTGCTGTTGAGAATATTAGCTACATTAAGATGTGATTTGACTGTTTGAAAATCTTACTTTATAAGTACATATTTCAAACCTGCAATATTTACAACTTCAATAAGATTAGCTTTCAAGAGAGTCAAGGACATGGAGAATAAGTTATTACTGCTTTTAAAGACTTTAATTCAGTTATAACTTCATCATATTCTTGAGAATTGATCACTGTGATTGAGTGTGTTTCAGCAGATGATGAGGTATTGAATTCTTTCATCATCATGAAATTCAAAACTCAATTCAAAGATTGATATACACAAAGCAATCTACTGGGTGGATATACAATCACAACATCAGATACTGACTATATTAATAATGAGATTGGCTTTGCATGAATTCGGTACTTTAATAAGATCTCTAAAAAATGTCAGCAAGATAGTCATCAATTGCTACTTTTTAATAATCATGAATTCTATCTCACTAAAGAACTTTTACAATACTATGATTTTTACAAGATTATTCTATATAAATTTCCTTCACATTCAACTCATATACTGCAATCTCTAGACAGTGTGTCTTTTTAGCAATATAAGCACTATCATTCAAAAATAGTTAATCAAGCTGTGTAATATGAATATGAGCAGTATGAAAAATGTCAATTTCTACAGAATCTAATTAATATCTGTAAAAAAACTTTTCAATCTTTTACTATTCAGACTGACTTCACAGATTGTGATATTGTTTCATTCAATCTGCAATCTATATTGCTTAAGCTAGATTCAAAGATCCCTGACTACTCTGAGTTGTAAATATATAAAGAAGACTTCTTTTCACTGCAATCAAGTTATTCAGATACTGCTTCATCACAGCTATTCTCATTCAAAACAATTGAGAAGCTACAATATCATATTTAAGTAGCAAAGAAGGCAATGCAAGATATGAAGAATATACTTGATTTCAAATCACCTCATCTGAGCAATTGATTGAACAAGATTTTTCAAGGCAGTCTTGTTCAGGTGAAACTCAATGCTATAAGAAAGAGTGAGATTGAGAGTTACTACCTTGCAATCAAACACCACAGCACTAAAAATACACATCAGCAGGTTCAAGTAGGAGGTATACTCACTGTCAGGGATGTGAATAGAAAGATCACACAATGTAAAGAGGAAGCAGAAAAAGAACATTATAAGAAAGTCAAATATGTTGAGAGAGCTTTGAAGAAAAATGCCACAGATCCAACTCAACAAGAGGTTAATGATATATATGAATGTCTCATGAATAATATAGCTACTACAGATGATATAGATAAATTAATTATCATAGATTAGCAGTGTGGTGATGAGATATTAATTTTTGAAGTTCTAATTATCCATATTTTTATCATTACACTGTTTTTATCATTACGCTGTGGCGCACCCACATCAGGTGTGGGTGCGTGGAGGCATGATTATTAACTAGAATTTTCTTATATATAATTTATATAAATTTATTTTTTATATATAATAGATAATATTTTTGACTTCTTATTGTTGTTATGAGCAGTGATAATATCCTTAATTCATTTTTTAATACCCGTGACAGCCATGAGATCTTGCCAAGGTCCTCACGCTGCCACTGCCACATCTAAGTCATATGAACGGTTTCTCCGCGGCGCCGCTGCACTGCTTCACCTTATGACATCATGTTAGCATGTCATTTATATGAGATGGCTGGAGAGATTGTCTCAGTAGAAGGTCATGAGAACTACGCAGCTGACGATGCCTAGAAGGCGTCCCTAACCCCTTAAAGAACGGGAGCTTGATAGATGCTCTATATAGATTAGATAGTTATCTGACCCACTGGTCAGAGGTTCAGCGATTCGTTCTCAATATATAGGAGTTACTGGAATACGCATGCAATTCTCTAAATGATCGCTTGTACCCTCAATTGTTAGTTACTTCTTCAATTCGTAGGCATACGCTCATCTGCTTCCTTAACTAGTCAAGCCCACCCGTTCGGCTTCCCATATAACCAACCTTTTGACGTGGCTGTTGAACCCCGTCTCGGCGCCGTCTCGTTCCAATACCACTTCCTTTTTGTGATAACATGGTTATTAATTATTAATGAAGAAGGGGAGTGGGATTCTATGTTCTATTTTATCATTGTTCTCATTTTATAATTCTAGTGTGGCGCACTCAACTAGATTATGCTTTCCTGTTTGCTCAAGTGAACTTTATTCACGGCTACGGGACGGCAATGTTGATTCCATCTTCGAGGTCAGACTCTGCCAGGGGAATTTGCTACTGAACCAACTGGAGGGCAAGGGGTCGTGCACCAAGGCCAGGGTAAAAAATGCTTGCTTGGTATTCCCGCAGAGCTCGTAATCCCACCCCACTTTAGTCCGAAACTGCAACCATAAAGTTTTTATAAACTTTTGGGGATGTAGTTATCAACTGGAATGCCAAATAAATCCCGCGGGATTTAACCCAAATCAAGGAAAGGCCAGAATCAAAAAAGCCCCAAAAAGTCATTTTCTCTTATTTGACAGAAGCAAAAGGCAGAAATTGCACCAAAATTTTGAGCCTGTGTCATGAGCAGTCAAATCATGGCGGTATCCTCATCTACACCACTCCAACCACAAGCGTCAGCCCTATCCCATGCTGACCCAGCCTGCGGAGTTCTCTCGCTTTTCTCGCTTGCTGGGAAAACAGCCCTGGTGACAGGGGGCACACGTGGGATTGGACGTGAGATGGCCATTGCATTGGCAGAAGCTGGGGCAGATATCATTCTAGCGCAGGTGAGCAATTAATTCGGCTTTTTTTGTCTTCTATTATTCATTCTCATTATCGTCTTGTAAGTAAGTAGCTATTTTGCTCACTTTAAATGCTTGCGGCACATCATGGATGTGCCTTTCTTATATATTTTGTTTTGTAGCCACCGGAACTCAAGTTGCCTGAATGACGGGTTGAGATTGCAAAATTTGTCACTTCAAGTGATCTAATGCACACCTTTCCCTGAATGTCATCTCCGCATACTATCTTATTTATTTTCATGATGTCCCGTCGTTTGTGAGGTTTCTTGGGGGTTCCTCAATATGGTATGCATATTCTCTATAATGACTCTGGAAGCATGTGGCTCCTGTGGGAACCCCCATCGGAGGAAGCGCTTTTTATCCATTTGCATCCGTATCTTAATGCAGGCGGGTTGCTTTTGTCGAGTGAACTGGTGAAAGTGGATGCACTTAGCCAGGTAGAGATAATGAGCATTATCTTTTTGTCTACCCTCTTTTTCTTTTTTTTGGCCCTGAGACGGTGATATTCATATTATGCATACAAAAAAAAAATTACTTCACAACACGGAAGAGGAGCAGAGGATCCATTTTTGATGTGATAGCTCACCAGTGCTTCCGAAATATGCTGCACGGAGACTCAGACCAAATCTTACAGTAACCTGCCTTAATTAACCCTTGGCCTGTTGATGCAGAGAGATCCAACCAATACCGCCACTCGTGACGAAATTGTTAGTCGGACGGGGAGAACGGTGTCGATTCAAGTTGCAGATCTTTCCAGTCGAGAGTCCGTAAAGGGCATAATCCCTCAGTTCGTACGGGATGGAAAGGTTGTGGATATTCTCTTGAATTGTGCGGGGATTCAAAGGAGGTACCTGAGCGAGAAGTTTCCTGATAAGGACTGGGATGAGGTGAGTGGCAATACTTAAAATTTGCGGCTCTCATCTTCTTGTTTTACATGGTTTTATTCACTGGTTGGGTTCCTTATCTTTTGAGATCATCCCTACTGGGTATGGATGGTTCGAATGATTTGAATTTTGCCTACCATGCGATGATCAACTGATGTCAAGATGTCCTCCCCTCGCACTTTGCTCTTTGAGCTTGTCACATATCCCTTTCTGGTTTGGCTAGGGATTGATAACAACTAGGTTATCCAAGTCAATCTGACGTCGGTCTTCATGCTATGTCGAGAATTTGGTGCATATCTGCTGGCGCGGGATCCGGCAACTTTCTCTTCTAAACGGAAAGGAGCAATTATCAATGTTGCATCTCTCCTATCATTCCAGGGAGGTATAACAGTTCCAGCTTACGCTGCTTCAAAGGGGGGAGTGGCCCAGCTTACAAAGGCGTTGTCAAATGAGTGGGCTTCCAAGGGGATTTCGGTCAACGGGATCGCACCTGGATATATTGACACTGACATGAATGTGGCATTGATTAATGATCCAGAAAGGAACAGTGGCATTATGGCCAGGATTCCCGCAGGTAGATGGGGTAGGCCCGAAGATTTCAAGGGCGTCGTGGTGTTTTTGGCCAGCGAAGCTAGTAGTTACGTATCTGGGGAAATTATCTGCGTTGATGGAGGTTGGATGGGCCGATAAGAAGCGTCATTTTACATTTGGGCATGGAAAAAGGAGATGGGGAGATACTGGGATCAGTGCATTTGCGTGGTGACAAACAGTTGATTTCAAGTAGTCTAGAGGTTATGGTTGCCAATAGAAGTGGTGCTCTACGTTATTTGTTAAATATTAACGAAAGATGGAGCCACTGTTTTTCCTTGGTCGAGCGGGATTTTCCAGTGTCAATGCCCCACAAAGTATGGATAAAAATGCTGCCACATTTGATTTGGACAATCAGGTCGTTCAGCCTTTCTTTCTTTCGTCTTCGTTTGCTCGACAATGATCGAAGTTATGGTGATACGCTCCCGCTTTCAACCGTCGAACCCGAAAGTTTGGGCATGCTGGATCTCCCAAGAGATGGGTGACATTTTTCGGAGATAGGATCTGGCTCCCAGTGTCCACTTTTTTGAATGCTGAACAACCAACAGATGTAACAAGCTGAGGGAAAACCGTCTTTCCCGGAGTCTCTTGGGAGCGTTTTTTGTCGAATCCATCAGGAAATCCCACCAATAATAAACTGACGAAACACTGCTTCATTCTCACAGTGTAAGATGATTGAGCGCGGCAAAAGCCACACACTTTTGAGGCTGAAACGCTCCATATGCTATGCTGGAGCCAGATCTCCAACATCGATAATCCATGCGCTATGGTGATTCGTTGGATTTTGCCTACCAAGAACCATTCCAGCCGGTCCCCGCATTAAGGTTGTCCCAGTTTCTGCAGGGCACAACGACTCTAGGCTTTTCACTGGGCAGAATGTGGTTTCAGCCCCTGAAACTTCGCCCCAAGGGCTGCTTAAATTATTAGCGACAGAGAGGCTGGTTGTTTGAAACACGCCACAGTTCTCTGCTTCTCTTGGCTGACAATGACAGACTTGATCTTGGAACGCTTTTTGCCATTGGCTGTTTCTGGTGAGCTGGAGCTGGAGCTTAGAAGAAGCGGCTAGCATTGGTCTGTCAACTTTCAAGCTGCGGGAGAAAACTCCTCCATGCGTCGGGGATTGGCAGTTATTTTCCGACCTCGTCAGAAAGCCTCTTTCTGTGGAACGAACCTCCGGCGAAACAAGGCTTTTTCCTGTCTGTAATGGCCTCCTCTGTTGGGCCTCGATTTTTGAAGCTCACCGCCACCAATTTAGCAGAATTTCCCAGCCAGGACCGCGGATTCCGGGTCCCCTCTTATCTGCTCCCGGTGATCATTTAGATGAGAGAATTACCCTGTAGACCTGGGTCGGACGGTGTACAAGTGACTGACCTCGTCTTCGCTTCCGGGTCTGCATGTCTCTGCGGGCAGTTGAGGGCTGAACCTGTATCTTCCTGCTCGCAAAAAAACTCTTTAGATATTAGCAACTCTTCAGAGTTCTTCATTTTTGCTTCATACTTCTCTTCTACCCATCTTTTTGTGCTGCTGTCCTTCTCTTTTTATCTTCTGCACTGGCTGCTCAGAAACTGGTTGTTATGTGAAGATTGTCATTGATCATCAGCGGCTAACCTCCACATAAATCACCACTTCACCTCACTGTCAATACGTACACTCCTTTATTTTCTTCATTGATATCTTCATTTTGTTTTTATTATTCCTGAGGTCAGGGTTGAGAATGTCTGTTAGTTACACTTGCTAGTAAGTGAATTCCTGTTCTGACTTCCTCCCTAGCATGACAGAAGAAAATGGCTAACAATCATTCTCTCTCTACTACAGATATGAAGATTCAAACAACACAATAACTCTTATGCATTCTACTGATCTGCTGTCTTGATACTTTCTGGAACCCTCCATTTCTCCACAGCATCTGACTGGTTTTGTGTGGAGGCCCAAATCAAAGTTGACTACAAATACCCCTTCATTGACGGCGGTGTATGCTGAAACGGATCCTATCTCTCGAAATAGAAAGGGAATCATTCTACTGGAAGTGTCTCGCAGCTTGTCCCTCTTTGTCGACTCTACTCCTCTCAAGGTCGGTTTGTTTGCTCGCCTTGCTCTGGGGTTCCCATCGATATTTCACTCCTTGAACCAATATAGTCGTTCCGATTCTGCTTTCTGCTTCCAGCCCTCAACTTGTCTTGGGGCTATTGTAAATCAACGTGGGCCGCGGTCGAGTTAGAGCTTTGCGAAATCCCATTGCTGATATTATCATTCACCATCTTAAAACATTTCACGGCAACCCAAATTCAGTGCGAAACATCCCTGGGAGGATTTTGGCTACATCGTATGCTCTGGATAGCTGCGGGGCACTGATATTGCTACCTTAATACACGATATACCTTTTTGCATTTTAAATGGCAATCACGGAGGGATATGCTCACCCCAACTCTGGAAATACGAGCTATGTTCCACAGTACACTCGGGGATTGTTGGGGGTCAATGTTAAACTAGATACCCTGCTGATTCAAATTATATCCGCGTCTCTTGGGGCGACATGCCTGGTCGTCCTGGTTGCGAGATTCGCACAGATGTGGCATGCCTATATGCGTCGAGTTACCTCGTTTCAGGCGACCCCTAAATACCAACAATACTGGGCTACAGCAGAATCATCACAATGGGCTGATATCAAAAGACACCTGATGTATGCTCCGTTGGGGAGGAAGAGGCATAATCGAGAGTTTAAGCTTTCGGAAGCTATTAACGTCGGGACGCTGCCGTCGCGTTTGCATACGATCCTGCTCACCACCTATTTCCTGAGCCAGGCAGCTTACATCACTTTCCTTGATTATAAAGTGAATGAAAAGGCTGCTTTGATTGCAGAGCTTAGGGGAAGATCTGGAGTTTTGGCCCTTCTTAATATGATTCCGCTGGTTATATTCGCAGGCCGAAACAATCCCCTTATTCGCTTGCTACATATAAGTTTTGACACTTACAATCTCTTGCACCGATGGATAGGACGCATGGTGGTTCTGGAAAGCGTTCTTCACACTGCCGCATGGGCAACGAACTCCGTTAGTGCTGGTGGATGGAATAATACCATGGCCAGTTTGAGAACTGTTCCATTTTTTACCGGGGGCATGCTAGGGACCATTGGCATGGTGTTTTTACTACTTCATTCGCCGTCCCCAATACGACATGCATTCTACGAAACTTTCTTGCATCTACACCAATTAGCAGTTTTCTTGACTTTCGCGGGAATTTATATGCATCTTTCCATTGACCGTCTCCCCCAGCTCCCCTGGCTACAGTTTATCATCACCTTCTGGGCGGTAGAGCGACTGACTCGTTTCGTACGACTGCTTTATTTGAATTTTTCTCGCCGCCACGGGATGACGCACGTCATGGTGAAAGCTCTCCCCGGAGAAGCAAGCAGGGTGACGTTTTTCCTTCCACGCAACGTCCGTATCCATCCCGGCAGCCACGTCTACGCCTATATACCTCGAATCTCCTTTTGGATGTCCCACCCTTTCTCCATCGCGTGGGCAGAAACCGGCAAGAATCATATGCCACCAAACTATTCTAGTGATACATCTTCACGGGGTAGTCTGGACCCTTCATCCGAAAAGCGCGAGATCGACAACCCGGAGTTCACTAGCAACAGATTCCAGCCAACAAACGTGACTCTAGTCATGGCTGCCCGCACAGGAATGACCCGAAAACTCTACCAAGCCGCACTCGCCTGCCCCAATAAAACCTTGTACACAACCGGGTTCATTGAGGGGCCATACAGATCATTTCCATCAAGCTTCTTCGCCAGCTATGGCACCGTCGTCCTCTTCTCCGGCGGTGCCGGCATAACACATCACCTCATGCAAACCCGCGAACTGCTCGAAAACGCAATAAAAGGCACCGTCGCCACGCGTCGTGTCTATCTTGTTTGGTCTGTGCGTACAACAGAACACCTCACGTGGGTGCAAGGGTTCATGGACTATATCCTGCAACTGCCCAACCGACGTGAAATGCTGATTACGAAGCTCTTCATCAGCAAGCCACGGAGTATGCGGGAGATCCTGAGCCCTAGCGAGACGCTACAGATGTTTCCCGGTCGATGTCGACCGGACGTCGTGCTTGATGAGGTTATGCCGAATCATGTGGGTGCGACGGCTGTGTCTGTGTGTGGACCGGGGGCGTTTGCGGATGAGGTACGCGCGTCCGTCAGAAAGCGAGTAGGCATGGGCCCTGTGATTGATTTTGTGGAGGAGTCGTTTACGTGGTAACTAACTTGCAATACATAGCATTTCCTTGACTTTTCTTTTGTATTCTTTATTTCTTTTACACATATATGGCCCCTCTATGATAGTGATTTTTTGTCCTTTTCACTTTCTTTGTGTTGAAAAAAAAAAAAAAAATACCATTTCCAATATTCTCATTTACCTCTCCTCTCTTGTCTCTCTCAATTCCCCCTGATCATGTTGTTCGCCAATGTCAACATGACTCCCCTGTAATAATCTACATTCACCTGTATCTTCCATATCATTGTACTTCATCTAACCTCCTACTACCAACGACAGACTCAGTGTCGTTTCCTCAGATTTCCTTATTGTCTTCATTCCCTTTCTCTCTTTGATCTCTCCTTCGTCTTTGTCTCCCGTTCGCTTCGGACATTTGCATTTATGAAAAGAAAAGGGATCCCTCCTCACACCTAACACACAAATAAGGATGCTCATAGATTCGATTCCATTAGACTCAACGGCGCTCCGTACATAGACATCATTACTTAACATAGCCTTGGTTGTTCATACAGTACTTGATCAGCATTTCAACTATCTTCTTATTATTTTCTCCAATACTATAGGCGAACAGTTGTGTCAATTGATTCTCGGGGTTGGCTAATCCATGTACCTTGACTAGGCAAGATCTAAAGTGCATCATTTGGTGTTGCAAAGCACCCACAGTGCGAGCAATGTAAAAAAGGACTCGGTCAAATTGGACTTATCGCCTTGAAGCCGTTTGCTCCCCAACAAGTCTTCGAGCATAGTTATAGAGCCTCACGGTTGATATTTGAACTTTTCCGATGAACTCGTTAAAAAGTGTTCGCAAAATCTCAACGCACAGGGGATAATTATGGCCGTTTTCTATATCGCTTTCAGAGGGTTCTCGGTAAGCGAACATGGAATAACTATTTCCTAGTGATAATTATACGTAGGGAGGAATAATACGGAGCAGAAGTACATAAAAAAGGGGAACGGCATGTTTGCATTTCCCGATTCCAAAGAGCATCAACTTGCCATAGCACCATTCAGTAGCTACAGGAGTATATAGCTATAGGAGTATGGAAGGTGTAACTACCAATATCACTAAAATATACCCGATTGGAGTCGCAATACAATACACCGCGCCAAAGCTGCCTTCCGCCTCCGATTTTCAGGGGCGGAGGAATAAATACAACGCAATAGAATTCATTGGGGAGATACAGAGTAGGGGATACATACAGACATACATAAGCAAATGAAACGAATATCGGGCGTGAGGGGATATAAATGTAGTAAAAACAAAGACAACAGGAAAGAGACAAGTGAAAAACAAGAGAGTCAAGGAGGGAGAACAAATAATATGTTATTAAAAACAAATGCGAAGAGAAAAACTTCCAGTCATCGGAAAAATGACAGATAGGAAACCATAAGAAAAAGAGTCAAGATCCCATCATATAATCACCCCTTTACAAATTTCCAAAACCTGATACATCCGTCAACCGTCAACCGTCAACAGTCAACCATCAAACCCATCATCCCTTCCGCCCCGCCAGAGCCCCATAAAACCTCTCCGTCGCACTCAACGTCCGCGCCTCCGCCCCCGTCAACGTCCCGGGCACTGAATCCGGCCCCCTCGCCGCGGCCATGTTACTGTCAGGCAAGCCATCGCCTGTATTGGGGTAGTAGGTGCTGCTCGTTATGGGCTGGGTATCTGCGCCTAAATTTCTAGTCCTAGAGGTGTCCCAGGTGCGAGTACCATGATGGCTCCCGTTATCGCTATTATTGTCAAAGTGGGAGCTGCTGTGTGTGTCTGCGAAGGGGTTTTCAACCTGGAAGTCGCTGGAGTTGTATTGGTAGGTTGGGTTTGAGGGGGTTGTATTTGGTGGTGGGGACGGGCGATAGCCTTTGCTTGTTGGGGCGGTGGAGGAGAAGGGGGGTTGGGGTGGGGTAGTGTTTACGGGGGAGACGGCAGAGGGCGGGGTTGTTTTTGTTGTGGCGATGCGGCTGAGGTTTGATGGCGGGGTTTGTGGGGTTTGTGAAGGGTGGTGTGGTTGTTGATATTGGGATTGATGGTCAGTTTGGGGATGTTTGTCTGGGAGGTACTTGCTCAGGTTCCTGAGAGACATAGAGAAGAGGGGCCCGGATCGTTTGGCGGTTTGTGCATCTGTATTCCGTACCTGGTCAGGCGGAGGTAGGGGTTGGGGATGAGGCTGCTGCGTCTCTGGCTGCTCTGGCTGCTGCAGGGTGGCATTCGGGTCATTGGGGTTGGGTTGCATTCTGCTCGTGTGCTTCCTAGCAACCAGAGCTGCACGCTGATATTTCGACAATGCTACGGCCAGTTTATCATTCGTTTCGATCAGGGTGAGCATGGTATCTTCGTCCGGTGCGGGATTGGATGCGTTGATGTATTCCTGGATAGATCTGGCTGCGGCCTGGCAGCGCTGCGAGAATTCCCTTAGAAGGTCATTCTTGTAGAACTCTGTTGATGGCGTGGACTGGACTAGTTGAAGTAGTAATGATGCAGAGGTATTTGCTTCTGATATTCTGGCGGAGAGCTCGTCAGGTGTCGGGAGGACTCCGTTTCGATGCGGGTGGGTGACGAAATTGTCATGCTGGCCTGCAATCTGAGGTTGAACCCATGGTCCCTGTCAAACTTGGTGTTAACCCAGATGATGAAATATTTGGGAGGAACAAGGGAGGGGAGACAGGTGCCCATACAGCGCTAACTCCCGTTGTCCTCTCAAATTTCTCCTTCTCCTTCTTCCACATCTGCACCAATGGAGCTAGATGAGGGTCATTCGACTTCTGCACTGCGAGATATTCAAGAGTCTCTCTTAGGACCTGTTGCACGCTCATGTCCCGCCCGTCGCGCAACAGATCTCTAATGATCGACACGAACTTGGCATCGAAGTTGCGGGAGAAGGTCTCGCCTGGGTTATCGACCAGGATTCGGATGAGCATGACGGCATTGTACTGCCTGTAGCCTTTTTTGCTGCTTGGATTGGATAGAACATGACGGATCAGGTTGGCAGCCTCCTTTGCGGCGTTGGGGCTTGATTCCGCAGCCTCGACGATAGCCGGTAAGTGAAGGAATTCATCTCCCTAGCCGGAGTTGGGGGGGATATGAGAGTAGACGTTAGCTTGGGGAATCATTGCAGGCTCGTCTGGTGCGGGGGAGAACGCCTAAAGCGTCTGCATACCGTGTTGTTGGGTCCTCCAGATTCACAAAAAGCATTCTATATATAAGCAGTCAGAGCTCTCTGTTTTTGTTTGCACAAACGAACGGCCAATCAGGCAAGCAATTTGTGACAGGACGATATGACGTACCACTTCCGTTAAAATTATGGCTTCCGGCGATTCAGGGTGAGATGAACTTCGAAAGACGCTTTGGGCTGGATGATGAGAGAGCCGTCGCAAGCCCGTCAGTATTGTTCTCATGATGAAAGGAAGCTGAGGCTTGTGTTGGCCAGATGTATGGGGCCATAGGGTAACAAAACACTTGAAACAGTGGGTGGGCTTACAGGTATGTTTATTTATACTCCCGACGAATTTCCTCATGGTTTGTGTCAGATCACAATGATCTCGATCTAGCAAAGTAGCCAAATAACGATCGAGATAAATATAATTAGCAGCAGCAGAAGGACGGTTAGGTCAGATTAGGAAGAAGAAATTGCTGTACAACGGCGCAGGAGAGGCTAGAGACAGAATAGGGCGATGATGGCAGAAATCTGTAGACTGTATGTCAGGGATGTATGGAGCGGCAGCAGCGAGATGCGAGGGGTTCGGTAAATTGCCGCAAGCTAGCGGAAATATGGAACGACTGGGAGGGGGGAACGGTTATCTTATTCTATGCTAATGATTTAACTATGGATAGAGTGTTTTATAAAAAACGGGGGGGGGGGGGGGGGGGGGGAGAGGGCAGAGTCTTAAGAGTGTTCCATTATCTGGGCATAAACGAATTCACCCGTAGTCAGCTAACTTACCCTGTAGAGTTGATGTGGTTTGTTGAAACATTAATTAAATGAACGTGATAGTTAACATGGTTGTAGACGAACTTAAACTCCTCCGTTCCACTGTCACTCTTTAGTTTAATGAGTTTACTCCGCCCTGGGGAACAAAAGAAGGGGGAAAACAACTTCATCATCCCAAGTCCCCAGCCACAAAAGACAAGGCTTTTACCTAGCCACCACGGGGCTAGCGCCACGCTGCCCTGACTAATCTTCGCTATTTTTAGCCGTTTCAAGTGGAAATTGAAGTGAATACTTTCAAACAGTGGATAGAAAAACTGATCAACATCAACGAACATGGACGACGGATTTCGATGATCTATCTACATGCTGCACTCCGTCCTTCGACGCCAATGCCATCTCTTATTGCCATTGAGTGGGAACCTGCAGGAGTTTTGCTCTAGGGGCTGCTATTGACGGTAAGTTCCCCCGCTAGCATTGCAACCCGAGAATCTAATATTAGAGATTTGCTGATGCTGACTGCCTGCAAGCGGCCCTAAATTAACATACTTCGATATGAGGCTTATATTTTGACTTGTTTCCCGGCTTCTCTGTTTAAGGTGTGTTTCTGGAGCTGGGGAACCAGGGACAAGTAACCGTTGCCTCGATACATACATCCAGAGGAAAGGTTTAAATAAGTCATTACAGTCCTCCACATGGGTTGACAAACTCTCAGATGGGATTTTCGGGGTGGATATGGATGTGAACAATTGATTCAATATATTTTATACTCAACCGCTCCTTTGGTAGTTTCCGGACTGTGCGATGCGATCTCTGATGCGACAGCTAATTGGTAGTTTACACGCACCACACTCATCAAATCCCAGATCGACAGTTTTGGTCTGATATTACTCACTATCTTCAATTACCCCCCCTATCTCCGCAAGTTCAAGCACAATTGCATCAGAACCTGGAAAAGACGAAACTCTCGCACCCCTGTTGAGTAAAAGCAGCAATCATTTTGTCACGTGAATCATATTCTCTGCAAAGATGGTTTGTATCTCAACGCCAGCGGATGTCTATCGCAAGTCATACGGAGTACAGGCGGGGCTACCAATTGCATATCGCTAAATCACGATCTGGAACTTTGTCTTTCACAGTGCCATTCGCAGTGTACTGTATCTGGAGGATTAACTTGAAGCCTTATGCCTACATATCCGAACGGCCTGCCAATCAAAGACCACCATCCCCTCTGAGGTATGTCGGGATTGAAAAGGTTGACGCGTTCATCAATCCTCTGACGGATGAAGCATGAAGCTCTCACGGCCTCCGTCTCTTCAAGCAATCAGATGACCCTCTCCCACGAGTCCTGATGTGCACACCCCCCTCCGCACTTCCACCTTCTCCATATCATTTCTTCCCCGAGAAAAATATGTCACTCCCAACTAACTGCATCTACGTTATTTCTTTCAAATGGCCCAATAGCCTACGGCTGTGGCGACCAGCTTCCCATGAAGCGGGAATTGACATGTGTAATCCTGACGATCGTTAGTGATGGGGGCAGACAACCGTCATTGCACAGCCCTGATGGGACGCGGGAGAGCCAGCGTCTGGACGTTTGGCGAAAATTACATATTTCTCTATTTTGTCTTAATATGACGATGACTCCGGTTGTAAATTCAACTTGCACAAAACAAAACAAAAAAAAAAAAAAAAAAAACCGGATGGATCGTGCAGTATTCTCCACACCAGGGATAGGATATGCAGGACAATACGCAAGAAGCAATGGAGACCCCTGAGCCCACACACGATTCTCTAGGAGAGCGTGTTACTACAAACATCTTCACGGACATTAATTTCGGATTATGGTTAAAGGTGCTGGTACTATACTTAACAGAGTTTTATAGACGGAATGAAACATGCCGCCTTGCCAAAATGGAACGGAATGTCTGAACATGTTCAAGCAGGACGCCGTTAGAGCAAAAACGTAATGAAACCCAACTTCCTCTTCTCACAACCGTCGTTACAACTTGAGAATTATCTTACCCCTCGAATGTCCTCCGTCCAACTTCTCAAAAGCGGCTTTATACTCCTCCAGCTTCCAGACACTATCAACGACAGCTCTCACCTTCCCCTCCTCAAACAACCTCCCAACGTCGGCCAAATCCTCCCCACGCGGCACCATTATGAAAAACTCACTCCTCACATCCTTCACCGCACAATCCCCCGGCCTCCTCCCTTCCGGCGGCTCGCATATCGACAAAAGCACCCCACCATCCTTCACAGCACTCCAGCATTGCGCCAGTGAGTCCCCACCCTTACAATCAACCACCAGATCCACCTTTCCCCCTCCCTCCCCGCTTTCTACCCACTCCCTCACACCCGCCTTCCTATAATCAATCACCTCCGTCGCCCCCAGCTCCTTCACCAACCCCACATTCCCCGTCCCACACACCGCCACAATCCCACCAACCCCGGCCTCCCTCGCCAGCTGCAACAACCAAACCCCAACCCCACCCGACGCAGCCGTAACAAGCAGTCTCTTCTCCTTATTCCTCTCCCTCCCGGCCTCCCCTTCCCCCAAGCCCGCAAACCCCCCATGCTCAAACAGCGCCTGCACTGCCGACTCCGCACTCAACGGCACGCTTGCTGCCTCTGTCTCATCCACATTCCGCGGCTGCCTGGCCAGCTCCTGCGTATGCGCCACTGTATATTCGCGCGCATTGCCAGAGTGGTTGACATTTGTGCGTCCCCAGATGGGCGTGCCGGGCGGAAATGGTGAGTTTGGCGGGGCGACGACGACGGTGCCTGACAGGTCGTAGCAGGGGACTATGTTCTTTGCGAAGAGTTGGGGGTTATAGGACGGCCAGGTTAGTTCACCGGCGCAGGGGGAGGTGGCGTGCACGCGGATTAGATGTTCGGAGGTGCTGTTGGGGGTTAGGCGCGGTGGTGGGGAAGTCGTTAGTGTTATGTCTGGTTTTAAGGGGTCGGGTTGGCTGAGGGTACGGATTATGGGGGGGATGGATGGCTGGGAGGCCATAATTGAATTTGAGAGGTGAACGTTGGTGTCTTTGGGATTGGGGAGGGAGAAAGGGAAATAGAATGTTCAGGAATGTTTCTTTTGTTGAGCGGATTTAGCTTGAAGCTCTCCAGGCTTGGTGCTTGGATGGTTTTCGAAAAGAAATGAGATTCTGGCTCAGTTTTGGGTTGGATGGCGCCTATTGATCTTAAATAGAAAATTCATGGATACACCCACCGTATATCGCAAGGTCAATGAACCTTAATTAACCCATGCCGGGGAGTCGGTGCTACATACTCCCGCTATACCCGCGATCCCGTCATTCCCGGGTCTCCAGCAACTACCCAGATCGGCCCTAATCATTGTTTCTGACATGATGTCATAGTCGCATGGCAGATTCACAGGAGTGCCGTGTAGAAGTCCCTCTCCCTGCTGCCCGACGGCGACCGGTATACGAGGTTGCTGAGAACATCCCCAACTTACCCAGCCTTAATTCCATCTATTTGCAGCGGTTATCCATATGTAATATTCAGCATCTTGCCGTACATCGTTTCCACAGAAGTGCGGGGTGGAAGTACACCGTATTAATAATAAACAATTACTAGTTAACTAACTAGTTAGTTAACTATTGGTCAACTCCAACTCTGAAGGATCCGCCACAGCAAGACGAAAGTTAATTCTACTCCTAACGGCTTTGTCAATTCAGAGCATGTTTATGATTTTAAAGCTCTATTCTTACTCTGAGCGTGGTAGCAATACATACCAGCGGGCGTCTCAAAATTCATCCTAATCACAGATTGCCCGGGGGGTAAACAAGAGCCGACAGGAGCTCTTGATTATGGTATTTTTTTTTTTTAAAAAAAAAAAAAAAAACAATATAATAGTTACTTGTCACCGGTTCCTCATTGATGAATCTAAGCAACTTGTATGGCGCGGCGCAACGGCTCAATGTAGATGAACTTGGGCGCACTGCTGCAAATTCAGTTGGTGCTGAACATTGATTGTGTCGATATATTGCAACATGTCCCACGGCTGTATAACGAGGCGGATATTCTTGCTATGGACAATGGGATGCGAGCCGTTGGGACGGCCCCCAACCCCCAACGCTGGAATGCCGCAGTAATACTACCACTAATACATGGCATCTTTGACTGGCAATCCATCCAAACAGCACTGTTATTCGATCACTGCCTATATTCCAAAGAAGCATACCCGGTCACATTCTTTCTCTCTCTCGCCGTATTTTTTGAACTAGGTGAGGTTGAGGGCACAGCTTAGCGCACTGCTTCCTTGACCTACGGGATGAATGGCGTGGAATTGACACCGATAATCAAACCTACTTTATTTCTGATACATTTTCTCAAAAAGAGGCAGTTGCCCAGCTGGAGGTAGATGCGACGCGTGCTGACTCGAGTATTGAGACCATGACGCTCCTGGAACAGCGATTCGAGAGCCTTTGGCTGGAGAAAGCCGTTGTTGAACACGAGGGGTATGAGAAGGTAAAGGCAGCGCTAAGGAAAGGGAGAGTTGGATTTCTTGTGGTATACTGTGGACAATTGGAGAAATGGGAGGGTAATTTTCGAAGAGTTGTGGCCATTTGATGATTGAGGCCAATTCCCCGCCTCCTGGGGCGAATCTTCAATCGTGCTACATTCTACATGATGCTTTCGTGAGTCTGTGGGTTGATGGGCTAGAGCTACTGAGTGTTAGGAAGACGGTATACACAGCTTTGCCTTAGTATATCTATGAGTATAACTCCACATTCCCAAAATCCATAGATGTTTGGATGATTTACAGAGAGACATTTATTTATTAGACAAAACTCCTTTGACGGTTATTTCAAAACCTTGCACCCACATGGACTCACACAGTAGTCCATAAATGCCAAAGAATAAGCAAGACAATCACCACCCAATTGTACTCCTCCATGCAGTTATAATTGTGGGCTTCAAAGGAAGTTTGATAATGAGGGGTGGAATAAAAGGAAAGAAATGGGGACACCTCGTGGGGGGAAGAATAAATAACAACTGTACACTTATCCATCCTTGAAATCGAAAGAAGGAGAAAGAAAAATGGGAAGAGGAAAGGGGGAGAGGAACGCAATACAAACAGAAAAAGGAAAAACACGGAACAAAAAATAAAAGTAGAATTACCCATCGTTTCCGCCATGGCCCTCCTCGTGGCCACCATTATCACCCAGCCCAAGACTTTCCCAATACGGCTCAAAACTTTTACTAGAAAACCTCCGCTCGTAAAACCCCCGATCGGAAGCTAAAATGACACCAGTAAACCTCCCCGCACCCCCTTGCTTAAAGAAATCGTCCCGGACCTCAATTCTTTTAGCAACATCTCTCCATCCGAATGTCATTCCGAACCCACATTCCAAGATCTGCTCCTCGTCCTTGCCGATACATTGAACAACAGTGGCGAGAAGTCTGCAGTCGATATATGAAGGGGCTCTCTGCACGGGTGCGGGAGGGGGTTGCAGAGCGTTATCATCAGATATAGCCTGCAGCATTGGTGCAAACATTGCGTGCTGGATGGGGCCAGGTGGCAGAGCTGCCAGAGTGGGGTTTGGATGCATTATTACGGTCATGAGGGTAACTGCGTAGTTTGATTCTGGCTCTGTTTCGGATTCTCGAGACATCGGTGGACGGTCATCCAAAGGCCCATGGAGGCCAGGGTATTGTTTCATTATGAGGGTATAGAGAGGAGTTGCAGGCGGGTTCGTCGCAAAGTAGGAGGGCCGCATTATGCTTGGGTGTGGTAGTAGACTCGGAGGGCCGCCTACGCCAGGAGCTACAGGGACTGCCGTGACAGGTGGACCTTGGGCTAGTGGAAAGCCTAAACCCGGATTTTGCTGCGCCAGATCTTGAAATAAATCCACTCGGGGTGGCAACTGTGGCAGGGGATTCGACATGGGTACAACTGGGAAGGCTTGGTCCAGTGGCTGGTATGGAACGACGATGTTATTCTGATTGAAAAAAGGTGCCAGGCGAACATATCCACAACTCACGAACTCCAGTCGATTTAGGAACGGTGGGAGATTTTTCCGCGGTTGATTGAGTTCTTGCTTCTCCAATAAAGCCCTTTGGTCGATAAGCGTGAGCCCCGGAGTGAATTGGTTGATAATGTCTACCCAGGTTCCCTCCCGTAGTGATTCCATGTAATATTCTTCTCTTTTACAACTCGGGCGCAACGTATCGCTCACATAAGGGTGAGGGCGAGTGCCGGGTTGTGCTGTCAAGGAGCAGGAATTAAATGTCAGGGACTCAAGGGGGGTTTGATAACAGCCTTTGAAGAACTCAACCAAGAGATGCGGACTGAACCAGCAATTTTCAAATGTGAGATGCTTTATATGAGGAAATGTAAGAGGGGGTTCAGGAAGCCAACCCATGGCAGCATCGCGCGGGAATTTAGTGATTGGAGCGGGTAGAATATGTTGGTTTCGGGCATGTTTTCCTTTTGCGTGCTCTCCTCCGCCGACATACCCGACTCGAAGGCACTGTACCCGGGCCACACGCGAGATAACTTTGTCTAAAAGACGGTTCAATGAATTCGATGCGGTGCTGGGATCAATGTATTTCATCGGCTTTAAGGGATCCCACGCCATATCCGCTTGTTTCCAATCCGGAATAACCATGAGGATGATGCGAGTCAGGCGTGGGAATGCATCAAAAAAGTCCCGCCTGCTAAAGTTTTCTAGCAAGGAGGAAGAAATGCTAGATATATTCAAAGTATGAACGCCCAAAAATGACTCTTTGGTGTCGATGACTGAGCAGATGCATGACCCCAAAATAGCCTGAGCTGCCCAGGCTGTTTCAAGTAGCCATTCGGTTTGCGCATGGGTAGGATTTCTAGGGTATAGTTGGCAATCACCCTTGTCGCGGTTCTCTCCATACCTATGTCCATACTCAATGGTTGGGTCAACTTCCAATGCTGCATATTGAAGAAAATAATCCGGAATTGAATCAAGGTGTTGAATGCTCGAATCAGAAGGCGGATATATATCTTCATACACCTGTTCCGGGAGTATTGACCACAGATAACCTTTTAGATTCTCTAAAGATATTGAATCTATGTGTTTTTTCACAGGGCTTGTTGATGAAGAACTCTTGCTTTGCTCCAGAGAATCGGTATCAAAGATATCTTCGCGAAATATACCACGTTTTCCTTCAAATTGCAGATAAGGACCAAGGAGGGTAGGAGGATTTAGCCAGCCATAACCAGTGTCAAAACTCAAAGCGAACTCAGAGAGATTGGTCAAAGTCTTAAAGGCACGCTTCATCCTCCCAAACTGGTCTGCAATTTCTTCAACTCTCTTTAGGCTATCGAATCTAACGTAGTCGCTCTTGGCCCAGTCATATTCTCCCCAGAAGGTCTTGACTTCTTCAGTGTGTGACTTTCCTGGAGGATCAAATAGCAATATTTGGTCCACCTCGAAACTAAGGCCAAACCGAGAAACACAACTTCCAAGAGCTTCAAAGTTATCGATCTTTTCGTTGGAAGTTTCATCAGAAGCATATATCGTAGGGCGAAACGAGACCACAATGGTGTTGAAAAGAGTTTTCTGGAGCTTGAAGGCAAATTCTTTGTTGACTAATCGTAGATTGTAGATATCCTTGCGAGGTAGGTGTGTGGCAACATAGGCAAATATCTCTTCAGGAATGCCATGGGAGGGCCAACCTTTACGGAGAGGGCTGTTATTAAGTGTCACGAGCATGTTCTGGATGATGTATTGACTTCAATTTCTGAGGGGGGGGGTTCTAGCAATGCATGAAATAAGGACTGCAAGAATATCACCTAGCCTCATAATGAAATCATGTTAGTGACATGAAAAGAATAGGTGTAGAATGAAGATATCGGGAAGACCTTCGAAGCAACTTGTGATAGAGCTCCTGCAATAGAAGGCGTTCTTTGTGCATCAAGACTCTATCAGAGTTGGCCAACCTATTAGTTAGATGAATATAGGAAATCAAACTTTTGAAAAAGCAAAAGAAGGAAAAGAAGTGCTATACAGCAAGAAAAAAGAAGATATATTGTAAGCAATTGCTAACAGCAACACATATTCACATGATAATATATCAATTGTACAGAGAAGTCAAGATAGTAAGTAGGACTTACCGCTGATATATTGTTCACTTGATCATCCCTTAGACTCGTCTTTCGTTTCCTTTCCTTTCCTTTCCTTCTATATTCCAGAAATCAGCCACTGAGATATGGGGAGATGGAAGGCTCCCGCCGCAACGCACAGAGAAGAGTTACGAATGAATAATTACCATTGCATCCCTTTTCTCAGAAATCTACTCTCACGCCAGTGATTCGTTTGAGAGAGTTTGCAGTATTCCGTCTCCACATTCGGATAGAATGTAGGAGGACGCTGGCAACGGATTCTTACATCGGGAAATTACCCCAACGACAGCACTTTTCTCACGCGGGAATCCGGAGACGTTTGACACCAGCGCACACCGTATATGTTCCCCGGGGTCTGCGGCTTTCCCTGTGGGTTTCCCGCGGCGCTGGATAGCAGCTGGGTAGAACAAGAACCCGCTCCGGACACAATGACCAATGGTAGAAATGTATATATATATAACAAGAGCAATGCTATCTGGTTGTCAGGGTTCGTTCGATGCGGACAGATAGACCCACCGGTGAGCTATAGCGTATGCACAAGTAGGTACGACGGAGACCACGGCGGGACTGTGGCATGAGCAGGCAGCTGATGGAGATGACAGAGTTCAACATGGTATGGACAACGTCATCAATTGGGGATCGATCGATTGAGGAATTCAGAGGGAGTTGATCTTGTTCACCGGTGCCATATAACTAACTATCAGAATCAGATCGAGATCAAGAGCTACGTTTTTGTGTCTGTCTCTTCTACATCGAAAGAGGGGCTTCCTTCCTAGGGCCGGACAACGATGTCATCCGAAACTTCCCCAAACCTGCAGTAGTTAAAACCGGCACGAGCTAGTGGAACTGCCCGCTAAACTGCGTCCCTTGGTTACTTACGTCATCCTGATGATTGGCTCCCTCAACCGTGGGAGAACAAATCCCTCAGTTAAAGTTACGGGAGCAGGGGTATGGGAGATATTCTGTACCTTTTTTTTTATACTTTTTGAGTTATAATATAGCTACGGACTTACGTATTCCAATGCTTTGGAAATGTAATTACGGAGGAGAAGCTACTCCGTACGGGTAGTTAACTATTAGAGATGTTTTCTGCCGTATCTGGCCCGCGAGTCAAACCCTCCACCCCCTTTGTGCAATCTATATCAATTGGTTGCTACACCAAACTATGCCTTATTAGTTCCAGAATATAATAGAAGCAAAGGGTGGAAAAAGCAATTCTCACACATAAACAGCTCTTGTGTGAAATGAGTCCCATGGTCAATGAATATTTAGTCAGAGAATATCATAGTATCCTCTCGAGTCTTGAAATCATACTCATCCATTAGCATAACTTCCATGACATGGACTCTTCAGGAATCAAAAATCACAACACAACATCACCGCAGCAATGACAAGAACACACCAAATGAATCAAGGAGTTTTTTGCTTTTCTTCTTTCTCTTCTTCTCCTTCCATCCTTCTCCTCACCCCTTCATCTGAACCCAAATATCACCCCCTGATAGCAATACGCTATACGGAGTCCCGCAACTGGCGTAAAAGCCATGACTACTCCACCTCCCTCAACTCCCAACCCGTCAGAGGGCGAGTACAAGAACCATCGCTGTATCATCTGCGACGATCTTGTCCCAGAGTTCCCGTGTTTCGAAGGACCTAACAACCCGTCATTCGGTCCCATGGTGAAACGTATGTCGCTAGAAACCTCCCTATGCCCAAAATGTCGACTTTTATAGTGATATATATATATATGCGCTAACAAAGGAGGGAAACATGATTTAGACCGACATTGTACCCGCGGGGAATTGCCGCTGGCGTTTCCCCAACACATTAGCATGCTCAATGAGATTGGCTTCACCGACGATGTGGTTGAGTTTGGCGGATTGAAATTCCCCTCCTATTTCCATGGAGATTGCTTCAAAGCCCTAGCGGCAGACAAGACGACTGATGCATCTATCAATAAAAAGGTCGCGTACCTTTGCGAAGCGCTTGTTCCGTTGTTTAAGTTGCCCCGCGGAAATCCAACAGTCATGGACGACTTCATTTTGCAAAACGCGCTTACCAAGTTGGCTAAGAAACACGGCTGGGATCGCCTCACCGCTGGAGAAGAGATGGCAAAAAAGTTCGACGAGAACGAAAGTTTTGCTGAGATGATGTATAAAATGTGGCTGAAAGTTCCAGTTGAAATCAAGCTGGACGTCTGGAAGCACCTTGATATCTGCCTGGCGAAGTCCCTGCTTTCTGTCACGGCGGAGACAGCAGACCTTCTGGGACGTGTAAAGTTCCCTGTAGGCGAGTGTACAGGTCGCATCAACTTGCGAGGGCAGATAAGGGCGTATCTGATCACCATCCGCGGGTTTCAGTACATCTGTGGCATCCACGATGGGAAGAGGTTGCTCGGCCACGAGAGTGACAAGGTGGAAATGATTGACATTCCAACGGGGGTCATCGCTGTCAAGTATGTTATCGGGCCATATGGGTTGTCAAGTTTGGGAATTTTTGGTGATAACAGAATGGCTTGGATTGGCGATTACAATACATCGCAGAACAACAAGGGCAAGTGGGCAGGTTTGTTCCGGACAAAAACTGTTATGAAGGAGTTGTCTTTCGAGTGGGATGTAAGTATTGAAGACAGCTTCCTAATCTTACTCCTCCCTGCTAACACATTTTGTGTTCTGTTTCACCAGGCTCTGAAAATAATTAGCGTCAGCAATCCAGCGGATAAGATCCACAAACCGGAGTGCCAATTGATTTGGGACGAGGCTGTCCCATTAGTGGCAATGACGCCTTTCCCCAACCTCACGATGTATAAGAGACAGGAGTGCAGAGATTACTGGTCATCGTTCCCTCGAAATAAACGACTGTCACTGGCTAAAGCTCTTCCGCTGTACGAGAGAGAATTCAGCCTCTATGGCGTGACCGCATTTTGTCACAGATCCGGGGCACTTATCGGATTACGGTCTGATTTCAGATCTTCCAAAAACAGCGAGATCCTCCGAAATTACCAAATTGGAGATCAAGATGGAATCCCAATTCACTTTCGCCTACGGTCAAGTGAAGCGGTGGTCTGGGTATGGGGATACGAGGCAGGTCATTCGCATGTGCAAATGCCCGGGATGGTTGTAAGTGATTGTAAAACACTTTCAGCTCTTGGCCACTTCCACTTCGTTTGCTAATTCGTAGAGCAGATTGGAACAAACCGCGGAAGAGCTGGAGTTTTCGGTCCTGTTCTGCCCGCTGGACAAGAAGGCTGGACCATGGTCACGCACTTAAACCGTGGGATTGTTCTTGCACTGTTCGTCACTCAAACCAAACTTATCAAAGGTACCCAGATCACAGAGTTCGGGACTCTGTGTTCAGAAATTCCTGCACCTGCGGAGATGCACATTCCTAATATCGTCAACAACAATCTGGCGGCGCCGCCTAGAAATATGAGGCGACAGCCGATTTTCGTAACCCATGCATGCCTTAGGAACATCAGCAAGATTGTAGCCTGCTATCGTGAGGATCGCTGCTCCGGACTCCTGTTGGAACATACTGACTCCGATGTGTGTGATGTGGTTGGGCGTTGGTACGAGAACGACAAAGACAAGCATGTAACCCTCTTCTCTCTCCAGGGATCCGCAGTCCCGCCAGCGAAACTTCGGTTCCATCTGAGCTCGGGCGTGGGTGTACGCACCGTAGATAGTATTGAAGTACGCATTGGGGAACAAGGTAATTCGGACGGTTCTGGGGACAATGACATTGTTGATATTGAAGATGAGGTAAGAAATAATTCCTTATGTCTTCCCATTATTGGTTGATTGCTAGTTCTGACGCATGAGCAGTGGCATTTTGCGTGGTGGTTTATGGATGATGAGGACATAGTCCGTCGCGTTCATCTTCCTCATTGAGGCTCCAGATGTTGCTGACACCAAGCAGAGATAATAGCTGGATTTGGGGTTAGCGATCAGTGGACAGTTGTGGAACATGTAATGAGCTTTGCTCTCTCACACACACACACACACACACACACACACACATAGGGTAACCAGTTATGAGGGCGAAACCAAAGTGAAATTGGCGATTCGTCCAGCCACGAAGTCTTGGCTTTGAGGCAGGGAAATTATTCGTTCGAAATTGAAAGGATTGTACCAAAAGCAGAGTCAAGGTAGTGAGGTAACCAGTTAGTCGTATATCCCTGGAAGAACGTTGATGTTGATGTTGAGATTCAATTAGGGCTGGGGAAACTATAACTAATTGTGAGCAAGGTAAGTTTAGGTGATACCCAACGAACTCGATTTTACAGGCAAACGCAGCACCTGGTACGTTTTCAATTTAACAGGTTCCAGTCTCTTCCAATTCTCCGTACCCCTAGAAATAGATGAATATGTTCTCACCATTCGTGTACCTTGATGGCAATGCGATTCCTATTGATCTAGTTGTTGGCTATGGCAGATCAGGGCCAGTAACTAACTAGTTATCTATAACTACAGAGCTTCTATCAAGCTCCTGTTTTTCACGGAGTGTGACGAGATGCCATCCTACCTTGATTGGAGGGGTAAGAATGCCTTCTAGTTGTCATTAGTGGAGTGAGCGTGATTTTTCATAGCCTTCTTGCAGTGTATATCTATATACAACCATTTCGTATAAAGGCGGGGAAGTAGGAATATCACGTAGAAGGAGGCAGTGCCCAAAGGCGCCTTGGCATGATCTCGTGACTGTGACATCGAAACTGAGTTTCAATGAGGTTATTAAAACCTGTTAATGTTGCTGACGTAATCCATCGCTGAATGCACCAACTAGAATTACTCATATTAAATATATAACTAGATCTTTTTCCTTAGGTCTGTTGGCAGCTTCTGGCAGCATGATCAATTATATTACACTAGCTGCAGTGTGGTGGAGCTCACTTTCTAGGCAGCTGATTTAATTCCTATCCCCCCTTCTGTGCGACTTGATCATTTGCTTCAGCTCTAAGCTATTCATTCCTCAGCTGTTGGAGCTCCATTCTGAGCTATAAATGTATGGGCTTGCTTCTTCTTACACGTTTTCTTTTCAACTGCAGCTCTTAGCTCCTAATTTTCCTTTGCTAAGATAGCTGCACTAACTATGCATGCCAGCTGAAATCTCTTCATCAGCTGATTGACTGCTTGATTGAGCAGCTCCGTACGCTGCTTAATCCTGCTGCTTTGACATTCTAACTGCCCCCCATTCTTAGGCGTTAGAAGAGTATAGGATGACTCAGATCCATGAGAAGTGCCTGGGGAAGTAGAGGTATGAAGCTGGGTCGCGTTAAGAACTTCATTCGGATCGTACGCATTCGGATCGTACGGCACTAGACCTCTCTCATGGATATTATCCATTGAACTAGAGATTCTCTTCCGCAGAGGTCAATTTTGGAGAGTTTTGGTAGAGAATTCACACGCAAAGCTTGACCCTTCAATCTTCTAATCAACGTAGTATGATTAACAACGTATGCCCTACTCAATTTGGATTTAAATTGAATGATTTAACGAGTGGGAATAGTTAGAATGAAAAGTGACGCATTCAGCGATGGATTACGTTAGTTGGTTAGATTAGTCAGCTTTCAGCACCCAACTAAACCACTTTAACTAACTAGTGAAAACCACCTCTAAAACATAATTGCGGCATCATTGGCTGAAACATATCTGGAACTCAACCCTCTTCTTCTATGGCTTGCATCATCCCAATGACGTTGACGTGAGTATGCCAGTGGAGCCGCATGTTTCTAACCCACCAATTGGGTGTCGCAGGCTTCGAGTCACTAGCCATTAGTTATAGATAACCAATCATCCAAGGGCCAACTCGTTCTCAGTCGACAAGCAACCTCTCAAAAAAAAAAATAAAAAAATAAAAAAAGAACACACACACACACACACACACACACACAAAAAGAAATATAGAAAGAAAGAAAGAAAGGAAGAAACGAAGAAACAAAGGAGGAAGGTAGAAGGAAGGATACAGAGATATTAGATGATCTCCGGACGAAAACAAAAATGGCAGACCAGATCCATGGTTCAATCTCCAGTCATCATTCGAGTCACCTTACCCACCGTTCAGACACCCCTTCGCTGGCTGTAATCATGCTGTCGGAGCAGGCAATGGCCTCTGGTGTTGAACCAACGCCCTACCCCGTTGCCCAAGGGTCTTTCGATGAGGAGGAACAGCGCTCGTCCCGTTATACACCAGAAAGTGACCCTTTCCAGCTAGCAAGTAAATTGATATCCGCCGACGAAATCAACAAGATCAGAGCAAATACAGCGCGGAAACGAGGTTATGCAAACCCTGGCGTCAAGAGCGCCTCAAGAAAACTTCAAGGATTCTATACACTCCAGAACCAGAATATCGAAAGGCTTTTGAAGCCGGTGGACGAACATGTACGGCTGGCCAAAGAATACAACTCGCAGAATCAACTCAAGTACAAGATTGCCGTCTATGGCAGCTTTGCCGCGAATGTTATTCTATCAATTCTCCAGCTCTACGCCGCAATTGCGTCAGGATCCCTGTCCCTTTTCACAACCATGGCCGACGCAGTATTCGATCCTCTCTCGAACCTGGCCCTACTCGTCTCCCACAAAGCAGTAAAGCGCGTCGATGCGCGTAAATTCCCAGCCGGCAAAGCCCGCATCGAAACCGCCGGGAATATATTTTTCTGCTTCATGATGACTGCAGTATCAATGATTTTGATTTCATTCTCTATCAAGAGCCTGGCCGACGGATACACTGAGAATACATTGGGATTTGAAATTCCACCTGTTGTCGCCGTGTGTATTGCATTTTTCACCAAGTTCTCCCTCTTCCTGTATTGCTGGGCGTTACGGAACCAGTACTCCCAAGTCCGAATTCTGTGGGAAGATCACCGCAATGACCTCTTTATCAACTGTCTCGGTATCTTGACTTCCGTCGGTGGCAGTAAGCTCAAATGGTGGATTGATCCCATGGGTGCCTTGATCCTCTCCTGCCTTATATCCGTTCTGTGGCTTCGGACAGCATATTCCGAATTCCAGCTCTTGATTGGAGTCACGGCAGACACGCAAACGCAACAGTTGATCACGTATATATGTATGGAATTTTCCCCGCCAAACACCCAAACCACAGCCATATTCTTCTTCCTTGTGAGTCTTACCATACTTACTCTCATTTGTCAAATATAGCAATGACCCATTCCCCATTGATTCAAGCCATCGACACCGTGCGCGCTTACACTTCGGGGCCACGGTTGGTCGTTGAAGTCGATGTCGTTATGGATCGCAATGAGAGCCTTATGGCCACTCACGATGTTGCGGAGGAACTGCAAATGAAGCTTGAAAGCCTCCCAGATGTGGAGCGGGCATATGTCCATGTCGACTACGAGACAACGCATAAGCCAGAGCATTTCTTGAAAAAGGAGCTCTAAGATGGGAAGCCGTCCTCAACGCATTTCATGACTGCTACCACGTTACGTGATATGATGATGCCATGTCCGTGATGTGTCTTTCGCCCAGATTTAATCCTGCATGGCATTTTCATTGCCTCCTCCTCCGTTCCTAGCTTGTCTTATATCATTTAAAGTGCATGTTTCTTGTTTGTTCTTTCAGAATACAACGGAGTCTGCTTTTCTTAACTTAAGACTTCCGACGAATCGATTCTGTGAAATCCACGTTAAGTTAATGATATTTAGCTGACTAACTATACTTTGATATATGCTCAATCCTTCCGATGGCGGATATAAATTGACATACTCCAAATGCACGTACATATTTTTAAAACGACATATACGTGATTTATAAACATATATATGCCGTCAGACACGTCATTTTTTTTTTCATTCTTCTCGTGTCTTCGCATCCCTCCTTATTCATAAAACTTGCCACCCTCCAAGATACCCACGCCTGAACCACAACCTATATATTACTCCCCACTCCACTTCCAAAAATATCATCGCTCCTCGCCTCGCGATCCCATACAACCTTCCCATCTCCCTTTCGCTTGAAATACAAAATCCGATGCAGCGGAATGAACTCCTCGTCCGTCTGCTCTGTCTTCCACCTATCAAGCGGAATCTCCTTCGCGCCAAGGAACCGATCCTCATAGCCAATGACATATTCCGAACTGTCATGCGACGGGTCCCAGCGGAGACGGTTGAGGATGTCGGAAGCCGGGCGTAGTTTTGCTGTTGAAACAGGCTTGTTGGCTGCTGCTCCGGATTTGTGGATGTTTCTCCTGCTTGTGGATAAGAGGAGTTGAGTTTCAGCGGTAGCTCCGTCGTCCTCGTCTAGGTGAAGGTCCAACTCGTCGACTTCGGAGTCAGAGTTTTCATCAAAATCGCCATCTTGAATGGTGTAATCCCCCCAATCTCTGCTGTCCAATTCGAGGGGCCCTAGATCTGCCTGTTTGACATGTGAAACGTCCACCCATGCAAAAGTCGAGTCGAAGTATTTCTTATCGTTCCGGATAAGGCTTGCGAATTGATCCAGAGAGGCTTTCAATGTGTCCCAAGCAAGTTTACGGTCCGGTTTACTCGCGGCGTTTGCTGGATCTGCTCTTTCATCTGCCTTTGCCAAGCCAATGAGATAGCAACCTTGATATTCGCGCTCTTCTTGTGTCGGAGTGTTCTTGTTGTTATCTTCGTTCTGCGTGAACCTAGCCGGCCAGATTCTGGTCTGGAGATCTGGAAGTTTTCGATGGATGTCTGATAGGTGTCAAAAAGGGTGGAGCAAATTTAAATGTGAAAAAGAGCGACTTACCAGCAAGAAGCAACAAACACCTTGACTCAAGCCACCCAATTAGTGAACTTCCTTTCGCCAAAGATAGACCCCAATATTGCACATTGATCTTGATGTACCTATTATAGGATTTCAAGAATTCATCAGCAGAATTAGATAATGTCGGTTGCCCAGCTTGGGGCGCAATCCCAACAAGTGATGTCCAACGTAACCTCCCCTCTGAAATGAGAGTATCCGCTCTATTCATTTCATCTACAATCGTCCTCATTGAGGATATTGAAGCAGTGCGTGCCACATTCATAATCGGGTAATGAAGCGTCAGTATAACCATACACTCCCGTGGCGATCTATTGTACCGAGGCTGTTTCCTATGGAAATTCATGTCGTACACCATGCCTTCCATCCAATAGAAGTCTGCGTAATGGTTAAAGAATGTGCGGAGGATATCTGCAACACTGGTAGTATTAGGGGGAAGGAGCTTCAAAAGCCGGGACAACATCAGCGTGATGTGGATTCCTCCGAGATATCCAAACCTTGAGGAGTAAATGCCACGGCTTTTTGCCCACGCCTTGATGACCCTATGCAGTAAACGAAACATAGCTGGGTTCTTGATTGTTCTTTGAAGATATGTTTGGTCACGGTAGGGTTGAAGTTTCACCAAAGAAAGATATGCCAGATCAAATAGTGGATCGGCTCGAGGTAGGTGAGATACTTCCAGCCATCTGCCATCACATGCAGAATGAGCATAGAATTAAACATTATGGGTTAAAATATACAATCAAAACGTACCTCTCCGCCACCGCTCCCGCTGGGCAGTATTGCAAATCGAATTTCACTCCGTTGACTTCAAGTTCCCACATTGTTCCAGTGGCCGCCTTGACCTTTCTCAGGATTTTTACACCAGAATCCGCTCCCTTTCGGAGTCTTTGCATAGCGAGTTCAAAAAACGTTGTCGAGCTAACCGGTCCAACACATAAACAATCAACATCTGACGAGTTAGTCCACACACCTAAACCGTAAGAACCAACTGCCGTGACTATAAAGGAGAAGTTCGACCGCCCAGTCTCGTGAGTTTCGCCCGACTCCGGGAGCGAGCCATGCAGTATGAGGTGCTTCAAATACTTGAAGGCAGCCTTCCTCTTCTCTGCGTCTTCTGGAGATGGGAAAATTGACCTATCTGCGAGACATAATTTCAGATCTGCAGGGTCGTGAAAATCAGGATGAGTTGTTTGGACGTCAATAAACTCAAACCACGAAGGTCTCGCTGGAGTCTCATCTTCTTCTTCGCTATATACTCTGAATTTCAGGGTTGCCCTGATTCCCCAGTGGTCACTTGGAAACTGCAGCTCCGTATTTCCGTTTGCTTCGTTAAGACTCTTTACTGGAAAGCCGAACATATTGAATTGGATAACTCTCAACTTGTCTTCTTGGTAGAGGACTCTATCATATCGATGGGGTCTTGGATTTGCAGAGCTGATGGATGAGATTGCTGCTAGGGGGTTTTCAAGGGGATCGAAGGTAGCACCCTGCTCCCCGTCGTAGAGCTGCGTAAAGTCCCGTTCAAGTCGAGATGGCAACATCTTGTCTCCCATCGTGGTATGTGCCACAAACCAAGAATCCAAAAATCCAGCAGATAGGAAAAAAGATTCGAGAACAGGAAGGGTCGCTGCAGTTTCTGTGGATATTGCTTTCGCTTCAACCGCCTCTTCATGTGTTACGGCAGAGGTAGTCATGTTGAAATCACCTGCAACAACTTTAGGATTGCTGGTATAGTTCACTAAAAGGAGGTCCCGTAATTTTTGGAGCTGGCGTTCTCGCATAGTAACAGTGTGGTCCGATAAACCACTGGAAAGGTGAACACCAGCAATTATTGTAGGAACGAAACCAGATTCTTCCATTGTGCCAATTCTGTCGAGCTTGAGAATAACTGCACCTTTATGGTGAGTATCAAAAGGAAGCCAACTCCAGCTAAAGTTCGAGCGGCTCAACGCAACGATATTTCGTAGGCTCGGCAGAGGGCCAATTCCCACCTGCCCTGGGGGCCCATGAGTAGCAAAAGGGTAAATATTTCGAATCCTTTCGTTCCCAAGGAGGTACGCCAGAAAGCTATCTGAAACTTCCTGAAGTAATAGCACGTCGGCCACAGAGTTATTTGAAATTAGTGTGTTAAGAAGAGCTGGATACCTATCCGTTGCGGGTGGATGTTTGGAATCAACAAGAACGTTGTAGCTTGACACTATAAGAGTGCCAGGAAGTTGTTCTTTATCTTCTGGTAAATTTGATAACTCCGCAGGAGCCCAGATTCCAACGTCGTCAGAAAATCGGTAGGTAGCCCTAGATTCAGCCACTGGAGGTCTGCCGGAGGACCCGCGTAGTGGGGTTAGCGGGAGCCCCTGCAAAGACAAATCCAGATTTATTGCAAGTTCCCGCCCCTGCATATTATCATGAGTAGCGATGATTCGATTAAAGCTAGCATCCCCATCCAAATCAATGGTGCCCCATAACCTCATCTTGCACGAATCCGCTGTCTTTTCGCGAACCATGATAGCCAGCTGTCCTACTTTCCATTCAATGGGTGGAAGCAACTTTACCTTTGCCAATAGGTAATCTCGCGCATTATAATCATTGGGCTTACTGTAGCCAATTGTCAGATGCGGATGATATTCTCGGTTCTGTTCGTTGGAGGGAAGCCTTAAAACCTCCATAATCGTACTCCTGAGTTCGGTGAACTTCAGAGATCCTTCATCATCATCTAGTCCAAGGTGGATGATATTTCCATTCCGCTGTGGGAAGCACGCTGGTTTATCGAGGCGAAGGTGGATAGCATTGACTCCAATTTCTGAGAGCCAACTGGCAAGTTTTGGCCGAATCAGATTAACTGCAGTTGTCAGGCGATCGACGGATACAAAGGGGTAAATAAGGTTGACGTGCGCAGGCCATTTCTCATACGCCTGGTCGTACAATGCACGGAGCCGGTTGGCATCTTGAACGACAGATAGAGGGGGAACAACGCATAGCGCAGTTTGATATGCATTGAGAGTCAATCTGGAAGCTTGAGAGGTTTCCTCTGAACCCGCCATGACTTATAAAGAGTAGTATATTTTTTGTTTGAAAAGTATGAGAGAAAATTGAATATTTGAGGAAGAGAATCAACTCCACGAGTGATATTAGAAGTAGGAGGACAGAGGAGGAAAGAGGGCTCAATTGATATAGAGGTGGGGAAGAGGAAGATATGAAGTTTTCCTACTGATTGAACTGAGATTAAAAGAGAGCGCATTGCGCCCTTTTAAATACCAAGCCAGTCGTTTCTAAATATCCAACTGTGGTTTTGACAATATAGCTCAGTGTTGACTCAAACTGTACCGCTAAGCTCTCTTTCGCAGCCATACCTCAGCACCAGATGTCTCCCCTCTCTCATTGAGTCTGACTATGGTTGCCTGGAGGGTCAAATCTACCAGGTTTAGACAGCTGTCGATGGATAAAAGGTGGCTGAGGGCTCATCAGTCTTTACTGGACAAGAGATTAGTTAGGCCAGAACGCTAGGAGAGGGGACCTATCACGTAGTTACACTGGGCTCACAGAATTGAATCATCAAGAGTTAGATAACTACATGACTCACGACCAGTCATCTCGTAAGATGATGATCACTGCTGTCCATAAACGGCCCCCTGGACTCATTGATGCAATGGAATGGTCTGTATCGACTATTAACTAGGTATTCCCGTCGATTAAAGGTCAAAGTTCCTGCGTGAAACCCTCAGCACGAAATAAAGTTTGTCCTGGGGTAAAAATCGCTAACGTAAAGATTGCCCAAGGGAACGAATGGGGGGAATGGGAATGGGAAAGGAAAACCAGAAAAGCCAAGTACTTAAACTAACCATGGAACAGGAATAAAAGAAATGGTAGCTGGAGAGGTAAGCTCTTCCTTTTGCTAAACAGGATTGAAACGGACGGACGACAAAGGAACAAGAGAATATATATATGGGCATTTAAAACTCCATCCATAAGGTATCATTATCGTTTGCGAAACCAAAAAAACATAGCCAAAATATATATATACTTCCCAAATTGTATCAATGCTCAGGGGGTACATTTTATCTACACTCAAAATTGCGCAAATGCCAAACATCAACCCATATTATATCTTTGAATCACACAAAGCCATAACTAATCCCAACCTCATTCATTCACTTCATAGTACTCCCGCGACGGTCACCATCGTGCCAAACAGGCAGGTCCACAGCACAATCCTGACCCCCTCAACATCTCCAAACACACTCATGGCTCCTCCTTTTCCCAAAGTGGGAGGCCGGGCTCTCGTGTCCAAGGGACCCGGAGCGGCCGGTGGAGAAGGATTTGGAGGGGGCGGGGGCGTCGGCGACGCAAACGACTTCTTCTCCTTATCAAACGCCAAACATGCAGTGGGGAGAGCAAACTGCTTCGAGGCAATCGTATGTTCGGCTTCAAGCTGCTCCTTGAGCGTGCCAACGCCGACTTCCAACTCCGCGAGGACGCCTACGTTAAGTTCGACCGAGGGAACTATGTTAATGAAATCGCCCACCAGGTCTTCGAGAGTAGCGATGTGATTTTTGCCTTTACCCTTGTCACCACCTGGGTGGGCAGTGGATGATGACAGGGCATTGCATCTGCCGTCGACGCCCTTGAGCTGATCGACTTTTACGGTCAGGGAGGGGATATTAAAGAAGGCACCCACGCCACCAGTTGTGGAGCCAATCAGTGAGGTCACTCCGAGGAGGATTTCAGGTGTGAAGCTTATTGTAAATTCGAGGCTGGCGGGCATTTGTGCTTGGAAAGGGAGGGTTGAGAATTTTGTGTTGTCACTGGTTGACGGCGGTTCAGTCAGTAAGTCTTTTCCCTTTTGATTGTCGCCATGTGAAAATTAGGGGAAGGATGATGCTTTCTCCTGCGCGGAAGCTCCACATACAAACCTGTCGCAGTCGAGTTGTTTAGTTCTCCAATGTCGATGGTGAAACTCGCGTCGTTAGGAACCTGGGTAAATTAATTAAATTAGATCAATTTGACTTTTCCTCCTCGTAGGGGAGAGAGGTCAATACGTACAGAGACGTTGAATCCATACTCGAACTCCAGAGGCTGTTTCAAAGCCAAGGACATCTCAATCTGGGGCCTGAAGATAGGGCCAAAAGCGACAATACCGGGTATCTAGTTTGGATTGAGTTAGAAAAATAAGCTTACGATGCGTAGAGAAACCAGAGAAACCAAAGAACGCCATTCGACGGACCATAAAGGGAGTAATGGGAAATTCCGGCAACGGCACTGAGAAATTCAACGCATTCCCAGCCGCTAGATCCAGCTTGGTCTTAAGTTCAAAATGTCCAAAAAGTCCGTCCACATCGACCCGTACAGACCCGTGCTGGAAAAATGCAATTGTGTTATCCAAAAATTTGATCGGGTTATCCGGGTCTTCAAGCTTAAAGGACCCCTGAGAAAGCTCCAGTTCGCCGCCGATCGTACAGTTTTTACACGTTAATTCCACTCCTTCGGGACTGCGTAGTAATTAGCGTTAGGTCCAGGGATGAGAGGCAACGGAATATCTTCACCCACACTAGAGCAGAAGCTCCTGGAATCTGAGGAGGAATAACGACCTGGTCGACTACTTTCACGTCGATTCGTGCTTTGGAAGAGGCTGGTACGCTCGAGGTAGACTGGGGTCCATCAGGGAATGCTCTTGTTGGGGCTGGTTGTGCACTCGAGGAAAAGGAGGATGTCTCCTGACGTTTTTGCAAGATCATGTCCCGCCGTTCCAGAATTTGACTCGATGGTATGCGCGCAAAAGAAACTTCCATCATGCTGAATGCATCTTTCCACTCGCAAGAGGACTCTAATAGAGTGATGATCATCGTTTCTCTGCTAACGATAACTTTGGTGATTCTATCGGTTGCAGTTTAGCATTGCACGACACAGGAGAGGGAGAAGGGGAGAGTTGCAGATGAAAAATATAAAGTCGTGCTTACATATGAGGTGCCCTCTGGTCCTCTTCATTGCAATTGAGATGAGAAGACACTACAACCAAGTGGCTAAGCTGTTCAATCTCCTTCCTTACCCTGTCTAGAGCATCAATTGAAGAAAAATATAGCTTTATTTCTCCCGGGAAGCATGTAATTCTCTGCAAGTCGGACTCGATATCTTCCAAAGATAAAATCGGCTTCTGGCTCCTCACCAGCACGCTGGCTGTAAAAATAGAGCCATCTGGAGCAGCACGGCCGTTAATGCGGCTTTCAATAAAGTCGAAGGTGGTTTTTCTCTTCAGAAGACTCAAAGGTGCATCTCGTGACTCTAATTTGGACCTCAGCGTCGCAGCTGAAAGCAATCGAGAGCGAGAAAGTTCCAATGCAGAAAATTCATCACCAAAGGAACGATGAACAAGCCATAAAAGAACGAATAGCTGCCAGTAGAGAATGCGGGAGATGAGGGAAGCGCTCATGCTGTCTCGAATGATAGAGAGCTATGAAAGATCACAGTGAGGAATGAAAAAAGCTATGGCGCCAGAGGTGCTTCAGATATCAATAAGTAGCTCCTTCAATGCAGAGCTCAACATCGCCAAGGTCGGGAAATGGGTATCGGAACTAGCTCAGGAGATAGGAGATGCAACCAGGGATCGGAGTTGCAGTAGAAAAAAAAAAAAAAAAAAAGAAAGGATCCCGATTTTACGAGGAAGAATAACCACGATTAGCGTGAGATTTGGAGCTGAACAATGCAAGCTATCACTAGATGCGACGCTTCCGCATCCTCCAGCAGGCAATACAAGCAAGCCCTTGGGAAGGCAGAGAGAGCATGGAAGAGATGAGCTCGAGGGACATCGTGGCAGCTCTGGGCAGAACCATGGGCTCGGGATCGCAGTTGTTACATCGCTGCAGCTGAAAAATAGTGTCGAATGCATCTTTCATCCAAGGCCCTGCAGGGTGATGGTGGCAGTTTCATCAATGTTATTCCTTTTGCGCAGAGGACATGTGACATTGTCTCGTAAAGGTCTGCCCCGTTCCCGGCTCTCTGGAAGGCCGGCCCTGTAGATAGCTGGTTATCCGACAAGGGGCTGGTGGGCCACACAGAGAGATAGCAGAGTCGGTAACTAGTTATCTGGGGAGCGAGCCGGTTCATCCATTTGATCAATGTCATACTGGCCCAAGTATTTGACAAGTGTGTTGAACTACCCGGCATGGGTGCAGTCACAGACTTTCAGATTATCAAGATGAAAGTGGTCCATGTCGAGGCCCCCCCCCCCCCCCCCCACACGAGGAGTCGAGCAGTATAGTCTCAGAACCCGCCTTTGGTGTGTCTGTCATCGTGGTTGAAGGGAGTTTGTTCCTGGATGCCAAGTTGGATTTAGTCAGTTACTAACTTTATCGTAAGCGGACTTTCTCCTAACGGCTCGTTGAGCCAATTCTTTCGCTGTCAGAATTCCCTTCTGAGCTTTTGTAGACGCATTCTCATTTTCATTCTCATTCTCACTCTCACTCTCACTCTCACTCTCACTCTCACTCTCACTTGTAGTTTTGCTTCTCATTTTGCAGTCTGTGGGACCTTGTGTTCCGGTGTCAGAATAGCAGCGCTACGCATGATAAGCTGGACACTCTCAAATCAGATTTAACTGATTGAACCAGCGAGACCCTTTGCACGACACTTGATATGCTGCCTGATCTTGTTGAACTGACATTCTAATCAAGTTACATTGTGTAGATTTTTTGAGATTCAGAAAGACTCCTGCTAGTAATCTAGGAGAACAAGCAATAATTTCCCTTGATTTTTTCTCTACAATTCCAGTCGGATATGGTCGTATGTACTTATCATTAGGGTCAGTCAAATCTGGTGGAGCGAATTCAAATGCGGGAAATTTAAACCGTATAAACGAATTGAAAAACTTCTCCAACCTTTCATCCGCATGGCTAATCCCGTACTGCAATCCCATGAGACAGACTCACTGAATTTCCTCCCTCCCCCCGGCCTGAATTTACGAATGAAGAACGTTTAGTTCTCCGTACATACTCCGTGTTCTTGACCTGCAAACGGCATCGAATCAGAGTGCAAGCCAGCCTCGCCAAAGCAAAAGTGCTGGGTTTCTTGTCAGGTCCATTCATCTCCAATAATCAAACTCTATTTATATATAGCCATTCCAGCTACGGAGGTGTCGAACTTTAAGCAGCCAGGCCAGTGGGTAACTAACTAGTGCAGACGCAGTGGGCCCGCATGAGTCCGGCGCCCTGCGGCAAACGGCTATTTGCGCCTGGGTTGGAATAGTCCAATGGGTCCAAGGCGCATTGTTTGCCCACTGCAACAGCTCACAGCGATTTCAGATGTGATTCGACAAAAGTAACTACGACATCTGCATCAAGTCTCCAGGGTCGAGTAGCGCATTTACAATCGCCAATTCTAGTTCTAATTGTGATTTTTTTTTTTTTTTTAACTTGTCAGCCCCTAGCTAGGGAGGATGTAATAATAAAAGCTCAATTATTGTGCCGCTGTGGTCTATATCGCATTGATTTCCACAATAAGACCCTCTAAATTTAGGTCCAAGCACGGAGTACTACTTCGTATAACTTAGTTATAGATTCGAACAATGACGATATTTCGTCGTTTTTCTTACTCCCAAAGCCCTGCCTCTTTCTCCACCATTCCAGAACCCCGCCAGCTATCGGTGTAAAGTCTTTTTTTTTTTTAATTTTTAATTTTTAATTTTAATTTTATATTTTATTTTTTTTTGAGCTACCCACAAGCGAGATCTATGGCTAATTTGAGTAGCTGATGGTGGGTTTCATCCTGAATGCGTGGGAAGACGGAACGGCGATGTTAGAAAATAGTGAGATTAGAAAGTCTCAGTAGCAGCTTGGACCGAAAATATTCCGCGTGCCGCGGAGGAGCAGGATAATTTTTGAGATCCGATCTCATCTGCGGTTGTGAGATGATGGGGTGAAAGGGTATGGCCGTAGTTCCGCCGCGGGGTTTTTGAGTAACTATATATTAGGTTTGCTGGTACCATTCAACCGTCCAAAGGTCCAAGGACAGAAAAGTTTGAACCGAACAAAATTTGAAAAGCAACGTCGGTTTCCCTGGTTTTTGATTGCCGCATTGGGAAATCTGTTGATGCACGAAACCGTGGTTATGATCTAGGCCCGGGGATACGGAGATTAGGTCGAATCGTAAATATAATTATTCACACAACCTTTAAAGTGGGTCTATTAGTAGGGCAGTAGCGGTTGTAATGCAATTGGCCGTTGAGAAATACAAGAAATGGAAGATGCCGGAGAAGAAGTCGAAAGAAAACAAAATACAGACAAGACCGAAAGGGGAAACAGAATGGGGAGTGGAAAATGAAAAGGACACATGCAGAACTCGGCTTCGTTTTACAATGCAATATGCGAAAAGGCCACGCGCGAGAAGGAGAAAAGAGAAACATTAAAAAGGTAAAAAGTAATCCGGAAATGGAAAAGGCACAGAAGAAGAAAAAAAAAAGAAAAGAAAAAGAAAAAGAAAGAAAAAAACCAGACATGCAGAAGTAGTCTCGTAATAACAGCTTTCAATCTCCTCTCCCCTGTCTGTCCGTCTTTCATGCTTTCGTTCGTCAAATATGTCTACTGGGTTTGTTGAGGATCAAGCAATATCTATGCGACAATGTAATAGTGGGAATCTCAGGTAAACGAAACGAAAAAGGAAAATGGAACAACATCAGAAAGGAAAACCTAATATGGAGAGGAAGAGGAAGAAAAAGAGGGTCCCGTTAAATAATACAGAAGTAATGCGAGGAACAAGAGAGGGGGAAAAAAAAAGGCAAAAAAAAAAAAAAATTAAAATTAAAAAATTAAAGGAAACGGCCATGAGACGAAATCGTCCAGTTAAAACCAGGCATTTATACGGACAGTTGTCTCGCGAAATTAAAGGCGTAGTAGGGAAGTAATCACCATCACTTCTTCCCCCTCTGCGTCCCCTTCTGGGGCACATCCTTAAGAATATCATCAAAGCTCATCATTGGATTAAAACTGACCGGCCTCGACGGTGGTTCCAACGACATCACGCTCGCCGGCAGCGGCAACGCTTCCAACCCCATATGTATCGACGACCTATTGCCTCCCCACATCGTCCCCGGATGGCGGGCCGGCGAATTCTCCTGCGGCAGGGGCAGTGAAATAAGCGGCGGCGTCTGGCTTCCCGGCGTGATAAGCGGGGTAACCTGTCTATCCGAGGAGGATCCTGTCGATGAAAGCGGCGGCGGTGGTATGGGGTATTGATACGGCGACGACGACGGTATCGTCACCACTACTGGCGCCGCCATATTCATCCCCTCCTCTTCCACGTTATCCAGCATTACAGGGGACTTCATCTGTTGCTGACTTGCCCAGGTCATCCCTACTTGCCAGCAGTGGCTGCGACGGTAGACGCCCTCGACGCCATTCGCGACAACGTCAGATGGCAGACTTACCACGCCCGAGCCACCCGCGACACCGAACCAGCTGCGTCCGGATTTCGTATCCTCGCGACACCATGGTATGCCACCGCGCGGGGGGACGCAGAGGAAATGCTCCACACCCTGCGTAAAGCGGACTTCAGCCGCGTCGACAACGACCATTGGCAAGGACTGGAGGACGGCGTACATGAAGAGCCATTGTCCGCAGCGGTTGTCGGCTAGTTCGTCTGCTGTCTTGCCTAGGGCTGCGCGGCGTTCGAAGCGAGTGAAGTCCTCCAGGAACGGGGTGGGTTTCATGCTTGTGTGGTTATAGGAGCTGACGAGGATCTCGTTGACTTCGCCGACTTTGAGCTTCTTGGTGCGCTCTTTGAGTTCGCTGGTGGCATCGAGGTTTTTGCGTATGGAGCGGATGCTGGGAAGCAGTGGGATGTCAAAGGGCACGGGGGGTTGGACGGGTGGGGTACTCTGGTCGTATTCGCTCATAACCTGTCGGAGAGCGCGGGCGCTGGAATCCTGAGGGTCTGTGGGATCGCCAGCGTCGTCCATCATGACCATGTCTATCGTTCTGGTGGTCAGGGATGTCCTGTCAACGAGCATGTCGTACAAATCTGCAAAGTCCTGGTATAGTTCCATGAGGACCAGACGATTTAGGCCGCTCTCTTCAAACTGGTTCTTTTTGGAACTGGCCTTGGGTGGCCATGATCCAAACCGTGCACGGTAGTAGGAGATAACATTCTTTCTATATGCTAGACAGGCGTTTTTCCAGTCTTTGAAGCGGATAACTTTTGCTTCGTTCAAGGTGCTCGAGTTGGCGATCCCGGAGAAGAGGGAGGGGAAATCAAAATCTTCCAATTTATTACGAACAGTTCTGAGGCGAGTGTCAAGGTCGATGAATGCTCTTTCCATCCGTTGTTTTGTGATATCAGAAATAAGGGGGTATTTGGAGCTGTTTAAATGTCTGATATCATTCAGCCTGCCAACACCGTGGATGAAGCCTTCTGAATACAATGGGAGGAATTTCATTCGCTCTCCCAGAATAATAGCCTCGAGCGTTTTCTCGCGACTCTTTCGCACGTCGTTAATTCTAAGCTCGTCGCAATAAGCAGCAAAGCTGGAGGTAGCGGTCTCTCCAAATCCTGAACCGTCCAAGTTGGTAAATTCAAATCGAGTAAGGAGGGTGGAAATTTCCAGGAAAATGTCAAAGATCGAGGGGAATCGACGCGTGGCAACCAAGGACTGGCCAACTAAAAAGGCGAACAAATTTCGGAACCGTACAAGCATGTCAACATCGTTGTCCTGGAGAACAGCATGTCTATTGGAAACGTCACCTTCTAGAGGTACGGGAACGTAGAGATGTAGCGGTTGAAGAGGTTCGTCTAAGGAGTATTCGCCGGATGTCCTGCTGATTAAACTACTCCCATCGTCTTCAATGGATCCTGCGTTGTTACGCGCTGCTGGGGAAGCTGAACGGGGATAAGCAATCTGCAATTCCTCAGGGATGGTTCGTCGTTTGATCCTGGGTGTTGGATCTGCGCCTCGAGCTAGGTAGGTGAGTGATGTGGAGGACACGAATAGAGATGAGTCGACTTTGAACGAAGGTCCCCTGCCAGCATTTTGTGGGAAAAGATATACAAAAGTGTCTCCGTTGTCATCCCACAGCTCTCCAACCTTTGAAAAGTTAATATATTTCATATGTAACAAAAAAAAAAAAAAAAAAAAAAAAACCTCAGAAGCCAAAATATAAATAAATAAAAAATTAAAATAAAATAACTGTATGAGACGTACCATATCCCCGTTTATCAGAGGGTTAATATCGTAAGCCATGTCCTGACCTGCCCCAGCAATCCACGCCCGCATCGACGAGTGAGGTCGATTCATATCAGAAGAATTCATGCGTAATTTCCCAGAGACCCAACTGCGCGTTTTGAAGGACCTAGACTCGGTGCTCACGGCAGAGAGAAGGCCCGATCTGGAGGCGGGACGAGCAGAACCAGCCGCCATATTAGACAGCCCACCGTTCCAGCTCCGGCGTCGCTCTCGCGCGGGACTGGAGAGATCTGGGTTCACTGTGGTGAGTGGGGGCGGGGGCAGCAGCTGGGTATCGTTGTTAGTGACTGAGTCGGGTCTGGGAAGCGGCGTGGACACAATCCTGCTCGACGGGGGAACGACATCTAGGGAATTTGTTGAGAGATGCTGTGCTGAGGCAGCATGACGTAGAGGAGGGCAAGAAGAGGCAGGATTTTGTTGCTGTTGCTGTTGCTGTTGCTGTTGTTGTTGTTGTTGTTGTTGCTGCTGCTGCTGTTGGATGCAAAGATGGTTGAGGTTGTTGTTATGATGTTGGTCGTGAGGGGTGTCGTGTGGCGGAGGGTTTTGAGGGATGGGCTGAGAAGCAGATTGGGCATTGTCGGAGTTATCTTTGGAAGAAGAAATCAGCGCGAAGAGAGAGGACAGCCGCTTGGCTGGCTTGGAATGGGTAGAGAGCATTTTGACTCTTGGACTATTGACTTCGTAGGTTTAAACTCTGGGAGTTATTGGATCGGGGGTGTGACGGTGGCACGCGGGAAAAGGAAAACTGATGAAAAAGGACACTGAAAACCCCAGCTGAAAACACTGCAAGGTGGTAGGAAGGAGGGATGTAAGTAGATCAGATCGACAAGGGGGAAAAAGTGATATGTTCTAAAGGGGTATTAGGATAAAATAAGGTGAGGTGAGGAGAGTTGGAGGTGGGTGGAAAACACGATCGTAAACCACCGGATCATAAAACCACAGCCAAGTTTATGTGAGGTAACAAGCAGAGAGCAAAGTGGACGCAAAGTCGACGCAAGGCCAGCTACGACAGCTCCCAGCAAGTTTACCAGCAAATCGGGAGCCTCGTGAGGGAGCGAGGTTCACAGTTGTGGATCTATATATGGGGTTTGGATGCTAATTTAATCCGTCAAGTGAAGTTGATACTATTAGTGACTGGCGGCTTTCACTCCGGAGTTCAGCTCTGGGATTTCCTCCAATTGTTCCGCCTTCTCTGCCCGTAAGCTATCCATTTCGTTGCTGATCCGTGGTTAACTATTCATTTTTACGTAGTTTTGCCCAACTCGTCCCCGTTGATCCGGCCCACCAGTGGGGAATCTATAGTTGATTAACTATAAATTTAGAAGAAAAAGGAAAAACGCAAAATGAATCTCGACTGGTGCTTCCAGTCATTAATCTCCTTAACAACTTGCCAGGCGCAACAGCATAATTGTTGACCATGACTTGTCAAAAACCAGGAGAGTGAGAACGTAGCCAAAAAGAAACCTTCTTCCAGCGTGTCCTCCGGCTCCCCCCCTCCCAATCTGCAACCTTAACTAGCTAAAGCAAGGCGTAGATAAGTAATAACTTCCATTTGTGGCGCGGGAAAAGTCAGAGGCTCAGCCCTCGTAGCTAAATCACTTTCCAACGGTTTCTTGCGGTCGAGAAGTGGAGACGAGGACGTGGAACAGGCGAACAGCGGCGTGGCTACGAGTAACTACGCAAGGGGCTCTGTCGTCTCATTCTTATTCTTGACAGCCAGTGAAGAATTACCCACAGCGACATCAAAGGGACCCCTGGCAGCATTGGATTTGGCGGCAACCTGTCATCCCGGCACGGGGATAGCCGATACGCGATAAACTTGGGTTGACATCTTTATTATTAACCTCCATCGAGGCTGTAACTATTGACCACGGAGTAATTCATGGATTTTTGAGAACTCGCCGCTTCAAACGCTTGCGCCAACCAAACCAGCCCCAGACCAAAAATGGCCGTGCTTACGCAGTATGTCGACACAATTTTATTTTATTTATTTTATTTTATTTTATTTTTTGGCCAGTTGCTGAAAATAGGATCGTGTTCGCGACCCCAGAAACACGTTACTCTTGTGCTTGGGGGATAATCATCCATTGGACGGACCGGTGTGAAATCTCGAATCTTGGCCATCGGTCGGGAACAGGGAGCAGAAAACAGAAAACAGAAAACGTAAAATAGGCTCTTTCGGGATTCTCTGACGCCTTGCAACTGATTAAGGATATTAAGGCGCGCGGTTAGTAACTATCATCAAAGCAGACCTGAAGTCGAAGCAGTCAACAAATACTATGTTTAGATTCACCTCGCGCGCCCTGGGAACTGCCCCTGGAGCTAGCTCCAAACAGGTTAGCCCCAGCCCGGGCAGAGGAACCCACCCTTGGAACTTGGCAGAATTGAGCGGTGACGCTTGATAACCCTCCGCAGAAGCAGAACAAACAATCGAATGTCAGTCCTTGGATGGATCCCAGATTGCTTGCTAAAAAGGCCCGGGGGGTTCGTTGCCATGTAAGTATAACGCGGGGTGCCTCGCGGTCACAGAGCTCCGGAGCTCCGGTCCACGCTTTGGGAGTCGACTGGTCAGGGGAGGGAGAATCGGCTGGCTGCAGAGTTATTCCTGTTTGTTGATACTGCTATTCCCGTTTCGATATAACTATGCGCCTTACTTAAGCGACATTATCTTGCAGCCGAGGGATTGGGACAGAGCCGTTAAAAGCCTGATCCTTGTTACAGAGAAATATATATAAATATAGCTATGTGATTTTGAGCCGTATTTCGGAGTCAATGGATGATACTGGGGTTACGTGCAGGATTGCTTTTCCTATGTGAGATACAATTTGGCTGTCTGTTTCTCTCGGGAATTGTATATAGATTGCAACCGGGTGTTGAGTATCTCGAGAACAAACCTCCCTGTTGCAGATAAACCTCTTGGTATCACACGCCGTTTCGTTGTAAGCCAGAATTAATGTATGCGTCATAGATCAGCAAAACCGTGGAATGCTTTTCCATTGGGCTAACGAGAGAGTTAATTGGCTGCATGTGACGCCACCGACGCCACCGACGCCACCGACGCCTCTGTGGGGATCAGTAAACCCTTCGTCAGCCACTATTATAAGGCTTGCTCTAAACCGGGTTGGAGCACATTTAGATCCGGGGGAAAAAAAAACAACAAGAACAATTAATTAAATCTTCCATCGTGTTGCCCCCGATTAACAAGTAGTTATATCCATCCCCCAATCCCCAAACTAACCCACGTCCTTTTGTAATGCGACAAATAAACCTATTCCGAGGCTGGCCGAACCCGTCCCTCCAACCCCCTCCCCGCCCTAACCACAGCCACATCCAACCATCCTCTCCAACCCGCTCCTCTCCGCCCCGGCTCTCAGCTACGGGCCCAATGAAGGCGATGCCTCCGTTCGCGCGGAGATCGCCCGCTGGCTCTCCGGGTTCTACAACCCCCCCCCCCCCCCCATCCCCGGTAGCCGCCTCCCGCATATGTATCACCGGCGGCGCAAGTCAGAACCTGGCTTGTCTGGTGCAGGTCTTTTCGGACCCGCTGTACACGCGGAATGTATGGCTGGTGGTGCCAACGTATTATCTGGCGTGTCGCATTTTTGATGATGCGGGCTTTTCGGGCAAGTTGAGGGAGGTGAGCGAGGATGCGGAGGGGGTGGATGTGGAGGAGTTGGCAAGGGGGCTGGAGAGCAGTGAGGGGCGGGCCGGGGCGGAGAAGGGCTGGGAGCGAGAGCGGAATTCTGAATCGGTATGCTGTACCTGGGGCGGAGACCGGTTATTCTCAATTTATTATTTATTTATTTATCTATTCATTTATTTATTCATTTATTCATTCATTTCCCCCTTTCTTCGCTTATTTCGTTTATTTCAAAATTTAATATATATGCGAACAATGTGTGAATATATGTACTGAACCAACACCAGAGATGGACCCTCAAGCCTCCACGCTCCTGACGGAAGCTATACAAACACATAATCTATACAACCCCGACCTTCTCTAACCCCTCATCGAAGGTAATGAGCCTCCGCCGGTCGCGAGGAGCTGGTCCTCCTCGCTCGTAAATACGACGCCCTGATCATATCCGACGATGTATATGACCACCTCCAATGGCCCGTTCCTTCCTCGCCGTCCCCGACAAAAATATACCCAGACAAAGCCCTCGTCCCGCGCATCGTCGATGTAGACCGATATCTCGACGGCGGACCGCAGGACGACTTCGGGAATGCCGTTAGCAACGGCAGCTTTAGCAAAATTGTCGGTCCTGGTTGTCGTGTCGGCTGGGCGGAAGGGACGGATAAATTTGTCTATGGCTTGTCCCAGACGTATGTTCCATGCGTTCCGACAGCAGCAGCTGGATGATTTACGTAGAAATCCTGGATCCTGTATATTCCTAGCTAACCCGATATTACAGCGGCTCTTCCCGCTCGGGCGGCTGCTCTTCGCAACTTACCTCGACGTTCATCCGTGAACTTCTCTCGACAAACTCACTGCAAACGCATATCAGGAACGTATTGCAGCCTGAGTATTGCAGTCGATATTTCACACTCACTGCTGCTGTGCGGAAACACCTCGTCCCGCTTGGCGTGTTGTTGACAAATGCAAATGGAAATGGAAATGCGAATGCAAATACAAGTGCAAATGCAAATTCCGGTACCATCGCAGGCGGCTATTTCCTCTGGCTTCGCCTCCCGCGAGGATTGAGAGCTAGCGACCTAGCAGGCAAGGCACAGGAGGAGGAGGATGTAGTTATTGCCGCAGGGAATTTGTTCAACGTTGCTCAGGAAGACGGATATAGAACTGATGCTGACGAGGTTGCCTTGGGTGGAGCTGGAGATTTTGAGAGTTATGTTAGGTTCTGTTTTGCGTGGGAGGAGGAGAGATTTGAGGAGGGGGGTTGAAAGGCTTGCGAGGTTGATCAGGAGGGAATTGGAGCGCACATGAGATGACAATTTTAATTAACATTTCCTTCTTGTTCTTCCTGTGCTCGCTACATCCCTTTATCCCTGCTGGAAGTTGTTCTGAACAAGCAGGAATTAATCTCCTGGTTCCTGGACTTGGTCAATTGAAGTAGAGAACACACACTCAGTCGAGCGTTGGGTATGCGGTCAAGCAAGACTATGCAACATAAACGCCATGCACATGTATTCAGGAGCGCTAGTTGGTATTGACACCTATCCAGCAGTCATATCTAATGATCTAGATATCTAAAGGAACGAAGTTTCAAGGGATACATCCCTTCCGCTCTGCTCAGTTCTTGGTTCCCTTCTTGATGGACGATCAGCGCTGAACAACCATCCAGGTATAATGGGGGCAGCCATTCTTTTCCTTGATCAACGCCATGAAATCTATCAGACATTCAGCACGGAACGTAAACAAAAGCATTAAAAGCCAACCGAGCTTCATAGATCCCAAATACGCCATTCTTCATTTCGTACACATGAAAATGCGTTCGTAGCAGGATAACGTGCCATTTAGAGAGTGTATCTAAATTCGGGAGAGCCATCGATGATTTTCTCGCCTCTATCGGCTTTGTTGTTCTCCCACTTAAAATATGCGGTCATGATGAGGACGGTAATGACGATGACACAAGATGTTCTGTGTGGGATAGGGATTAGTAAATGATGTTCCTTGCAATGCTTAGACGGAGAAGGGGACCCGGGGGGGGGGGGGGGGAAAGAGCTGCATTCATGTCACTCTACTTACGCTATGCAGGCGGAAATACCAGGGATATAGGTTGGCTTGTCTTGCGAGCGAAAAATAAGACTTCCTGCTATTCTATATGCGATGGATAACTATTAGTGACCTATTTTCAACTCTTTGATGACAGGATGATGCATACCCTCCAATTCCTCCAAATCCAGTCAGTGTTGCAGAGCAGAAAGCGCGTTTCCATTGACCTTTGATATTGTTTGCCTTCAGAGGAATAATTGAAAGTCAGCCGAGTCAACTTTAATTAATTTAAAAAAGTATATGAGAAAAGCGAATAAGCCTTGCTTACCTGGTATGCCATGACCAAAGGAACATTGGCATTCGCACCAGCTACGCCGAGGAACGCGCCAAAATATCTCACAGCAGAGTTCGAGTGAAACCCCATAATCGGCAGGCCAATAATCGTTATCACACTGTTCAAAATAATGAAGGGAAACCGAACTTTAAGACGGTCTGCAAACCAGGCCGTCGAAAACATCAATATCCCTGCGAAGGCGTATGGTGGTGCAACCAGGCATTGCGAAGCCGCCATGGAAAATCCGAGGTTATCCTTCAGGATGATGGGGAGGAAAACTGTGTTGATCATTAGTTCGTCATATTTTCCGGGATCGCCTGCACGTTATGGATTTGAAAGGGATTTCTCACATGCAAATGAGTACGTGACAGTCGTGAGGCAGCTGGATCATGTTAGAGAGTGATTAAAGGTTTGAACCGCAGAGGGTTGAATCATTAGGGGAAGTTAAAGAAAAGAGATTACGATTCTGCGAGGGTGGGAATAAATTCTGTATGAAACACTTACAAGAACAAGAAAGCGAATCCCCAAATGTGCCACTCAAGAGCAGGTTTCAAAAACTTGACGAGATTGAATGGCTCCATTGCCACATCTCCGCGGTCCTTTTCCAGGCGATCAACGATGAATTGACATTCATCTGGCTTGAGGAAGCGGAATGAAGGCTTTGTCAGCTCTTCGTCGGGGAAGCGGACAATAAAAATGTAGGCAAACAAGGCGATTCCGATTGTAATCTTTGTTCATGGTCAGAATATAGCATGCTGTAGAGTATCTTCCGCTTTGAGCGCTTACCACTCCCTCCATAATAAAAATCCTGCGTCACGATTTTAGCAAGAAATCCTTCATTGTGATAGGTACAACACAGATACTCACCAACGCCAACCCCGAATGCCCTGCACTCCCTCCATCTGCATAAGTCCGAATGCGAGGATTCCAGACATCGCACTTGAGAAGGACCCAATCACATAAAAGACCGAATATCGTCGCGCCACCTCAACTGGACGACATTAGAATACAAGATCATTGTGAAGATTGTTTGGAGGTTTACCTACATTTAGTGAACCATGTAGAAAGGAGGTAGACACATCCCGGAAAGTATCCCGCCTCGAGAACTCCGAGAACCAGTCGCAAGCCGACCATACCAGTCCATTTAGACATCCAGCCAAATCCGATTATAATACCCCCCCACAAAAGACAGATACCCGGTAAAAAGAGACGGGGACCGACTTTGCGACACGCAATCGTCATGATGGGCTGGAACACGATGTATGTGATGAAGAAGCTGAGGGTGATCAAACTGTACCCATACCCTTTTTGCAACTTGAGGTCCACCAGCATTCCCGCAATCGCGGCATTGGAGACGTTCTTTCGGTCCATAAGGGAAATTCCGTACATGAGACCGAGGGCAGGGATGAGTCTCAGGTCTATCCGACGCCTTATTGCGGAGGCTTCCTTAGGTGTGAACATCTCTCCAGACTCCTGTGAGCTAGCTTTATCATCGACATGATCATGCTGCAGCTTCAAGTCGCTAGAAGTCATGATTTCGGCGGCGAAACCCCTGTTTTTCGTTTTGGCTTGAGGATAGAAATCAGGAAGAAATGGGATCAGCGGATAGGCAGGCTATCGGATGGGATGGCTGGGTCCTTGTTAGTCGTGGTCACTGATGTGAGGAAATGGTATCTATCTTATAGGAACCCCAGTATGCTGCAGCATCAAATCCCGGAGAGAGATCTCGCCAGTCTCCGTGCACATCTGGAGAAGAATGAGATCCATCCATTACACCAACCTGGGGCAAAATAGGAAACCCGAGGCTGTGGCAATCCATCCCCTGTCATCGGGATTGTGGGCTGCTGTAGCACGTTTGTTCCCCGCGTTAAATCTGAGGTGTCCCTGCTGGTTAACGCGGGGAAATACACGGAGTCACGGAGGCACCCCGAAGTTGGACCAACAATATCCACAACGACCAGAAACATCTTGGCTTCTGGTTTCGAGATGGTTGGGTGATTGCCTCCATTTCCCCGCCATCCAGCATCAAAATTCTCCGGGCATGCACCGAATGCCAATATTATTGGGTTTCCCTCCCAGCCTGGGAGTGGGGATCCTTGTGCCATGGAGCAAAGCCTTGATTCTAGTCAACCTGACTCGGGAAAATAGACGAGAGAACCACAACGGCCTGTCAGGTCTTAAGATCTCTCGTTGCCAAAGTGGCACAGAACTTTTGCTTCATATCAGGTCGAATGATGCGTTGATTGGAACACATTCTGACGAATCCCTTCGCACATCATCGTAGAGTAGTTGTGGGGACTACATTCTAACGAGCCGTTGTGAAGTGCAGTCACCCGTTGATACTTGCCGAAGAGGTGGCGATACCTCACCTGCGGCTATTCAGAAGCCAAGTGGCAGAGGAAGGTCAGTCATTATTTACGCTAATACTTGTTCTGAGCGAGATTTTAGAGATGGAATGACCACGCTTCACAGGCAAATACACAGTCAACCCTCTAGCAATGTGGATAGAGAGTTAGGCTCCCAGAAACTAGCTGTGGAGACAACCCCAGGTAGGGGGGAACCAATTGTAAGCAGGGAGCTTCCACACAACAACTCAAGAGGTGCGATAACGGGCTTGTTTACCCGGGCTGATGTTTGTCATGAAGATCAAAATAACTCTTAACTATCATTTTGGCCCATCTGTACGGAGTACAACAGCACAGAGTGCTAGTTGTCATTCAAAATTACCTCCCAGCCCCTGTTCCAACCAAATTCGACTGAGATTTTCACCAGTAGTTAAACTATAACCCAGTAACTAGCTGGAAAAATACGGTAAGCCCGTGAGGCCCACATAATTTGACAAGTACCTCTCCTAAAGCGGAGGGTTAGCGGGTACCATTTCTTGAAGTCTACTCCGCAGTGAACCCTAGAATGCGAGGGTCTTAAAAAGATATTGCAACAACTCCAGTCTGCAAAGTGGCGAATCAAGGTTGCGAGATCTCTTTAGACCGTGGCCAGGTATTACTCTAATAAAATTAGCACAAAGGAACAAATGAAGGAAATCGATAGCCTCCTCCACCGTGAAACGGGGAGGGTATGAAATGCTTGGAAGAGAAGCCAGTCTCTCAAGCTAGTAGACTTATAATTCGAGATGTTTGGAAACACCGCAAAGGTCCATATATTTTTCGCTTCTTCGGATTCTTCGGTTCCAAAAATTATTGACCTATGTTGGATCAGCACCATTACGCTCCTTGCCAGGTCAACGATAATTGACCAAGCGCTCATTGCGGCAACAGAGCAAATGTCTGTGAAAAGACAGCGTCGAAAGTCTCGAACAACGGTGGTGGCTTATCGAACGGACATCGTTTCTCGAAATGGAACAATTCGCATTTTCCAGCTAGTTAGGGTGGAACCTCGCATTTAGAAAGCCTGGCAACTAACTATAGTTATTCTAGCCGCAGTTAAATAGATCTTGGAACGCATCCTGCCCTTCTTATAGGTTGGTTAGGCGGTGAATTATGTTTTGAGTAATGTGGGCAAAGTCGTTGCAGTTGCGACGTCAGAACGGCCCGTTGGAAAGTTTATGAGGCTTAGAAACGGAGAGAGCACCTGAAACAACAAAGGGACAACCCTCGTCGAACTGCGTACTGAATAATGTCGAGCATACTCTCACTCCGAGGGGCTTTAGCGTCCATAGCGACAATCCAATGATTGCCTTGTTCGAACGGTTCATCGTTCGTATAGCTAGTTACTCGTTCTCCATAACAACATCCACTATTACCAACATCTAGTCAAATTGTTAAGCCAGGCAACGAACTTGACAGATGCTAGTGGTTGCTAGGGCTTCAACGAAACCGGGCACGACAGCAGATGTGAATAAGGCCCACTGAAGGCTGTGGAGTCGTAGTTCAACTCCTCTTTTCTCAATGCAAAGTCGTTGCACTGGAATCTGCCGTGGTGTTCCCAGTTTGGATCCAAGAATAGACAACTGAGAAAACACCCCCGGCATGCTTCTGGGTGTAGTTTGTCCCGATCTTAATTGTATATAGTGATATATATACGGTGTGAAATACGCTCATCGGCCCCGGAGTTGGAACATCGTGATTCCGAATCTGATTCTACCCAGTTTTAATGCGTCCTTGACAAGCAATTCATATTTGAATACAGAGCACATACTATTTGTTATAGGATTCTCAAAGAATAGGTAAAAGGGGAGAAGGGCTCCTAGAGCTAGTTGACTGCACTGTCGTGACACCGAGCAAATGCAATCTTTAAATCAATAATCATCGACACTCGTCATCCGAATTTATATAACGCCTGCCGTTTATCGGCGAAATCCATCCGCAAACTAACGCATGCCGAACTGTACTTTGACTAGTAACAGGGGGTATTATGCGCAAAAAAGAGTAATTAAAAGAAGAGAGAAGAAACATATATAAAGAAACCTTTAAACAAAGCGAAGAAAAGAAAAAAAGATCATAACCAACTAATTTTTATTTACTCAGCAGCCTGCTGGAAAATAGCCAGCGTTGAGCAAAAATTATTTCGATTCTCAATCTGCTTCACCAGCGCCTTTCCATCTTCTGCACTCGTAATCATATTCGTGCTCGCCTTCGTACTGACCCCGTACAAATGGACAGCCGAACAGTCTACCTCAATCATATTTTCTTGACAGGACTCTGTAGCGAGACATTCCTGTTTGTAATTATCGAAGAAACTGTATAGGCCGCCACCATAGAGGTAGATGTCGCTAGACTGGAGGATGCGAAGGCCCCACGCCTTCTTGCACGATTCAGTTGTGCACTTGGAGAAATCTGGGTCGTTGAATTTCGAATTGGGTTTGAAGGGGACTAGTGCATTGGGGTTGGCTTGGAAATATGGCGTCTCCACCTGAATCAGGGCCATGTACACGTTTTTGGCGCCGACTATTGAATATTGATAGAGTTGCGAGTGTTCGCTGGCAGTACCATACATCCAAACAGGACCAGAACTCTCAATCAGCACGCCACGGCCGTTGTAAATGTTAATTTGTCCATGATCAGATAGATCGAGTTCATGGTCCGAAACCCAGAACCAGGTATTTTCGAAGTAGCCGGATGCCTGCTTCGTGAGGTGGAGAAGCAGGAAGGCACCTAGGCATTTGGGATCGGGTGTGGTGGTGCTATTTGGAGTCTTGGCACAACTGTCGCTCTGGAGCTCGGTACCAGCGGTGCCACCAACTCTAAAATGCACATCCCACATTCCCACTGAACCTTGGAACGCTTCAGCAACATTCCACTCCATCAAGATGGCACCGGGGGCGGGCCCTTTAGTCTCTATCATCAAATCGCTGATTTCAACTGTGCCTTTATCACCTGGATGGCCGACTTGGAGGAATGGGATGGGTTTTGTCTCGTCAGAAAAGGCGGGGCCTGAGGCCATGAGAAGTGGCCATACTTCACCCGTTATCTTGATTTCCTTAGGTACTTTGAGTGTAGAGGTAATGACATACGCTCCATGGTCGAAATACACGATCTGATCTGGCTTCGCGTTATCCAAAACTGCCTGGATTGCTTTCGTGTCGTCTGTTTTTCCGTCTCCCTTGGCTCCAGCCTTCTTAACACTTATGAAAGACGTTGTGGGAACATTCTCGTACCCTGGCTTTGACCGCTCGAATACTTTGCCAGATAAATCAAGGAGGACTGCAGGCTTGGTAGGGTTGCTAAGAACCTCACTGATTCGTGTCTTCGTGGGGGCCGATTGTTGGCAATCTGATGGAGCGCTCTTCGTCGGTGAGGGAGTTGGCGATGGGGGCTCCGTAGGTGAGACTGAAGATGGAGTTGCGATTGCTGACCTCGACTCTGTGACTGGTGTCTCCGTTTGTGTTGGGGTGTTATAGGTGGATACTGGCGGTGGTGAGGGTGCCGGGTTGGGTTTTGGAGAATTCGGAGCTGGCCGGGGTGCGGGAGGCACAGGGGCTTTGCAAGAATCTCTAGCAACATGGCGCTTATGAATTGGTGGAGATAGTCCATGGGGCTGAAGATGAGGAGCTCTCTTCGATGCTTTCGTCTGGGGAGAGCTTGCTCCAGGGCTATATGCATTTCCCTGGACCCATGAAGCCACGACTGAGCCTCCTTCCAAGACAACTGAGCCATTAATATGGGCAACCGCAATCTCAGAACCTGTGAAATCGACATTGTCGATGACTAGAGTTCCTCCAGTTTCAGGAACACTGTCTTCGTTAAAAGAGGTGACCACAGCTTTGGGCGTGCCTTTGAATTTGCTGTCAAGGATCAACACAGAGCCAACGGTCTGGTTGAAACCACCATTTGACATGTTCAGACCCACACCGCAGTTGTTGACGCTGATCGATTTAAATGCCCATGCCCAGTTCCAATTCATAAACACCGCTGTGTTGCAATTATTAAAAGTGAGGTTTCGCGTGGTAAACTGCTGATTACCCAAAAAGGCACCATAGTTACCACCGTTGAAGACAAGATCAGTCATGAAACCACCGGAGCCGTTATCCATAAAGATACCCTGCTGCTTATTGGCCTCACCACCGCCTTGGACCATCTCGAAGCGGATGTTTTGCAGGCTGCTAGCTTGAGCCACTTGCCAGTGGATACCAGCGCCGGATCCCCGATCCATACCTGTCATATCGATAACGAAATTTTTAATGGACCGGAAGAAGTTGTTTTGGTTCGTATACCAATTGGCCCCAGTATCGGTGTACGGATCAGCATCGATAAGAGCAATTCCCTGAAATGAAGCGGCAGCTTTGATGACGGGAAGAGCTAAAGCGTCTCCAACCAGCTGGGTGTAATAGTACTGGATAATTGGCTTGGATACGACATATGTGCCAGGAGGGAAGTACACAATGGCTGGAGTGACAGTTGAGGAGTCACAACCCAATCCACAACGGTCTCCGGTTGATATTGCCCTGTTGATCGCCTCAGTATCATCCGTCACACCATCACCTAGGTTCGTGGTTCGTCAACAAGATTTCACATGGCTTGAAGGTAAGGATAAGGGGCTAAACCATACCCATTGCGCCAAAGTCTGTCACTTTTCGATAGACTTTGTAGGATTCCTTGGACTGTCCAAAAGCAGGGGCACCTTGGCGTAAGATAGAGCTCACCCAATATTCCGATGCTTCAGTAAGGGGTTCCTCCTGGAACATAGGGATCGCACTAACAGGGCTAGTCAAGCCGCCTAGCAACAACCAGAGATGGGCAATAACACACAGGATTAATGATGAGAACATCATGATTTCATGAAATGGGGGGGGGGGGGGGTCCTAGTGCTCTAGAGAGCGGGGATTAATATAGGAAAAGCTAGGATATTAAGGGTGTTGGTAGAAGAAAGGGAGATTCAAGTGCACAGCACCTGAAACTAGGATGTAGATATCCGAACAGCAATGAAAATCGTAAAGAGAGAAAGCTGAAGAGACACAAGTTGAATGAGAGAATGACAGCGACACAAACAACATGCGCAAGGAGAAAGAGGAGGAGTTGATGAGAAGATGAGGAGGGTGTCTAGGTACGGAGGATGAGAGATGTCTTCAGAGGGGTGGTCGTGACTATAAGAAGTAAATTCTCTCAATCAGATTGTTGTGTTACCTGTAAACAAAGCTCTTGTGAAAGGAGAGACTGTGAATTAATCAATGAAAGAACAAAATAAACAAACTACTCTATGACAAAAACAATATCCACAGCACACAAAGGACGAAGAGTCGCGCAATGGGAAAATAAAAATAAAATAAAAGAGAAGCGGATGAAGAGGAGTATAAAAGGGGGTTAAAAACACAGGGAGAAGAACCAAACTGGGATGTTGTTGGTACATGTGTACCATGTGTATTGAGGTCGTATTACATACACAACTACAGTGCAACGGCCGTTTATTTGGGGCGGTAATTCCGTGACAGGACACCCAAAACGTCCTAATAACGAAATGCAACCAAGGCCCTGTCAACCAACCATCGCCGCAACCCAAGTTGCTAATGCGACAAAGGGTACGTTTCGTGTTTGCCGCCATAAAAAGGCCCCGGATTGTTTATAGAATTGCAAGGTATCTGTGATTATTACAGCATTGGTGGTTGAGGGGGTCAACGTTCTTTGAAGGTGTTTGTTTACTTCGTTTTGGCGGCAATAATAATAGTATTGGGCTGCTCCACTTTATATTAACAAATGATGCTTTCGTTGTCGAAGACAAAAAGAGTCTTTGAGAGAATACATAGATTTGGTCAGGTTGTAATTCCCGGGCTATCGAGAACAAGCATAAGTGCGCTGCTGATGATGCTTCAACATTATTCACCAGATCACCCACTCCAATCCATAACGGACCTGTGTACTCCGTACTACGTAGTTAATGCGCTATCCAGAAAACTCACTTTTACCTTTCTCTCCTCTGGGTTGTGTATTTCATCCATGAATCATGATCATATTGCCCTCGAGTGATCAGTCGCATCACAAAATTTCCGGTTCCACAAAAAGAAAAGAAAACCAGGTGTGTTGCAATGTTGGACATGAGGGATGAAGAGATTGCAGGTTGCTTGTATTTCGCGACTCGAGGGCCGGCGGCGAATCTAGAGCTACAGGGATCGACAGACGCGCCCCCCCCCCCCCCCCGGCGGGCGGCGATGACTAGCGAGTCAGGTGCATGAAACCCTCTAATAGTTCGCCGCCTCGTTGCTGTGTTTGAACATCATTGAACCATCCACGGATTACTGGTGGTGATAGCCATCGTGGGATGGGTCTAGTCAGATGTAGTCCAGTTGGGCTGTAATTGTATACAGTTGATTACTGCTCAGTATGGAGTGCCGTCAACATGTTGTCCATGTTTCATAGAAGTGAAACGGAGAGGGGGGAACAAGGCACAAGCGGAGATGATGATTCTTCGAAGCTGATGAAATGTGAAATGTGAAATGCGCGATGTGGATCGGCAACTTTGCGCCCATCACATGGGTGGTTGGTGGAACTAGTGAAATTACCTCCCACTTCGTTAACCAACCAGAACAAAACATCAAACCTGGGAGTTGCCTCGAGCATGGTGAAACACAGACTGCCATAGGGATGTAATCAGCAGTTGAAGAAGAAAACCTGGGGCTTTTCTTGGATGGAGGGAGAAGAAAGCTCTTCAGGGCTACCAACAACTTAAACTTCAAGCGACAGAAAATGCCACTCGAAATCGAATGAAATCGCGAAAACTATTCAGAAACCACACCTCTCAAATATCACACCAGTATCATAGCAGAAGCACTGGAGGGCTCACTCTTTATCTGTTCAAGCAGCTCCTTTCAGTGCTCTTCATTACTCACACAAAAGCATCATGCCGAAATCACCTGTGGTCCGAACCCCGCACAATACTGGCTGCTAACTCTCAGAATGAGTCCGTGTGAGTGTTATTGACAGGTGGTGAAGAAACTTTTGTTGATTGAAGTGCAAAAAGTTCACAATCAAGCAGCTAAAAAATTCACAGAGATTGTCAATTTTTCCTGACATAAGCATATAAAATCAGCCCCTGGGCGCAAGAGAGTGTTATCTTGATCCATCAGATTAGGGTTAGCTATTTTGGAGCTCTCCAAAGGTTCATCACCATGGATCCGTGATACTATATACAGTATTCAAACTGTGGAACGAGTGGTGATATAGGCAAGCTTGATCGATTGCAAAGGATGCTAACTACGAGAACGACAATACAGTGGAAAGTAGATCACCTGACGTAAGGGTCTTGATCAGAATTCAAAGTAATGCATATTATTTCTCCAGAAAATTGGAAATTTGAGAGCTCGAGAAGTAGCAAATGATCGAATATCAATTTAATAATTTGATTAAATACCAGGTCGTAACAACATTACATCCTACATGTGCCCTTTCCGATCCATTATTCCACATGAAATCACGAAAACTTCCAAATCCTGAAACGAAACGCAGATTGAAACGATAAAAACAAAATATAAGATAGTGGGGGACGCCAACATCTTTCTAGTCCACATCCACAGCGACATACTCTTTCTCTTCCTCCTCCTCTGAACGAACACTTGGACTTAGAGTCCGTTTACCACTTTTCACAGCTTGCTCCCCTCCCTCCGTCTCGGAATCAATTTCCATAGCCTGTGATTCAGGTGCTTTTCCCTTTCCCTTTCCCTTCCCCTCCTCTTTCTCATTGTCATTTGCATCTTCCCTTATCCCGTCTGCAACCGGGACAACCTCATTCCTGATCTGCTTCACAGAGACTCTCCGTTTAAAGGTGTCCCTGTCCACAACTAGCTTGGGAAGATATAGGATGAGGATACCATCAACCAATTTCGCTTTGATATTGTCAGCGTCGACATGTGCGGGTTGGTCGCGGGTTCCAAGGCGGATCTCCCGTTCAAAGACACCGACTTCGCGAGATCTTCCGTCGATGACGATAGCGTTGCTGAGCTCCTCGCTTACACCAGGTCGATACACCACTCCTGCGAGACGGAGGGTGGAATTCTCAGTGTCGTAATCGACAGAGATGTCCTTCTTTTGTGCACCGGGAAGTGACACGTGAATGATGTACTGAGATGCCGCATCGAAGACGTCAGCGCGGGGAACGAAGTCGACTTCCTTGTTATTTTCTGAGAATTGATTGTTGCAGCTGTTCAACACGTCGTTGAGGTCGACGCCAAATTGGTTGGCGATATTGTTGATGAACTGTTGCAAGTGTTCTTGGGGGGCTCCTGATGATTGTCCACGCTCCCCATGGGTCGCCCACGGGCCACCCGTTGGTCGACCATGTCGATGTCGACGATGAGGTCCCCACCCACCGGGCCCACTATATCCCCCATGTTCCCACGGCCCACCTCGGCCACGACGGCACCCGCGGCCTCGGAAGGGGATGTCACGAGCGTTGTTCTCCTGTTCACCTTCCCTAACATTGCTGTTCTCGTTATAAACACGGGCACTTGGTTCGCCACAGCTGTGATCGTTGTCAGAGGCGCCCTGAGCTGCCGTCTCTTGAGAAGCAGGCCGAGGCCTTGTCTGTGCCCTCTGCTGGGAGAGAGGTCGATTTCCATGAGCATGGCCGGAGTGGGGCCCAGGGTTGGAAAACATGTGAATTCCGTGCTCCCCAAGGTCTGTCAATACGTTCCACCATGGGTGGGTATGATGGCTAGGATGTTGGTTGACATAATAGATATTTGCCATGCTGGACTGTATCTGTTTTCTGTATGAATATAGATAATAATTGAAGGGTATCACAGGTTGTTCGTGTCTTTGGGTATAGCACCTCTTGTAAATATAACTTAGATACGGAGAAAGAGAAGAGGTATTGTTATGAAAACAGAAATAACCCAGAACAAGATGCTTGAGGTAACATGTTATATAGGCGTGGGTGGAAGGCACAACGGTGGTTACGTAGGACCTGTGGCCATTATGGATCGCAAAGTCACATTATCAATCATTTCACGAAGCGCCGAGAACGCACTAGAAGACAGGTTCTTTATCTGCCTCTGGGGATTGCCATACAGCACCCGAAGTACCACCCACCACACGCTTTTTCCTCCCCGCCTCTGTTAAGTGGAGCAATCGAACCAATCACACTTCCCAAGAAGCTCTCAAGGATATTGCTCGGGCGAGTCAAAGATATCCCCATGCGGCGAAGGCAACAGAATGAACACGTCTCCTTGCAGGAAACAAAATCTGTCTGTTGCACGGAAATTAGGCAGCACAATTAGTAAACCGTAGTTATGGCCTACCCTTAGCCCTGGTGTTGTGTTGAGTTGAATAAGTCCCCGGATCCCCACAGAGGAAAGTTTGACAAAAAAAAAAAAAAAAAAAAAAAAAAGGTCTTTCTAGAACTTGCTGGAATGGAGCTTCTTCACGTGACTAGAAACTAAGCTAGTTTAGTTAGTTAGTTATTCATATCTTATCTTATCTAATCTCCCATCAACCATGTTGATGTAAGTAACATGCCCTAACTCTCTCCCTTCAAAGATCTTAGAGAGGGTCATGATGAAGTTCTTCTCTGTGTTTCATGAGCTGTCGACAGTACAGCAGCAATGTGCTGATTGTGATATTTTGGTGGCAAGACGGCAAGTGTTGCAGGACGTCTTTACCCCTTGGAGATAATGGCAGTTCCAAGGCTTGATGCAAAGCTTGCCACACAAACCGATCAATGGGAATGGTGGAGGGGGATTGATTATTCCCGTATCACAAGGTTATCCTGCCTGGGTAATCTGGAAGGGGTCATCTCTTCTGTCCAAACGAGCATGAGTTGGAGAAATCGGGTGAGGATAATGTGCTCCTGGTGTTCGAACCGGGCTTTTATGTTTTGGGAGGGATGTCTCGAGATATAATTTCATCATTAGTTAACGTAGTTATCCAACTATTAGCAAAAATTGTTGCGGCGTCCTCTTCGGTTTGCCTTTGCTCTTCTTCTCTTCCTTACCTGTGCACAGTGATTTATCGATCCATCAAGCGTGTTGTTTAATTACTTTTAATTTCCCCTTCAGATAAATTTCAGAGAATGAAATTGGAATTTTTGATCGGCAAACACAACGGGGACTTTTCCCCAGCTCACACCACCGCTCCATGAGACATTGCAACAATATTTGATTCACAAAATTCTCTAAACTCTCTCATTCGATTCAATATGCCGTGTCGGCTAAGTGACTGGACGGCTTACCCTTTTTTTTTTTTTTTGCCGAGGCCGTTCACAGACGGAGTTGAGCAGCAAAAGAATGACCTAACATGGCCACTGCAAGACCAAGCAGTACTTCTTACAAAAACAAACAATAAAATAAACCATTCAAGGGAATTGTGATCCTAACCTGCAGTCACAGATGATACCGACTGACCCAAGCCCATAATATCTATCTTGTCTTTGAGTACTACTTCTGGTTCTCTCCTTCGGCACAAGCCAGCGACTTTTGCGCCAAGCCCGGTTATGCACCTCCTCTTAGCTGCGTCTCTGCGTCTCTGCGTCTCCGCTCTTGAAGTTAACCATCAAAATTCAGTCTTCCTCCCACAAGAGAAACGTATTATCCCACTCCTTTAATAACCATACAGCAAGGAGTTCACGACTGGAAATCTTATGTAAAACTACCCATGAAGTAGAAGCATATATTTTATCTGCAAAGAATCAAAAACTACTCGATCTGCCAACTCTAAACATGTCGGCCGAACTCGCCTATAAGGCCATTGCCCGCAAGAAGCTTGAGCAGCTCCATTCCCGCATTCCACAGGAATGGCAGCTCTCCTCTCAATGGATCCCTGCTGGCATGTTGTCACCGGAGGAATCGGTCACGGTCACTAATAAGTACGAAGCTGTTAACGTTATGGATGTCCCGCGGAATTGCGGTCTGTTGAAACCGAAAGAGCTACAGATTACTGAGAGATGGGATGTAAAGGGCTTGCTGCATGAGATTGCCTCAGGCAAACTATCAGCAAGAGAGGTCTCGGAGGCGTTTTGCAAGGTGGGATTCCATCTTTTTTTTTTTTTTTTTTTTAAATTCTTTTAATTTATTTTATATTATTATTATTCCCAAATCTAGGCTTTCGTGCTTCATTCAAAATCAGAATATTTCCTGTATACAATTCCTGACACACTGTGCTGAGGTGTTGACTATTTTATTCTAAACCTCTCGCCCCCCTATTTCCCAGATAGAGATACAAATATCTCTGTTCAAATTCTAGACAGAGAAAAAGTAAAACCAATAACTAACTATCTCCAGCGTGCCGCAATATCCCACCAACTCACCCGTTGCATCACAGAGCCACTCTTTGAACAGGCTCTAGCCCGAGCCTCTGAACTTGATGCACATTTGAAACGCACGGGCAAACTTATTGGTCCCCTCCATGGCCTCCCGATCTCTGTCAAAGACTCCTACGATATTAAAGGCTTCGATTCGACCACTGGCCTAGCCTCCCTTGCATTCAAACCCGCAACAGAAAATGCGCCGTTGGTGGACCTGCTTTTCGACCTGGGCGCCATAATTGTTGCGAAGACGAACATCCCCCAAACCCTCGGGGCCCTCGATAGCGTGAACAATCTCTTCGGCCGCACTCTGAACCCCCTGAACCTCAAGTTGACTCCTGGAGGTAGCTCCGGTGGAGAGGCGGTCCTGGTTGCTATGAGAGGTTCCATGATAGGAATTGGCACAGATATTGGCGGCAGCATCCGCATTCCGGCCATGTGCCTTGGGATTTACGGCTTCAAACCAAGTGTTGGACGATTCCCCTTTGGCAGCCCGTCAAACAGAGCTGTCGCACCTAAGATGCGTGTTGGTCTACAGGCTGTTGGTGGGCCAATCGCCCGATCCATGGAAGATATAGATGTCCTCATGAAGGAGGTCGTTCCGAGAGCGGAGCTCTACGGTGAAGATTGCATTCCCGGCCAGTGGGGTGCGAGTGAGACACCACTCTTGTTGGCGAAACCGCGAAAATTCACCATCGGCATCCTGCCTTCCGACGGACGTATCCAGCCCCTACCCCCCATCGCCAACGTCTTGAATGAAGTGGCACAAGCACTCCGCAACATCCCCAGTGTCGAGGTTGTCGAGATCCCCATCCCTGACGCTCTTGGTGATTGTCAACGGGTGGCAAATGATCTGATGGGGCTAGATGGGGCCGGAAGCATGGCTGATCTCATCGAAGCAACTGCGGAACCTCTGATTCCCTGGTTGCAGGCCAGATTCAAACGGGGGACACCGAAGACTCTCGCGCAGGCGTGCGCAGTTCAGGGCCGCAGAGCGGAGTTGGAGAGAGATATGTTAAAGATGTGGACCTTACCACCGTCATCACTGAGATCACCCAGCCCCGATTCCGAACCCAGAGCAAGAAAAGTGGATGCGATCATCCACCCCATAGCCCCACATCCGGTTCCTGAACATGACCGCTACAATGCCGTCGGATACACATCCAGCTGGGTCTTGTTGGATTATGCAGCTGGTGCGGTTCCCGTGCGAAAATTTACTGAGGCAGACCTCGAACTCGGGAGAGAGATGGAAGGGAAGATCTTATCCAGCTGGGATAAAAGGAATAGAGAATTGTGTATGTTGTCTCTCTCATTCTCTCCCTTTTAAAAAAAAAAAATTTCCCTTTGACGTTATTGCCCTCCTTCCGTTTTCCATCTCCGGCTCCCTTGATATATCTCCTGCTATTGTTAACCGTGTAACTAATGGGAAACCAGGGAATTCCTCGACCGTTGATCGTCGCGTCTATCTCGATTCACCCCTCAGCATCCAAGTCATTACCCCCAAACTCCACGAAAATGACTTGTTCAAAGCGATGAGTATTATTGACAGCGCGGTACGGGGCCAGCCAACCAGGGGCAGTGGCCAGGGATCGAAGCTGTGATTTTTCCTTATCCAGCCGTTCTCAACTATGGATATGTGATATGAAATGTTGATTATATATATCTCCGCAAGATTCTTTCCTTTTAAATAACCTCATGACTGCAAGTCGTATTTTCCCCCTTTTTTTTTTTTTTTTTTTTTTTTTTTGGGGGGGGGGGAGGGGAGGATACACAACACCATCTGATAATTTCGTGGTCATTAAGATAGAAGAGTCAGGGAATCCCCTAGTTTTCAAGAGCCATAAGCAAGCTTCTGAGCTGACTGAAGTTGCCAGAGTCAATTATGCGGAGGGTTGACTTCATTCGGCTCTGTGTTTATGGTTGTTGAATTGGCACGTAGTTAAATAAAGGTAGGTACTTATCTTGGTGATAGATAGATGAAGTCTACCAGACTGATTGAAGGGATCACGTTGATATGTGTTGATACGCCCGCAAGGACATGGCCAACAGAACAAATCTACAAGCATTATACCAACAATACAATTCACTTATTAAAAGGGGTTTTGTTTTGGCTTATTTTTCAGTGGAACCGGTAGGCCCCCTACAAAATCCTCTTTGATTGACTGCCTAGAATCTAGAAGACCTAGCAACTACCTGAAAGGCAGGACGGAGAAATTCCCATCCTTACATACGTACATTCAAATGGAAGTTATTACGAACAGTCCTGAAAAATTAGAATTGGGTTCCTGACAAGGAGCTCGAGGATGTGGATGAAAAAGGAGAAAAAAGCAAACGTGGAAGTAAAGAAGAATAAATAGGGAAATCCACCCTCTGTGCCTATTAATGGAATGGCAAATCAAGCGGGAACTTGGCCAGGGATACGTTTTATGTTGAAAAGCACAAGGAAAGGAAAGGAAAGGCAGCAGTGTAGACGTGAAGAAAGTGGTACAGCAAGAAACAGAAAATTGAAAGGGGTGGGGTCAAGTAGATGATTCCCCCATCCCAAACTTCCGGTTAAGAGCATGCGGTCTGAAGTCTGGGTGTTTGCGTAAAAGAGGCTGGGAGGTTAGTAATAGGCTACGGGGTTGTATCCACGGCCGTTCGAGGGGTTTTGTTTTTACTGATCCTGAGGACGAACGGTTAGGGACAGACATGATTCTGCCTTGCGGATGGTCAGCGCAAAATTTGATAAGGACGGAAAAGATCAAAACAAGGTTTGAAAATCTGTCTCATCATCCAGTAACCAGGACCTTTTAAGTCGGAAAAATTTTTTATGCCGGTGTAGCGGCAGAAGGTATGCCATTTGATGCAGCATGCCGTTTCGCAGGGTTTTCGGACGGCTCTTCATTCTGTAGATTGTTAGTATTAGTGGCGAATCCACCGATTCCGAAACTGTGGGAAACAAAAATCCATATATCAAAATAGAGCGAGTGTAAATCCCTTGCTGCTGGTGGATCATTAGCATTATTATTTCCAAGGCAATTACTTACGTCTAGGGCATGGATGCTTCTCTTTTGAGCTGTTGGTTCGGTCTTTTTCAGGGTCTTCTTCTTCGGTCGTGATGGCCGCACTTCTCCAGACTGGAATACGTCTTCGGGGAGGTCATAACTATTGGCAGAGTCAGTAGGAAAGGAATTCAACCAGTGGTCGAGGGATGGGAAAGATTACGTACTTTCGGACATGCGTTATATGGAGATCATTGATACCAGGCTGGTATTGTGGCCAAGACGTACAGGTACTTTTAAATATCTGGGTGTCGGTTGAGATATCAAGCGACCTTGCAGCACCTTCGAGAGTCAGTTGTATCATGGTAAGTTGGCGGGAGGCCTACCTGGTGCTAAAGGTTTCAATTCAAGTCCAATGTAGTAAGTAGTAGAGTAGAGGGTGCAGCTATTCTCTCCGTTTGGCTCATCTGCTTGCGGCATTTGAACAGTCTCGCCGCCGTTTTGAACAGCCGCAGCATGTTGTGGATCGTTCGTCTGGTCAGTAGTTTTTGTTTTCGTGCCTTTCGCTTGGTACTGTGTGGAGCCGCTCATAACTTCTGCGATCTCTTTTTCGGTCTTACAAACATGAACTCTTTCGAAGCCTTTTGGGAAAGGATGGGCAACTTCGATCGATGATTTCCTGTCAAGCGCACCCACTAAATGTCGTAACTTGGATTCCACAAGTCCGGACCACACAGATTGTGCTTCTTTGCCCCTGCTCGAGGAGGTTATGCTGAGGTAATACTTATAATCTTGGGAAAAGAAGGTATGGCGGGTGAAAAGGTCGTTCCAGGTCAACTGCCCAAGGAAAATTTTGTCAACAATATCCCCACCGCGTTTTAACTCACGAAGAAGGACAGCTTTAGTGGACAATGAGACGTTGTGCGTTGCACACATGGATGGATATGCGGGTGTGATGATGGGCATGAGATGATATCTATCGCCGTGGTATATCTAGCGGGTGATGTCAGGATTTTTTGTTCGTAGCGGGCGCGCTTTGTAGTTTGACTTACTTTTGGGTTCCAGACTTTCATTTGGAGAGGGCCTTCTTCTATTGGCTTTAATAACACTGGCTGGGGCCAGTTCCACTGATTCATTATGCGGAAAAATTTCCCCACGATCACTGATCCGGTAGCTTGGGGATAAAGTTGACAGACTCTGGCGACTAGCATTGCCCATGCAACTCCTCCAGGGAATCCTACGATGTTCGAATAGATCGCTCGCCCTAAAGGAAAGCCATGATATCAGCATGTCACCTGCTGAAGAATAGGGCAAAGTTGCTTACGTTGTGCCCAGAGCTTTATGGCGCGTAATGCGAGTCGAAATGTCTTCTGTTGGGGAACGAGTTCTAAAATCTCATCAGTCACTCGTGTTCCGTTAACGCATCGTATCTCTTTCTCATCCAGCCCACGTAGCAAATCTTTGTTCTTCAGGTCCAAATTCAACGGCACAGAATGTACTAGTAGGCGTGCATAGATAAGGTCGATACTGATGCCGGACAATTCAATCTTGATAATCGGAACGAAGGCATCTGGAACAGGAGTTAATTTTTCAATGGCGCCTTTGGGGGCCATCTGCTCTAAAAGAGGAGGAAAATCGGAGAAGAAATCTTCGAATGAGACATGTTTCGGTCCAACCACCAACGTATCGATATCAGATCCTATCCGCATCAACAACAGGTCAGTTTTGTTCTCTCAATAAATAATCCCACCACGAGCCCCCGTATATAAGGAAATAACGGACCTGGGCCGTATACGCCTAGCCGATAACTACCGTACGTAAATATCTTCCCACCCGCTATATCAATAGCCGCCTGAGACAAACCCTTGCGCCGACTGACTACCTTAACGAACTCGACAGTCACCCGTTGGATTAAGTGCAATGTCTGTTTTCTAAACAATATAGAGTTAATTTATGTCCTTTACAAAAGGAACATGGTATTAACAAAATACCTCCTCTCAGTCTCTGATGGGGATTCGAAATTGTTTTGTTGCTTCAACTCCGTCGTTAGGTCGTCGTTTGCGGCGATCTCTGATGGGGTGGGCAACGCAGTTGATATCGGGGGAGTCACACCCCACTGCCTGACCGAAGCAGCAGCCATAGTGACGACAGCGAGTGGTCCTTACGTGATAATTCTCTGGGATTTGTTGTGTCCACCCTACCGATATGGAGTTCGGTTGAGCGTTGGCAAGAACAGTAAGCAGGGGAAGAGAAGGGAGGGAGGAGAGAAAGCAGGTAGAAGGGGAAGATAAAAAAAGGAAGTGGAGATTACAACTAAACAAAGAAACAGGAGCCCTAACACCAGAACCCCAATATCTAATAAATTAGGAAAATGCAACAGAGAGGAAGAAAAGGACGTCTGGTGGAGGTTGGATGGTTGGAGGTTGGATGATGCAAGCGGTGGAAGCTTGGCGATCTTCAATCATCCTCGGGTTTGACGCGGTGGCGCTAAAACGCAGTAACAGTGTCCTTAGGTGCGGTTATTGATGAGTCAGCATCAATTAGTTAACTAGTTAACTAAGCGCCGCGCCAAAATTGTATTTGAAAGAATTGACCAGGACAAACTTCAGGGGTACGGCTGGAAATACCATCTTACTTAGATGTGATATTTCAGTTCTTCGTACATCTGTATTGAGATTGTCTGACTGTATGACTGTCCAATGAATGTATACAGTTATGCATTAGCCGTACCATATATGATTTAACTCGACTTTGCCAGGCCGCATTACACGGGTAGTTAACTAGATACTGGCTGGCTGATTGACCTATTCGAACGAGAATCGGCGCACCGTACGTATTCAGAATGCCGACTCTTGTTCCAGTTCTGGTAAAGATTTACCTGCAAATTGGATGTTAATCTTACACTGACAGTGCAACGCCTTCCAGAAAGCTTCTTTAATATTAAGAATTGCTTGTCTACGTAATACTACGCCTTAGATTAGCCAGTCATCTGCTAAACTCTGAGCAGCTGCTTAAGATATTTGCTAAATAGTCAATTATCTCTTCTGACACTGTTGGTTGCGATGTCCACAACATATGGTATACCCCGGATTGGTTGAATCCTTTGCTCCAGGTGAAAGGGAGTCAAATGCGTGAGAGTTGGTCCATGGAAGACTTTAAAAAATGGTGATTCAGGTTTTAAAGCCATCCAATTCATACTTCTGTTCAACTATTTCAACAGAGATCGACCAGAAAATTACATTTTCATCTCCATCTCTGTATAGCGTCTATTTTAATATGAATCATTAGCAGAAAATATTTAGTTTCAGCGTCAGCAGCGGTATTAAAGAGGGATAGGACAAGATCGGGGAGCAAATGTGAGAGTACAGGAAATAATAGGATCTGAGATACCCCATAGAGCACTGCATTAAGGAATTGAATTATTATCCTCGCTGGTTTGGCTACTGGAGTGGGTGAATTGCTGAGTATAACTGAAAATTACATGGATGAAGTTCTTAAGTAAGTATGAGGAACGACTTGGATTTTCTAGTCAGCACAACAGGTGCCGTGTAAACTTCGGCAAAGACGCTCGGAAGCTTTCGAAGACTTGGAAGTTTATCCAGACGCAAACTCGACATATTTACTCTGTTCAGTCCAGACAGACTCTCAGTTGGAGCGTTTTAACTTCTGCTACAGTCTTCAACTCAAGAAGAAAATGGATGTTCTTAGACGCGCCTTTATCCGACGGAGAATTAACTAAACTGTTCTCCACAACCCCGCTTATTCGTGGTATCCGCAACAACCCCCCAAACAGAAGCACAATTTATTCATGTTGAAGTTTACAATATTATTTTGAGTCTTGAGCTGTTTCTTTGCTCTTTGACTTCGCTGACTGCACAAAATTTATCCTTCTCTCAACCTCCTCTGCGATCTCGGGAAAAATGGCTCCGGCCCACCCTCCATTTGCCGAAGTCGAAGCATCGCGACCAGATTTCGACCATTCCACCCCGATAACATTCACCAAATCCCCCAATCCAAGCTGGAAGCCAGGACAAGGGGCCAATGATAAGCAAGCCAGCCTAAAGAAAAGCCATGTTGAGATTCACCCCTACGAAACGGGCAGGTCGCCAAACCTCAACTACAAGCTTCTGATATCGGCAGTCGTGCCGCGACCAATTGGCCTCCTGAGCACGATATCGAAAGATAGCCAGACCCTAAACCTTGCGCCTTTCAGCTTTACCCAGGTGGTCAATTTTGACCCTCCCATTATTGTCGTTGGAATTACAGGCGATCCAAATTCTCCAAAGGATTCTCTTCGCAACATCCTGGAGACGGGTGAGTGTGTTGTCAACACTGTTGGTGAACATTACCTTGAAGCCGTTAACTATTCATCAATTAATGCTCCCTACGGTGTATCGGAATTCGAATTGTCAGGGCTGCACCCCGCTCCTTGTGCGACTGTGAAGGCTCCACGAGTAAAAGAATCGATATTTTCGATCGAGGCGAAGCTTGTGGAGTCGAAAGAGTGGGAAAGTCGGGCAAACCCAGGGAAGAAGAGTGGTGTTATGGTAATCTTGGAGGGGACGAGATTTTGGGCGCGAGAGGATGCGGTAAATGAAGAGAAGAGTCTCCTGAATCCAGACGTTCTTCGACCGATTTCCCGTCTTGGAGGCATCACATACTTGAGGGCGACAGATGCGATGGAGATCCCGAGACCGGTTTTCAATAACCTTTAGCCACTGGCTTTCTGGATATTTCTGGTAGGTGTTGTGGGGCTGGGGGGCTGTCTTAATCGTAGAGCCTGGGAATTTTTAACCTGGCACAGCATGTAGATTTTGGTTTTTGACCAGTCCTTGCATGCAATTATTATATATATATATATATATTGGATGCATCAATATATTTTCCTTCCATACCACATCCTGATGTGACCAGAAAATAAGTCATTGGGATATATGAACAACAGCCCTCTGCTGAAGAAAACCTGCAATCGTCATCAGCTACTCGGCACCTTCAATGCCAACCCCGTCCAACTCCTTCCATCCAATGCCGAAAATTCACCCGCCAGTGTGTACAAGTATCCGTCTCGTCGTGCATACTGATCTGGAATGCGTTTCTTCAGACATTTGCTCTCCCTTAGCCGCGATTGGCCTCCTCAATATCTATTCTCACAGGCGAACGCCGGATGCCACATGGCCCGCCAGATGCTCTCGTTTGTTAAGTTAGTTTGCAATGAACCGGTGGACCTAGTGCGAAGTGGTGATTTTGGAATCTTCCCTCCGTCATACGGAGCATTTCGCGGGATCTCTTCTCAGTGACTTTTAAACCTGAGAATGTGCTAATAGTTGATTGGACATCTCGGCAGGGCGTCGAACCAACCTCTATCCGGTTACTCTGAACCCTCCGTGTCCGTATTGGCTGCCAAAACCAGTTGGGGCCCGATCTCTCGGAGCGGGAACCTGCCATTGTTATTGTCTTTGACAGTTGCCCCCACAACGCGTATCCCAGCCACTTCCAAACATAAAAAACCTCCCCAGCATCCATCCAAATTCTAGGTGTTTTTATACTTTTTTTTTTGTCTCGACTTGATATCAGTCTAACGATTTTACTTTACAAAAGAGATTCAGATGAGCTTCTCGTTTTGTTGATTTTATTTTTTAAATTGTTAAATTTTTACATTGGGGAACTGCTACATCTTATCCGGGAGTGAGATAGGGAACCTACTATGCCATCCTTGTTTTTTGTACAGAATACCAGGTTACATGCATTTACCGCTATATATGATCGATTTTGTGAACCTTCAAAGCATTGACTAGATCTCTTATACTTTCCTCGACGATCTCCGCACCGAAACACCCCAACAGTATTTCGGGGGCCCGCAATAAAGCACAGACCGTGATATTCTTTAAGTTAAGTATACCGAGACCGCGTTGAACAAAGAAATACGAAGGAAAAGGCAGTTAGATATGGCATGTTTAGGATCAGACATGGCAGCAACGGATGTCTTAGAAGCAAACAGCTGTGGCAATAGTGAAATCGATCAATCGCCATCTCCCACAATGGGAAAAATTGGCCAAGGCGAATCTCATCCATGGGAGGAGGCTACAGATGGGACAGTTGAACAAGACACATCTTCCCAGAAGAAAACTGAGGAAACTGATGCCCATGAGCGACCTCGTTCCTCCTCTTCCTCGTCCCATCCCTCCGAAACATTTACGGGTGAAGAAAATGATCATTTCGATCGGAGGAGTGAAATAGGACGAACTGCAAGAACGATGTCGAGCCGCACTTCCATATCTTCATTACCAGGATCCGTCATCGTATGCCCACCCGAAAAGTATGATGGCAGTGGCACCATAACGCCGAGTTTCCGGGGGCATTACATGCAGCATTACTCCGAACGCAATACCAATGACGGCCCAATGCCCGTGAACGGAAACAGGCCGAAAAGGAACAATTACTCTTCCCGACTTTCTAAAATTGCGCCTAGTGTGCGCGATCATGATTCGCCGTTTAGACACCCCAGTTCTGTTCGCGCAATGCAGATGGGAGACGAGGATGAGTATGATGGGTATGGCTATGGCTACAACAACGAGGATCTGATGCCTTCGAGGTCATGGAGGAATCACAGTGGAGGGCGTGGGCATTCATGTCAGAGCGTATCGGGGATGTCTATGCGCTCGCTGGGTTCATCACCAGTATCTGCCAAGCGGAGCTACAAATCGCCCCGGGCAAAAGAGGCAGCTGTCCAGAAGGAGTACCCGCTTATCCTGCTTCATTGCACTCTGTTACCACCATCTCTTTCCCTACCTCAGGGTTTGGGACTGCCCAGCGCCCAAATTTTAAAAGAGGTGTTGCCCCCTAAGCTCTGGGCAAGATGGAAATTACTCGAGGATAAAATCATTAATTCGGGGGTGTTGCGGGATCGTGGATTGCTGATATCACATCCACAGGAAATGTATGACATGCTTGAAGAGCGTTTGTTGGAGAGTCTAGAACTAGTCCGGCCGAGATTGAGTGAGGGCCATTTCCTTGGTCGAGAAAATGATGATGACCCCGACGACGGAGGTGGAGGGGGCTCTGAGAAAGAAGGTATTGGATATGTCAGTGACGGATGTGATGGAGAGAAATGCGCTGACTGCGGCGCAAGGCTCATGAAGCATTTGGAGGGGGAGAAGAGGCGATGGGATGTCAGAGTTTATGCTGCCAACGGTCTGATGGGAGCTGGGGCCTGGGCAGCAGCCTGGAGAGATATGGAAAAAGTCGATGTCGAGGTTGGATTAGCTCTGCCAGTTGAGATCAGGCGGGAACTGGAGCGGAGGATTGTCGAGGAAAATACGTTAAGAATGGAAGAAGAGCAGCGCTTGGTGGAGGAGGAGAAACGAAGGCGGGAGATATATGGAGTGCCAACGGCTCCGACACAGGAAGCTATTGATGGACTGGAGGATGGCGATTCGGTTCCCCGCTTCCAGTCCAAATTTGACCAGTCATCGCCTCCGCTTTTATTTACACGCCCAGAGCCACCACCGATAATGCCCTCTACTGACTTCTATGAGCGTGAGCGAGAGTCTATCTACACCAAGGAAGTTAACCTCCAGATACTATTTTCAAATTATATCCGTATCCTTGCCAGCGACAGACGGAACGTTGCTATTGCTTTCTTGAGCATTCTCGTCCTCTACTTCTCTATGGGTATGGCAAAACAAGGTGAGATTTTCGCCTCTCACGCCATTACTAGCCCGCCACATGTCGTTCCTCCCACTGTTTCCTCCCCAATGGTTCTGGAGCATAACCTGCCTTCAATTGTTAACTCTCCTGTCATGGTTTCCATGGAACCTCGCACCCAAATACACTCCGGGGCTGAAAATAAAATTACCCCCACAATATCTGGATGTGGGGTGCTTGCTACCGAACCCCGGTCCGTCGGTCAAACAATGGCACGACAGCTAGGCGCGTCGCACCCGGCTGAGAGCGACTCCATTTATCATTGCCAAGATCTCTCTACTAAAGCATCAACACAACCTCAACCACAACCATCCCCAGCGAAATCCACCGACGTGGCCGAGTCAAGCTATTGCGCAACAGAGACTCAACTTCATGTAGCTCCACCACCTGCGGAAGCAGCAGCACATCACGACACACCGCCTACCATGTCGAAGTTAAGCGCAGTAGTGAAGGACGACGATCCTGCACTCAACACTAAAACCGTATAATATGTCCAATTACCTTTAGCGTCAGATCATCGACCCTTGCCGTCACTAATACCAGCAGTTGTTGAATGCCGACCCACAAACATTGGGAAATTATTGCCACACATGACAGAGGAAGGAGAGGAAGACGCGAATGCTCCAGACCTTACGTTGGAATCACAAACACAGCAACAAGCCCCACCGTGTGTATCTTCTCAGATTGCTGTTGATGAATAAACATAATCCTTTCATGGATGATACGAGAAGGTCCATTTCCACTTCCCGATATTACATATTTAGACCCTATACCCCTGTTATTCGCTTATTCCCCCACCTACTTTCCTGTTCTTTTGAAGCATCACGGCCAGCACATGATTTTCCCCCGCCCCCCAACAACCGGAGCGGGCAGTGGTTTCGCACCTCACAATCCCACAGGGCACTATACTACTCTTCTCCCGTAGTATACCTCCTTAATTCAGTCATTGAGTTTTGACCAACATCCCCTTCATTCCATTCTTCTTTGCCCCGCTGATCTTCGCGCGGGGAGGGGATATATATGCGTATCAAGAATAGCTTACTTAGCATGTTTAGCATTTCAATTTTTGATTCTTTTGGATTATCATTTTGTTTATATTCGCAAGCTGATAATATCTCTTTTACGTGATGCTCTACTCTTTCCTAAGCAAGAGTATGAATTGATGAAATAGTTTGTGACATTGATGGATAGATAGATGTTTTCATAGATGTATTCAGGATATCTAGATTAGTAGATAGGAAATATTGAAACAATGAGTTTTAACTTCATGAAGAAAAAATGGGGTGGATAATTGCCTTCCCTTGTCTTCCGGTGTTGGTAAAGCCTGCGATCCCCGTGCCGCCGAGATATAATTCCCTACCGCAAGGCCATTCGAAACGGATATCCACGATTTTAAACCGTGGAATTCGATTCATGGCCAAATAGGTATTTCATCCTTATTATTGATATTCCTTCAGCATAAAAAAGTAAAGTAATATCCATGACAACATCTGGATATCTCTACGGAGTATTGCCATTTGATTGATTCGGAGGTTCCTTAAAGTTGTTGCCATTTTGAGCCGCACAGTTAGTTAATTAGCCCCACCCTCCCCACAGTTTCAACTCAACAACCGCCCATCAGAGTGCAAACATCGCCCAACTCCCCCCTCTAATAACTATACACTACAACGTTTATTATTGACGTACCCGGATGTAATGATATCTGGTCAAATCGCCATCAGTGGAGTGGCTACATTCGTGGCATCCATGCAAGCACTCAAAAACGCCTTAGCCGAAGAGGCGTAACTAGGCACTAGGGTGCATGGGGGATGGCGATGGCGCAGCGTGCAGCAGCATTGCAGCGCATCCATGGTCCATATCCTCCTATCTTCTCCTCTCCATCTGAACTGGGAAAAAATGATCGTCAGCGATGTTGTTTATACGAGGATCAAAGAATATTCTTCTGACCAATTTGAGACAACCCTGCTTGAACTCCACCCCACTAACGGCTTTACGCAGCTAGTGGATGGGCGTATCGTGAGCAACTGAGCGATTTGAAATCAACCTGGTCAAGGTAGTTTGACATCTTGGAGCATCCCTTTGTTGGTTCCTGTTGACTTAACTGCTACTTGTTACAGCTGGGAAGGATGCTCAATCGATCTGGATGGGTATCATTGAGCCTCAGCTGCAAGATCTCTCTCAAAAATAACACTGAGGAAGCTCCGGTTTGATGTTGGAACTTCTGATTGATCAGATGCTGAAAACAAGAGCTAACTACGGTTCTGCTAGGGTTGCATTTTACAGAGCTGGTTGAGCACTCAATAATGCCCATCTACATACATTTCCGGGAGGACTCCTGACCTCCATGTCATACCAGCTGCTAAAAATAGAGCCCTCCCTCTGACATCACAAACATTGACACTGGCACAGATGCTTCAGCCTACTAAAACTTTGCCCCGTAAAAATCCTTCTAACTCAATTGCCAAGAACTACCAGAACAAGAAAGATGAATACTCGTGGATTCTTCCGTACACATTTACTCAATATCCCTCTTTCAAACATGCTAGCTCATTGTGCTGTGACTTCTTCAGGCTCCCAATTATGAGACATCGATGACTAGCTGCACTTCCCGCCTCCGAATCTTGGTTGACGAGAAGTAAGGACCAAAAAACAACAGACGAAGCTGAGAGATCCATCTATTGACCCGGTCGGGTAACATGACTCTCAACATCCGCTTAGCTTTTCTTAGCTGTTTTACTTTTACAGCAACAGAACTTCCTGGGACGCCACAAATAGCTTCTATTATCAATCGCCATCCCCACTAGCTCAATATCATGAATCGTCATAGGCCAGAGATTAAGCTGCTCTTGTTGATCAAGCAGGCAGGGCTTCGGGTTGAATCTAAATTCTGAGACCTAACTGAAAATCTTTCTGCTGTTTGGGTATGGTGTTGATAACATTGGGTAGACGTCAGAGGCAACTTGTGGAGTCTGATGTCCATTTCTATCCGCTCTAGATAAATGTCTATTTTTACGTTATCTTGGGAGCTGGGGAGAAATATAAAAAGGGGATCCAGAGCCGTTGTTGATCTTCTTCCTATTCTCATCTCTCAGAAACAAGAAAATATCGTGCGTTCTCTCCAAAAAAGGGTATTATTCTCATCCTGCCAACATTGTCTTGAGCTGACACAAGTCATCCTACGATAATTCTTGTATCCTCTACTTGATATTCTCCCCAAGGGACATACCCGACTACCCCACAAACAACAACAATGAAACTCGCCACCCTTCTGGTCTCCGCTGCGGCCGCTGTGCTCGCGGCACCAAGCTCCTCCCCAGCTGAAGGCATCGCCGCTCGCCAAAACGACCTCATTTACCCGCACCGCACATTCCGCTACTGGGTCCAAACCGGCGCCCTCAAGGAGGACCCGCAGGACCAGCTCCTCGTCGTGAAAAACGGGATAGCCGCCGACGAGACCACCACAATTGTCACTTTCGAAGTCTCACCGGAACTCAAAGGCCGCCGCTGCAAACTCCTGTTCGATCTGTGGCCGCGAGATGTCTCCACAGGCTCCAAGCAGGCGGACGTTTTCACCGTCATCAATCCGCCAACGCATGATTTCTCTGCGGAAACTGTCTCCAAATGGAGGCCGGCTGCCCTTGCGGAGACTCAGCGGAGCCGCGATATCCACCAGGGCCGTATTTCGGTTAATGTACCGGGAAGCGCGGTCTGGATTCAGTCGTTCCAAGGATATCCTGAGTTCGACTGCCCTGCTGGCAAGCTGTTCGCGCTTGAGTATGTTGGCGTCAATGATGAGGTTGCTATCCGCTGGGATATTGGGGTGACTGGGCCTAGAATTGCTCCTATGTAAGGAGTGAAGAAGCTGTTTGATTTTTTGGAGGTTTTCCATGCTGAGTTGATGAAATTTATGACTTTGTTATCAGGCATAGAAAGGTAATATGTGAGATGGAATTTTGAATAATGACGTTGCTGTATTTTGGGTTATGAGTATCGATATGTCTTTCATTAATATTTAGCTGAATATATATTATAAAGAATGGGATGTTGAATAACTGTTCAACATAAATAATGGTGTTCCTTCTTGCATATGTGATGACGTCCATATCAGGTTGGTCTAAAGATGCGGTACAATTGCACCATTCGGATGACCTGATGGTAACTGAGAGCTCGCCGCAAACCTTGATTCCCCAGCCAGAATTAGCTTAGGTGTACCAGGTGTTAGAGATATTCACCATATGGATTTAACTATCAGTAGCGGCCCATTATATCAAGATTGTCGTCAATAACAAAGACCCTGGGGCATGGTTGGTTCCGAGGATATCTACATCCTCAACCATTGTTCTGATATTTTGTATTGGTCCAGGTTTATGTTTTAACCCCTTTTCCAAGCCCAGTTCCAGCACAAGCACGAGGTTACTTGAACCTTGCCAATGAGCTGACTAATTCATGAAGCCGCTATGCTGTATCAGGCCTAGCGCAGTCACGGGAAAGTTTCGGAATCTCGGCTCCGTCATTGGCCCCGAAAAGTTTTCGGCCAGTTCCGCTTTAAAAAGTCTTTCAATGTTGTCTTCTGCTTGCCGAACAGTCAACTTCAGTTAAAGCGCACTTTTTTCTTTTTATTAACCCCCCCCCCCCCCAACGCCACTCCTCTCCTCCCGTGTCGCGTTCTGTCCTTCGTTTGTCTTTTCACAATGGCTGCCACTGCTTCTGCCCCCCAACTAGATGGCCTCAAGAAGTCCGCTCCAGTCCTCCCTCAAGGACCCCAGTTGAGCGGCCTGAATCTGTACTCGCGATTCGCCTTTGCTGGCGCTGTCTGCTGTTCAGTCACCCATGGCCTCCTCACACCCGTCGATGTGTAAGTTTCTCACCTAGATAGGCCTCTTTGGTGCTTGTGCTGAGTGCTATCCGAACCGTGTTGAAATTGTTGCGCGCATCTTGCGTATCTTTATATTTTGCCCTCAAATTAATGCTCGAGGCTAACAATGGAATCCCTTTAGCGTCAAGACCAAAATCCAGCTTGACCCCAAGACCTACAATAGAGGTATGATTGGAGGATTCAAACAGGTTGTTCAGAATGAGGGTGCCGCTGCCCTGATGACCGGTTTCGGTCCCACCGCTGCTGGCTACTTCTTGCAGGGAGCCTTCAAGTTCGGTGGTTATGAGTTCTTCAAGAAACAGTCTATCGACTACCTTGGCTATGAGACTGCCGCCAAGAACCGGACTGCTGTCTACCTCGCCTCATCTGCCCTTGCTGAATTCGTCGCTGATATCGCCCTCTGCCCTCTTGAGGCGACTCGCATCCGTCTCGTGTCGCAACCTGGCTTTGCCAATGGTCTTATTGGTGGTTTCGGAAAGATCCTCAAGAATGAGGGAATTGGTGCTTTCTACTCTGGTTTCGGTCCCATCCTCTTGAAACAGTAGGTTTAGTCTAGTTTTCATGTCACATAACATTGGATATTGGTTTAACTATGCTAATTGTGTGTATAAGGGTCCCTTACACCATGGCCAAGTTCGTCGTTTTCGAGAGAGTCTCCGAAGCTATCTACGGCCAACTCGACAAGGAAAAGCTCTCTGATAGTGCTAAGACCTCCATCAACTTGGGCTCGGGTCTTATTGCTGGTCTCGCTGCTGCCGTTGTCTCCCAGCCTGCCGACACAATGCTTAGCAAGATCAACAAGACCGAGGGACTCCCAGGTGAAGGAACTGTGTCTCGTTTGGTCAAGATTGCCAAGGAACTCGGACTTAAGGGTAGCTTTTCTGGTATTGGTGCTCGTCTCGTCTTGGTTGGTGCCATCACAGCCGGCCAATTCGGCATCTACGGTATGTAAAGACTTTGACTTGCCCACAACTCTTGAATGGTGTAGATTGCTTATAGTGATTTTCTCTACAGGTGATATAAAGCGAGTGCTCAACGCCACGCAAGGTGTAGAATTGAAATAAACTCATGTTTGATACCCCCTTCTATTTCTCCCTCATTCTCGATGAGTTACGATAGAGAATACCCGGTCTCCGTCCCTTTGTCGATCATTCCTCTTTACCCAGCGGACCCTATCTGGAGTGAATTTTTGTGTGTCGGAATTGTCGTCATAATGGCAAAGATATACCACATAGACAAACGGTTTCTTTTGTTCAAAAAAGTCATTTCCGTAAATTCTCGTCCCCCTGTTTCGTTAAATCTCTTTTGTTGAATTTGGTTTTTTTTGGCATGTATTATCTGTAATTGTTCCGTTTCTTTTTTTTTTTTTTTTTTTCTTCTTCTTTTCAGCTCTCGGTAATTTGTTATAGAGTCTGGACATAATATTCTACTGCATGGGAAAGGTGGGGGGGGATAGATTCCGGATTTCAAAAGAACCTTGTTGCTTTCCTATACAATATAGATTTTGTTCATAGAGTTTACTTTTTTTTTTCTATACGCCTGACGATAAACATGCACAACATTTTTTTTTTTTTTTTTTTTTTTTTTGTTTTAGCATATCATTTTCCGGTGGCCAAATTATCAATACCCGGAGCTTCGCGTTTTATTAATAATTCCAACTTCTGAACGCCAAGAACCTTTTCAGGCACCAACAAGGTACTTGTTTTGGTTTAGCGCTTGGTGCTCAATTGGCCAAACAGCCTTAAAGTCTATTTTTAGTTGATATATATCAACGCAGCTCAACCTCGAACCTTGCAATCTTCCTTCGATCTTCTCTCAAACGGAGGTCATCCGTCTACCTTACACCTTCAGCTTATACCAATTGCTTTGGAGCAAGCGGTTTATCATTTCCTTTATCAATTGCACATCCTGTTCTACTCCGTATTCTCCTGCACAATCTTTGAGCGGAGATTATCCCTGATAGTTTAATCCGCTTCCCCGCACGTTTTGACTTTGTCTTCCTGTTTTCTTCACTGCACAACTATCATTACACTGTAATATCTTCGGGCAACCGGAAGGAAAAGTAAAGGAAGAAGTCCGCAACAGGAATGAACTGAATCGTACATCTAGCCGTGCCATGAGATCTGTGCGGGCATGTTAGTGGTTTCAGATCCATCTGTGTTTTTGAGTTCAGACAGGCTGAGGTGCGCACTATTGCGTTTGGTCAAAGGTTTATTGCGGAATGGCGTCTTTCATATCGTCGGCATATAAATACATTTTTCGTAGGAAGAAGTCGAAATGGCTTGATATTGAAGGTTAGTAATCGTTATATGACATTGTTTTCCCCACCCCCACCCCCACCCCCACCCCCAAAACACCGGTTTTCTCCATAGGATTGTGTATCACATTACTTGTCCTGGCATGACCAATCTCTATCCCACGCACTCTAAAAACTCCAGTAAAGACATCTCTAACCGTTTCCCCAGATTTCAATGCCGACAAGCCAGGCGAGGATAACCAGCTCATGTTCCAGGCCTTTGAGTGGTTTGCGCCTGATGACAAGAAACATTGGCGACGGCTGCAGGCAGCCCTACCAAGTCTAAAGGCGATCGGAGTGACTAGCATCTGGCTTCCTCCGGGATGTAAAGCCATGCATCCATCCGGAAATGGCTATGATATCTACGACCTTTACGACCTAGGCGAGTTCAATCAGAAAGGGACAAAAGCGACCAAGTGGGGTACTAAGGAAGAGCTTGTTTCTCTTGTGACCAGAGCGCATGAGATGGAAATTGCAGTTTATTGGGATGCTGTGCTTAATCACAAGGCTGCGGCCGATTATGTAGAGAAGTGCGTTGCAGTTATGGTTGACCCAAAAGGTGAGTTTCATTCTATAATTGATAGGCATGATAAGTGGGTGATGAAATGGTGGTGCTTCATATGATGCGAGATAAATATTAATGCTGTTCATTGGAGCGGAGATTTAGATCGGAGAAGAGTCATCAGTGAGCCTCAGGAAATAGAAGCCTGGTCGGGCTTTTCGTTTCCTGGTCGGGGAAACCAGTATAGCAAAATGAAATACCATTCTGAACATTTTACTGGTGTTGATTATGATGCCCTCACTGGTCGAAATGGGATTTTCAAAATATTAGGTCCCCAAAACAAAGACTGGGCACGCGACGTCAGCACCGAAAATGGAAACTATGACTATTTAATGTTTGCGGATCTAGACCATTCGAACCCGGAAGTTCGAGAAGACATTAAGAGATGGATAGAATGGCTCGGTAACCAGCTGCATCTTTCTGGTCTAAGATTTGATGCCGCAAAGCACTACTCAGCCGGATTTTTGCGAGACTTCATCGCCCATATTCAACAAACTGTTGGCGCTGGTTGGTTTTTTGTAGCTGAATATTGGAAAGCAGAAGTCTGGGAGCTTTTAAATTACCTGGGACGAATGGGTCATCTCGTATCGTTATTTGATGCGCCATTGGTCCATCAATTTTCTTACATTTCAACCACTGAAGGCGCTGATTTGCGCAGAGTTTTTGAGGGAAGTTTGGTGAAATATAAGGAGAAACATGCTGTGGTTTGCTTCCCCTTACCCATTCATTTTCCAGAATTTATATTAAATTCATATTAACCTCTGGATTCCTAGACATTTGTCATGAACCATGATACGGTAAGTCTTATTTTTAATGCAGTATATATATATTCTATCATTTTCACTACTAACAGTTATTCCAGCAACCATCCCAATCACTCGAGGTAAACCCACCCTCTGTCATGAATAATTAAACAAAAAACCAAGGAAGGGAAAAAGCAGAACAAGGACTTCGACTCCATTAACAATCAAATCAAATACAAACAGGTACCAATAGCGGAATTCTTCAAGCCACTCGCTTACTCCCTAATTCTCCTCCGCAAGGAAGGTTACCCCTGCCTGTTCTACGGTGACTTGTATGGCCTTTGCGGCGGCTGCGAAGGCATTCTTAGGCCGTCATGTAATGGCCAACTGGCTAATCTCTCGCTTGCTCGGAAGCTGTACGCGTATGGTCAACAGCGGGATTATTTCAATAAAAGGAATTGCATTGGTTTGTTTATTCTTCCTCTTGATATTCAAACTCCCAACCTTCTACCACAACCTTATCAAACTCCACAGCCACCAAAACCCCACACCAAGTTCCCAGTAGCATCACAGTTAACACGTATTTCACAGGGTTTGTCCGCATGGGCGACTCAGCCCACCCTCATGGCCTCGCTTGCGTGCTCAGTAACGGCCCTGCAGATAAGAAGCGCATGAACGTAGGAAAGTCACATGCGGGCAGTGTATGGACAGAGGTTTACGGGACCTGTCGCTCGAGAGTAACGATAGATCGCCGCGGGTATGGGGTTTTTGGTGTCGTTTCGTATAGCGTGAGCGTTTGGGTCCGAGAGGACGCCACTGGGAGAGACAGTTTTGGGAAGTTGTATGTGGATTCTCTTTTCGTTTCCGTTTTCCCTCTCCTTACTAATCATCAATGGGCTGGCTAATGTCTTCCAATTCTTTAATAGCGATTCGGATATCTATTCATCCAGCTGCTGATCGACAGCTTATCATCCACAGTGCTTACTCTGTTTTTTGCCTTGTATACACCACCCATCCACTCCCTCTTCTTTTTGTATTCAGAGTCATATGGTTTTGTGACTGAGCTTTTATCCGTGGATGCCGTTGGAGAATTTTGTTCTTTTCTGTCCAGGACTGGCAGCCATGTAGCTTTATGCATTTTCTCCTTTCTGCCACGTTTAGAAAATCCGTTGATTTAGAATTCTAGTCCTTAAAAACTTGATCTTAAGCTGCCTTTCTGTTCCCCACTTTCTTTCATTACCACTTGAGATACAGCGGATTGTTGGATTTGTTTGTGGCTTTGTGTTTTTAATCTGCGGCAACAGCCTAATTCTAAAAAACATATTAATAAAAAAAAATTTTCGAATTGGTTCTTCTGTTCATTTCTCATATCATAACCGCTGAAGACTTCATATTCATCATCACTGTTCATCAGTCTGCAAAACAAATGAATGAGACATATGTACTCTCCTGAGCAATGATGATTCAAAAAATAAAATAAAATAAAATAAAATAAATTGTCGTGTCATTCTATTTGTGTGATTCATCCACAGGCATAATCGTCAAACCACATATCTTCCAAAAGAAAAGCCAAGCAGTAATATACACGCAAAAGAAAAGCGTCCCGCCAATCCAACGGAGAAAATGAATCAAGCTCGTCATACCACCAACCTTACCTCGCCGTCAAGCGCCCCTCAATATTCCGCCTCTCCGCTTCTTTAACAGCCTTCACCTCCTCCTTGGTGGCATCATATGCAACGTTAACTTGATTAAACGGATTCTCCTCACTCTTCTCAAACTCCTTACGCACAATTTCAATTCGCTGCTGCCTCCGCAAACCAGGCTGCTCCTGTTCGATTTCTGGCAGCCTGCGTGCCTCAAAGGCTGCGTATGCAGCTTTGAATCTCCTCTCAGGATGGCGGTCGATTTTGGTCGCATCAGCCGTGCTGGTGGTCAGCGATAGGGCATCAAGTGCATTGTCGATACCCGTGGCGTTGATTGCAGGAGCGGCCTTTTTATAGCTGGCCATTTTCTCATCATCGAGCTGGGAGAGGTCAAGGGTGCCGCGACTGGGTGCGGCGTGCTTTTTGGCGGATTTGACACCAGCGCCTTTGGGTTTGGAGGGTAGGGAGGCTTCTTCGGCGGCGAGCAGGGCTTCACGCTCTGCCTTTTTACGGGCTGCTTCTGCTTTCTTTGCTTCCGTTTGGTCTCTATTTTTGTAGAATGCGGTGCATTAGCTTTTTAAGAGAACTTTCTGGACCCTCAGGAGAGGACGGGTAGGCGGGCGGCGTTTCCATACTTCTTTGCATTCGACTTTGATCCTTTTGACCACTCCCGATCTTCCTCCTCAGCTTTCTTGGCATCTAAAGCTGCTTGTTTCTGAGCAGCGGCGTCGGCTTTCTATTCGTTCTGCGCAGTTAGTATCTATTATTTCCAACTCATATGCATATTTGAAGTGGTAACGATGGAGTTATACTCGAGCATTACCCGCGGCCTTTTTGGCGTTTTCGCCGCCCTTTTTCCCCGCCATCTCTGCGGGTCCAACAAAAAAAAAATCTCCAATGACAGTGTCAAGTAAAAAAGTATCCGTGCGAAGAGGAAAAACAATCTCAGTATCTTGCTTCGTACTCGGAGTATGATATCTGTTCCGTCGATTTAGATGGGTTAATACTCGTCCTTCTTCTGTCTTAGGCTCATCGTTTCTCAACACGTGACGCCGAACTTAAATTAATGTTTTGACCTCAACACACCAGAATCTCCAACCAACTAATCAGTTAATAGTTTACTACGGAGTTAGTTAAGAAGACGTCCAGGCTGGGCAATATGGCTCCCTAAACACTTCTATGGCATCGATGCAGGTTATATGAAAAAGACTTGAAAGCAATCATAATAATAACAATAGCAGCGTCAGAACTCATGATTTAAAGTGAAGATCCGGGAATATACCGCATAGCTTTATCTAACTGAATGAACATTTCGCAAGTCCGTCAACGGAAAAGGCTTTTTGCCCTCATCCATCAATTAATTCCATTCCAGCATATCAGGGGTATCGTGAGCTCTTTGTCATAAAAAACAAAATTTCCCGGGTCATTCATACTTTATGTCTCTGGAAACCGGCCCTGCATAGTACGTCCTGGGGTGACTGACAGGTAATCTGGCGGCAAGGACAATACAGGACAGATAAGCAGGAAGACAATCAGGGAGAATTGAAACAAACAAATACTTTGAAAAGCAAATCACATAAGGCAAAATGGGGGTATCCGAAGATCAGTAAGCAAGGGTTGTGGAGTGGTAGTGAAGATATCGGGGACAGAGGTGGAAATGGGTACAACACAGAAGGCAGAAGGCAGAAGGCAGAAGAATGGAAAATGGATCAATTGAACGCAATCTACCACATGCCGTCCCATAACCGACAGTGAAATCAAAGCTTCAAATCCCATATTTCTTTCTGCCAAACTTTAACGTCAGTGACCTCGCGAAATTTTATCCCTTCAATTACCGTCACCCGATTCCGGTCGTCATCATCAGACTCCATATCACTCTCCAATGCCGCCCAGGGAGTTATGAAATTTGAGAACTGTGATTCTGGGCGCTGCACTGCTTTCCCTTTGCCTTTATCAGCGGCAATAGATGAGCAGGAGGTGGAAGCGAAGTCGTGCTTCTGTGAGAATGTGTTCTTTTTACCGATCTTTGACGGCATGGGAGGAAGCCGGTACAAACGGGCGATGGATGTTGAGATGGGACCGTTGGAACTGTAGCTGACAGCAACATATTTGACTTTTAGATGTGGGCGCTGGATCACGTTGTCCGTGGCACATAACCTAATTTCGCGGAGTAGGCTGGTACAGTAATCGCTGTGGGAGAAAATGATGTGGAGAGCGTGAAGGGACCGAAGGCCGCTGAGATGTTGCATGAACACGTGCTGTAGGATATGGTTCCAGTAAGCATTGACTTCATCCTCGTCAATCATCACCATGTGGAAACAAGGTATATTACGAACGACCTAGGAGATTAAAATAGGATGTGAGAAGGAGAGCTTACAAAATTAGATGAGTTCATGCCAACAACAAGCTCCCTCAGCTTCGCGCCACGTTTACCGATCAGCACGGCCGACTCCCTATTCAAGCACCAGTGTACGAGATCGTCGTTTCGAATCATCAATCTTTTTAGGTGTTTGATATGCTTTACAAGGACCTGACGCCGAATGTCATCAATCACAACTACCGTCTTGGGCGCAAAGGACTCCACTTTGGAACGGCTACTTCTTTCCACCATGATAAGTTCTTCGAGGTATTCCAGGCCATTCAAGAACGTCAGAAAACTCTGCGTGACATTATCCGTATGCACCGATGTTATTTGCAGCGCTGTGGTTTTGTGCAACTTAGAGAGCATAGCCCAAAACGGACGTTGGGGTCCTACGTTCATCAGGGAGATATGCTTCAGCGAAGAGATATTGACAGCCCGACATAGCACTGAAGGCTTCACTGGGATCAGGTAGATGGATAAATTTTCCAGAGAAATTCCATGGTGGAGCCGAATATACTCATGAATGGCGCCATCGGTATCATCATTCAATGGACTTTCAAGTTGCTCCGAAGAAACTCGGGTGTCAGTCAGGCGAGTCGTGTCGAAACCTCTGATAGGCTCCTTTCCTTTACGCGATGGTCCAGCATGCACCTCTGGATCGGAATTGCGCTCATCACTTTGGGGTACTTTCGGTTCACCGTCCGAGCGCGGATTTATAGATTGATATTCCTGACCATGACCTTCTGCAGAAGTCTCCATTGGATCTAAGAACACTTGGTCTTCACCATCCTCACTCAATTCATCCGGGTGTTCGATATCAATCAGGTCCAGGAATTCATCATCCGGTTTTTTGTCTACCGGATTCGACAAAGATGCTGGATGTTGAAAAATTTCACACTGGGTGCTCTTAAGGGGGGGTTTGTTCGAGGCTGCATCGCTGGCATCGGATGCGCACGATGAGTTGTGGAATATATTGCCGGCACACTTCACGCTAGTGTCCGCTTTTGCGGGATGCGCATTTTGTAGGGACTTATATTTAACTGGAGGTCCCTGCATACCAAATCCAACGCTCGGAGGGTAGATAGGATTTCCGTTAAAAGGGTAAGTGCACTTCTTTGACGTTGGAAGTTGTGATGGCGGCGGATTTATTAGAAAAGCCGAATAATCGGCGGCCATAGGCAAGGGTATTTCTTCACCGTCAAGAAAGGTTTTGGGTACAGGGGCACTAGAGCCGAGAATTTCCGTCGGTTCGGTCGAGGTTGGGAGTTGGTGGGTATGTTGAGGACTGGAGGATGACTTCTTTTTGCCCTTCGGAAAATTATCCGCCGTTTGATCGCTTTCGAGATACATCAGAGCCGCCTTCTCAATTTTCCGAAGAGCCCTGGAGCCCTTTGATGAGCTAGCGTGACCGCTTTTGCTGTTGGCTATGCCGCGCACCATTGTGCACAAGTTTTCCACAAAGATTCGATCGATATCCTGTCCCGATGATGATTTGAGTGAAGACTGAATATCCCTGTCTGCCTTATGAACCGCTTCTTCTGCGACTTGTTCCAGTCTCTTGTCTTCTGCTGTCACATGTCCCTTCTCAAGCCCAAAAATCCGGGCCAGAGCTTTTTCCTGGTTAGCACGCTCACGACACACATTGACATCACTTGATGTAGGGGCATGCGCGAGTATAGGTGGCGAAATCCCAGGGGGTAGAGGTGGTGCAGATATCACCAACGGATGAATAAACCCATCATCATCTTCCTCCTGGACGGTTTCTGTATCTGAGATATCCGTAATAGCCTTCTTCCGAGATTCTAGAGCCAATTTTTCAGAGAAGGAAAGTTTCAGGGTTTTCAGAGTGGTCGATGACGATGAAATGCATTCCGCAACTTCAGAGACATAGTCAAGGGTGTCCATATCAAGAACAGCTAAGCTTCTCAAACTTGAAAACTCGGAGAAATTTCGAGGTCCATGAGGATTTTTGCGAACATTCAGCCGTTTCACCAGTCTAACACCACCACTGCCCATGTTTGTTTTGCTATGCAACATGTAGGTTGGAATTGCGCCACCAGAAGGAGGGGCTGGGTGGTGATGGTGAGTTTGATATTGTGAATGGCTAGAGGGTGGGGCTGGAGGGGGGAACTGGAAAGACATATGTGATTTTGGTTTTGGCCGGGTTAAATGAAGGGATGGCCCCGCCTGCAACCGAACATGAAGATTTTGCAGACTCTGGTATTTGCCCAAAGCAGTAAAGACCGATGGACTGATTTCCAATCGAACGTTCCACCTGAATCACGTCAGAATATATGGCTCTTCACGAGAGAAAATAGGTAGTAGATGCGGGCGGGTAGCTTACCGGAAGCTCTCCAACGCAGTTATCTTTTTTATAGTTGCAAGGAGCAGAGTATTCAAAAATTTCCCACAGGTAAATTCATATTTGAATTCTGAAGTTGCTCTTTCTCCTGTATCACCGCTATGGGCAGTATCCAAGGAGATCTCCTTGATATATGCGGCATAGTTGTAGTCACTTGTGGTCAAAGTATCCAGGAGCCCAGCAAGACGATCCACCGGTTGGTGTCCAGCCCTTGCGTCATCGTCGGTAAAAACATGCTTGAACGAGCGGTAGAGCTGGGCGGCAGCTAAGACATGGAAAGTCTTTGAGACGAGAGAAAGGTTGATTAAATCTGAAGGGGAAGCCTGAAGAGAGAGAGGGAAAAAGAAAAAAATGGGGGGGGTAAATGGTTAGCTCATAAGCCATTAGTAGAATAAGGACATGTTGGGCTTATGATGTTCAAAACTAGCAACAGGCTGATGGTACTCACATATGAAAATATGGCATCTAGCGTCTCTGGAGGAAGACGTAAAATAGGTGGCTTTTTCCACCATATCTCAGATAAGGAGACAAAACCATTGTTAACCGGGGAAGGCATTTAGGGCCGCCACACAACTGCCAACTCCGCTAGAGGATGGCGCTGTCGGACGATCTGGCCCAAGGCCTTACCTTAATCTTACTGGCCAGGTGAATGAAAACGGAGAGAAGAGTCTCAAGAAATACTTAGCAGGAGGTATTTGACAGTGAGCAAATATCTATGCACTGAAAGAGCGTTGTCTGTTGAGGGTAAGAAATAAAATAAAGACAACCAGAAAATAGAAGGAAGATAGATAAGCTGTGAAGATGTTCAGCTCAAATGACAAATGATGCAGAATGTCAGGGGTATTTAAATAACAACAAGCAACCAGACAGTAAGTTGCCTACAAGTGGGTTGTGTTGTTAATAGGCACCAGGGCAACAAATGTGGAGAACAAGAAGCTAGCTAGCTATCAAGTTGCGGAGTACCGCAGCTGAGAAGAAGATCTCCAGCAACAATAAAGCAGATAAGGGATGGGAGAGGTATTAGGAGTAGACATAAGGTAGCATACAAGAGGGACTGAAGATTAAAGATAGGGAGTTAAGGGAGTAACGAGTAAAGGAGTATAGAGTAAAAGGAGCAAAGCGAGGTTGGAGGTTGATAGAAAGGACCAAAAGGATAATCCACAACAAATAAAGTTGATGTTGATGTCGTTCCAGCAGTTTGACGCCGGTTCGTGACTGTGATTGGTTGCTGAGTTGCCGAGCTTCTGAGCCGCACAGGAGGCAGCCAAAACTCTGGGGTCAGGTACCAGTACATAGAGTCCAACTTTAAAATATATGAAATTCTAGGTCACTCTAGTTTAGTTGAACTTCCTAGCTTCCAAGGGACAAGCTGACATCAGCATCCGGAACAATCAACCTTCCAACTTCTGACGTTTGTTTAATGATAACACTACATACAGACACCTCTTCTTTTATATCACCATACCACCCAGATTATATATAAATAACTATACGTGTCGCATTGGATACTGCTACAATTTGCCTCCATGCGCTGATTTCCTTCCATTCTCCCTCCCTCCCACATCTCCGCCATGCGTCTCCCTTCCGCCATCTCCTCAGTCCTATCCATCTCCCTCTCCATCTTCCTCCTCACAGCAATCCCCCACATCTCCGCAGAACACACCTCCAATTGGGCTGTTCTCGTAGGCACCTCCCGATTCTGGTTTAACTACCGCCATCTCGCCAATGTCCTCTCCCTCTACCGCACTGTCAAACGCCTCGGAATCCCTGATTCGCAGATCATCCTCATGTTACCGGATGACATGGCCTGCAACCCGCGCAACGCATTCCCCGGAACTGTGTATAACAATGCTGATCGCGCCCTGGACCTCTATGGCGATAACATTGAGGTAGACTACCGTGGCTACGAAGTAACGGTGGAGAGCTTCATTCGACTCTTAACGGACCGGCTGGGTGACGACGTGCCCCGCAGCAAACGTCTGGGATCTGACGCGGGTAGCAACGTCCTCGTCTACATGACTGGCCACGGAGGTGAAAAGTTCTTGAAATTCCAGGACTCAGAGGAGATTGGCGCCTGGGATCTGGCTGATGCCTTTGGCCAGATGTGGGAAAAGAAACGCTATCATGAGCTGCTCTTTATGATTGACACCTGCCAGGCTAACACTATGTACACGCACTTCTACTCCCCCAATATCATTGCTACCGGCTCCAGCGCCCTCTCCCAATCCTCCTATTCCCACCATGCTGATAGTGACGTGGGTGTTGCGGTCATCGACCGCTGGACGTATTACATCCTCGAATTCCTTGAAACCCAGGTTACAAACCAGAATTCGAAACGTACTCTGGGCGACCTTTTTGATTCCTACGACGAGGACAAGATCCATTCTCAACCTGGGGTACGGTGGGATTTGTTCCCCGGTGGCGAGTTCGAGGGGAGACGGCGCATGGTAATGGATTTCTTTGGAAATGTCCAAAATGTCGATGTCGATGGCGACAATGCAAATATAACAGATCCAGGATCTCTGAAAGAAGATCTCGTAGCTATTGCAAGGCTAGTTGAGGAGTGGAAACGGCGAGAGTCACATGAACAAGCGTCATCCATGGAGCCTATCTCATCCAACACAACAGAAACCGTACCCACTTCCACCCCTCCTTACCAAAGGTCTCCTGGTGCTATGAAAATGGATGACTCTAAAAGCTGGAGTAATCAACTCGTGGGACTCTCTGTTTTGACGAGTTTGGGAGCAGTGTGGTTTGCCGGTTCTCTACTTGGAAAGTCATAGTGTTCGTCTTTTCTCTTTTCTTTCTCATTTGCGATGTTTATATTTAGTTAACTGGTCCATGGCTTTTTTTTTTCTTCTTCTCCTCTGTTTTAGACATATATTTCCTTCTTGTAACTCCAGATATTCTTTTTTTCCCCTTGTTCCAGGAAACAAGAACATCTTAATGATTGTATGAACCAGCTACCAGAAGAAAACCTTGTATATATTCTCTATGTTTGCTAGACTGCAGATCTCTACTTTCCCACATTCTGTCTGTCAGACTCCAGTCAATGACATATTATTAAAATCCCATTCTACAGCATACCATAAGTACGAAAATAAGTCTAATGGATATATACCTTTCTATTCGTCAGCTATATAAATTTCGAGATGCAAGCTATATAGAAGCAAGGCAGAACACAGCACCAAAAAGAACAACCGATCCTTACAAAAGAAGTCAGAATGAAAAGCAAAAAAGAAGCAGAACAAAACAAATGCCACAGAAAGAAAAGATCAAACAGAAAGAGCACACAAGAAAAAGAAATAACAAAACACACCCAACCAGCCCACTTCCCCAACATGCAACATACAACTCATAAATATTTAAATCATTTTGTAAATATTAATTTCTTTCTTACAGGGCATCCCATTCCATCCCGTTCCACCGAGCACCTAGAGGGCAAAAAGGAAAGAGGAAAAGCAATCATTAGTAACACCAAAAATCCGTCGTGCAAGACCTTCCTCATCTATCCGTGCTATATACATGTTTTCTTTTGCTTTATGATGAAAATGAAAGGGAACACAGAAGACAGGTATATGCAGATCAGCCTCCAAAAACCAAGGTTAAAACTGAGCAAAGCAAAAGCAAGGCAAATTAAAGGAAAGGAAATCATAAATGAAAACGTGAAATGCATCGGAATGTCGTACGTGATAGGAAACCTGGGAATAGGGGAAAAGTCCGGAGGAGGAGATCGTGGGACGGAACAAGATAGCAGAACGCCTATAACACCACTGTGCTGGAAAATTTGATATGTGATTGGCAAAACAAATGGCGAGGGTTTTATCGTAATATGATTAACCCGCTTAGAATGATTGAGAGAAATCGGGTAAAAATGAAGTAATGGCACTGTTAAACGTGCGCAATAGGCTAGAGAATGGGAATGACAAATTAGTCGATCATCAATCACCAAACCACCTAAATTAACTTGGTGAGTCAAAGGCAGTATGGCGAGCAGTAAATTGTCTGCCATCATATTAAGCACTCCAAACGTTATCCAACCACGCTTCGGAAGCTCAGGGCCTCGAGAAACCCACCCAGATCTTCCTTCTGCACCTCAACCACACAATGCTCGAAACTATCAATTCGCACTCTTGCATTCGTCTCGTGAACGACCTCTTGGAAAGCAATTCCAAAGCGATTTCGGGCAATGCTTCGAGTGCGTAAATTGGTCTGTTCCTTATCACCGTCAGATTCAGAATCAGAACCAGACGAGGAAGAGTTATCGTCCTCGTCTTCTGTCTCTTCTTCCTCGTCATCATTCTCATCATCTCCGCACTCCGCTTTCTCAACAGCCCGCTGAGCACGCCTTTCCTCTCGTTCCGCTCGTCTCTTCTCCTGCGCTTCTTTTTTCTTTCGTTTCTCGTCCCGTCGCTGCGACAGAGCTGCAAAGTCTACCACACCCCCTCCACCACCTGTTCCAACAACTACATAGACGTTCCTATCTTCGTCCAGACCAGCCAGGACGAGTGGTGTCCCAATTGCTCGTTTACCGCCAATCTTCATGCCATCTCCGTTTTCATGCTCCTGTACGCGAACGGCCTCCCCAACCCAAAGTGCGAGTTTAGTCAGTGCCCCAGGATTTGTGAACAGCTTCATATCCGGTCCATCCTTTACCACTGCAATCCTAAACGCACGTAAATGCCGAATTTGGTGCTTGGAGAGAAGTGATGTTCCGGTGCGTAAGATCGCACGATGGAGATGCTGAGCTAGAGGAAGGGCGTTCAAGAGATTCGTTGGAGATTCGGAGGAAGTTAAGGATATGGCATCGTAAGCGCTCCAGAAACGGCTATGTATGTTAGAAGCATCTGAGTCCGAATCCGTAGCATCATGAGACACAGTATCATCATTGCCCTGGGCTCTTCGAAAACGATGACGATCGATATCCATTAAAGAGGTGTCTATTTTCCCAACTTCGAGGATAGCGCCAATAATTACACCGACGTCAGTGGCGGACAGACATGCTTTCCAACCCCAACAGCGAACGAATCCCCAACCTGAATAAGAACCAAATTTACCCCCTGAAGATGCTGGAGGGACCAGCCCTTCCAGTCCGTACAGTGGGGCATACTTGAGAAGTTTTTGCCGCAGCACGCGCTTGAGTTCCATGTCCATATGAGTGTAATTTTGATGGCACTGGCTAAGACTCACACCCATTTTCGCGAGGAGTTTATGGAGGCGTTTGCGCCCAGTTTCGCTCCAGACATGAAGTCGGGCTGCCAGATATGGACTGTGGAGCATACTTTCGTAAAGGGACCAATGGCGGACAAGTAAGAACCGCGGTTCAGGTGAAAGTAGGATAGATGTATCTGTGGGTGAGCGCCCAGTGGTGGGAATAACGTCATGGACTTCACTCCTTAGTGCTTCGCGGCCGGTATCTGAGATATCAGGCGGGTTTAATCGACGCACTTCATCCCGAAGAGCCTGTCGAATACGTTCGCCTCGCTCACCCCCCCAACCCGCCGATCCTCCAGATTCTGAAGCATTAGATATCCCCACACCTGCCATGGTGCGGCCTGAAAGCTCCAAACTAGACACCCCGACAACTGCAAGCCATAGAAGGTCGTTGTCGTCCCGTCCCAGTTCAGATGCAAGAGAGTATAACAGAGATGATATGGGTTCAGAATAAGATGTGCCAAGGGAATAGTAGATTCGCAGGACGGCTTCGTGTTTTCGTTTTAGACGGACCAATCGACGCCGCAGAGTACGCGAAGAGGGTTGCTTTGGGGCTGCTGGGGATTCTGAACCTGATGCGGGTGACGGGGAGCGAGATGCCTGGGAAGAGTCTCCCTGTTCGCGTCCATAACGGTTGGCTAACGTTATTGAAGATCCCTATAACAGTCGTTAGTCGATGTCAGAAAATGGTAGATATTAATATAGTTCTTACAGAGATGCTCCTGCGTCTCTGTCGCGGTGGCCCCTCGTCATCAGACCAGTCATCACCATCATCACGATCTGACAATGACTTTCTTTTCTTTGAATGGGAGCCAGGCTCCTCATCTCGGTCTACGCCACTATCAGAATCGTAATCCTCCCCATCCTCGTCCAATTCAGGCATTTCGAGGAGGGAGCAATAAGCTTCCCTTTCCGCAGTCAATTCTTCCTCAATATCACCATCGTCAAAAACAATTATTCCTCCTTCATTGGATTTGTAAGATGGTGTGATACACCCTTTATCAACGCCAATAGCTTTGTGTCTCTGATTTGGATCCTGTTCCTCCAAATGAACGCGTCGGGGATAACCTCCAAAAACATTGCCCAGATTCCACGGTCTTCTTGCATCAATGACCCATACTTCAACTCCACCCATGCCCCCCGTCTCGTCCACATCGAGGCCTAATATATCGCCCAAATCTACCAGTCCTCCCACACCCATGCAAACAACCACACCCCCACTTCCACCCTCTGTCGTTCGCATTGGACGGACCAACTCTTCTCCAGCACGGGACAGATCGCCATACCCGTTAATTGGCTGTATTTTATGAGGTATATAATCCCGTTTAAGTAATGTCGTAAGGATTCGACAGGCACATAGCGCATCTGGTTCAAGGGCAGCGAGGATAAGTACAGGCGGCGAGAGCGGATGATGGGATCGAAGAAGTTGAAGGTAAAGCTGAGAAATAAGACTCCGGGGCAAATACATCGCAGCAAGATACAGGAGAGGAGATCAAGCAACAGGTACATCGAATTGGTCCAGTTGGGCCTCTCTGTATCATATTGTTTACTGAAGATGTTGCGGTGCTGGAGTAGAAGACGCGGGCATTTTAGCTGCTTGAGTTTCACGCGTCAGACTAAAAGTATCGGAAAGGTATCGCAAATACAAAAGTTACGGTACGGAAAATTACACCGGCATCACGTGGGTACCGGTTTCCACACAAGTCTTTTCATCCCTTCGAATACTTGGGGATAAAAGAGCATTTTTCCTCATTGGAGAATAGGGGTGCGTGAAATAGCTCCTTATTCCAACATCTGAACTTCAAACTTCAAAGAAACGCACAAGTAAACAGCAATCACGGTCCATATACCTTCAATGCAAAAAGTTACCAACTTTGCCACGAGCAGCTTGTCGTGCGGCCAACCATTTGACCCTGGCAATCGATTTTGTCGTCTCAAAATGTGAACTTGCATCTAACGTTAACCATTATGACACATCCCAAATTTGTTTGGATAGAACCAACCAAGGGAACCGGGAAAAGACGAATAATTCATACAGATCTCGCGGCTATTTCAAGTTTCGGCATCCGCAATGGCCCGATAAACTTCCGGCAATCACATACATCACCCACGAGTTTTGACCTCGGCATACCGAGCGTAGGGCAATAATATCATCATCGCCAAATCCCATAGAATATCAAGGCTGTTCGCATATGAATACAAGTCATACCATACTATTTAGTCCTCCTGACAGCCCTTCATCTTCATAATGCCTCTTCTAACCCTCCACCTGCTCACTCTCTCGACGAACACTAATCCGAAAACTTTCATAGAAGAGCTCAAGAAATCTCCAGGGGTCGAGGTTATCGTCTGCTCCCGCCCACGGCATGTGGTTGTCCGGTCCCACATCCTAGACGGAAACCCATTGCAGACCACAAATTGGGACCTGCTAATTCTCCTCCGATCACCACGGAACGCAATTCCGTCCCACCTCCGCGAATCGTATGTAAAGAGCGAGTATTCTATCCAAGCGGGGATTCCGTCAAAGTTGCTATCGACATTTGCAGATCGCGATGCAAAATTGAAGTGCGAAGCATCCTCTATTCCCACTACTGGGGCTCTGGATATTGCTCGCGGGAAGGCTTCGTCTCAAAGCCTGGAACTCTCGCCCGATCTTCTCAAGTTCATGGACGAATTGCTGAAGACCCACGACAAGCCAGTGACGATGCTTAATCTCCTACATTTCCATCAATGTGGGAAACAGGAGTACTTTAAATATGGCCAGGTATGTTATTATCCGCTGTCGTTTCTTGGATTCTTTCCCTTTAAGGTTGAAAGTAATATTTTAATCTGACACTTTCAAAAAAATCCCAGGGTTTTGTCAAAGTCGCCAGCAAAATTGGCGGTGATGCGAAACTAGTCGGCAATGTTGTTCACCCTGCTGCAGATCAATGTGATTCCCGGGGAAATCCAGACAGACCGGAGGAAGATTGGTGGAATGAGATTTCCATTGTCCATTATCCATCCATTCGACATTTCTGCGACATGTTGGCTTCGGAGGAGTATCAGGAGATCAATACAAAGCATCGATTAAATGTAGGTTTGGATTCATCTTTCGAATATTTGTGTGACATCTTTTGAGACATGAGTATGGTTCTAATAATGCGTTCAAATCTCTAGGCTTTGAAAGACACTTTCCTGCTTTGCACTACGGAATTTGATGTCGAAGAGGGTGGGATTCCTGCAAAATTGTAAGTCTGAGGGTGGTACTAGTCTTACGAAATTTCTGTATGACCGACTTTATCTTGGGTATTTTTGACCCTTGACACGATGATAATCTGGCTCCCCAGCCCTGATTGAGAATCAAACTCGGCTCCATCAATCAAGAATTGACCTTCATTTTTAAACCTCTAATTATTGAATCAACCCTTTGAGATTCCAGGTGACCACCAAATGAATCACATCTACCTATAATGTGATACTTTGAAATAGCTTACAACAAAGTTGGTACCAAAAATTGTGTTGCTTTGGCTCTGTATGAGAATTGGGTGCCTGATCCAAGGTAACTTTTAACTCGGTTGGTGATTGGCGGATTTTGGTTCAACCAAGAGTAATATTTTAGATTATAGCTCACCACGCTGCTATATTTTGCATTCCAACACTCAACCTGTGCTTATGTGGCTGCCTGCAGAGATATATGCAATGAGAACAGACAAATGAATCGTCCAATCGATTGCGACCCTATATAACTACCTGTTCTATTCTTAAAATGAATAAATCACTTGGAAGCTTAGAATATTGTGCCTGGTACCAACCATCTCACTATCATGATCGATTAGTTGTGCCTGTGGTTCAAAAATTAGGCACCAGCAAGATTAAATGATCTGTCTCTCCCGTACTTCCTGTGAAGAGCGAACACTTCTCACAGCCATTACTTATGGAATAAATCCATAAGGACTGTAAGAGAAGGATGGATGACAAGGCAAAAGTATACAACTCGAGAATTGAATCCGATGCTGCCCCGGAAGCGCAACCCAAAACCGCAAGTAAGGTTGAAAAGGACTCTCATGGTCTAACTCTCACCGAAAGAGTAGAACAACTTGAGGATGTTTCGGAGAGACCTGATTTCACGATATCAGCAATAGACTGCGAATACAACGTCCATTCCAGGATTATTTGTGCCAGGTCACGGTTTTTCGAAAAGGCCATGAATGGAAACTTCGCTGTACGTCTCTGGATTATAATTACTTAAATATATGAAAACACAATTTCTTCATGTCTCTTTTTACATTCTTCCTCTTTTCTTGTTTTCTTTTCTCCCCCCCACCCCCAACAGTGTGGCTATTTACACATTGAACAAACCCACTAACTTTTGTGTTGTCATAGGAATCAAGGTCAAAAAGAATCCATCTGCCTGAGGAAGAAATGGATAGCCTTGAGTTATTGATTTCCATTCTCTATGGTTTCGAGATTTCATACTATGTAGAGCTTTGGACGGAAGCACAAGATGACTCCAATGGATCGACTGACGGGATCGATAAATCCGAAAGTCGTATTGCGACGCCCAAGCATTCGTTGATGGAGAACAATAAGTGCCCAGATGTCCCTCGACAAAGCGCAGGTCTTCGCCTGTTACGCTTCTACGCCCTGGTTGACCAATTCGATATCTTCTGACTCCAGTCCTGGGCAAAAGAAACGGTGCTCATTTGGACCAAAACAAATGTCCACAGAGGCAGCATCATTGAGGTTATTCGGGATATATACCGATGCGAATCCGGCAACTATACCGAACTCATGGACGGAATATCTGCGATTATTATGGACAATGTAGACATATTGGTCGACCATGACGGCTTTTATTATGTGGTGGCCGAGAATGGGGAGCTTGGGGCAGAGCTGCTTCGATATGTAATATTAACGAACAAAATTGTCATGTCAGCAATGTGCATACACAGTTCATTGGAAAAGCTGCACAATATTGGGGGGCAGAAATTAGTGTATGAAGCTGCGAGATTGAAGTTGAAAATCCATCATAGGTTGGAAAAGTTCCCTGGGCTGTCATCCAGGAAGACAGGTAGTGAGTGAAGCCGTGTATAGCGACTTTCGATATCTTTTATTACCATCCAAACATCAATTTTTCAAACCACTCCACCACGAGTAATCAGTATCTTTGGCAGTGAGCACATTGCGTCAATTCCCGTGGTTGCGCTGCCTGGGTCCTGATATGGCCAGGACATCACCTTCGAGAATTGTTCCTCATCTGTGGAATATTGAAGAGCCAACTCTTCTCGCACAATTTAAATATTTTCACCAACGCTGCTGGCCTAGGAAATAATATTAACAGCACAAGGCGGGTTTACCTGACGGTGTCGTTAACTAGTTACCATGGCTTTTTAAAAATAGAACGGTTAGTCCCGAAAGCATAACTGGTCCCACTGCCTGTGAAGTGACCTTGTGAAGCTCTTAAGTTAACATCGGAAATCTAAAAATCCAAGTTTGTAAACACACAATGTGCAGCTATCTATCGGGTAGTCACTTGGATCAACCTTGCAACTCCGTTGACTTCGGCTCCAACTTCATCTGATAGTACTCGATATCCCACTTTCCCATCACGACACGGGAGTGCTCGACGTCGACGAACCCGTATTTGAGATATAACGGATGTGCCATCATGGAAGATTCGAGAGTTATGGGCACCATCAGATGATCCGCGAGATCTCGTCCCCATTCCAGAAACCGACCAGCGATTCCAAGGCCCCTGTATTCGGGAAGGACGTATAGAGTGTCGAGCTCTGGGAACAATTATAGGAATCAAGTCAATGGGTGGATATAATATACGCATGTATGGATTGTTAAGTGATAAAGAACACTCCAATGGTCAATTGAGTGCATTCTATTCTATGTCTGGGAAAAAGGGGATGGCGAATTGGACAGAAAACACTCACGAATATGTGCTTCCTTAACATGCCTCCACCTCCGATCCGCCACGTCATCAAATATTGCTCTCATAATGCGCTTATCTTCCGGATCATCCAGCCATGGCATATCCGAATCCAACCTAAGCTTCTGCAGTAGAACATAGGTGGGATTCAGCGTGTAATTGGCCATCCCCGCGATCTTCCTTTTGCTATTTTGGTCGACGGCTTTGAGCCATATTGAGTTACTCAAACGTGTATACTTATTGAGCATCTTGTCCTTTAAGAGCTGGCGGTTGCGTGGAGTGTCACTGCCATGGAGGAGAAGTTGAAATTGCTCATCAACAAAAGAACTGAAATGACCCTCGACTATTTCGTCCCAGTCGGAGACTTCGACTTTGGTGATAAAGAAATTCGCCATCGACGAGTTTAGAGCTGACTTCCAGGAACTCCATAAATTTGCGATCCCATCTGCTGTTGTTTCCTATGAGAGCTGACATATAAGATGGGCATCGTACGTAGGATTATTATTGTCACTCCTAAATAGCCCTTTGCTAACCCCTGCCACCGCTTTGCGTCTGCCTCAATGTCGAATCTGCTTAATTGCTGGCGACATCTGCCATCAAAAGAAAGGAACTTCTCTATGATGGGATTTTATCAGATGTGAGAGAGCTGTTTGAGATAGATAGTAGGGTCTGTAAATTTTCTTTTCTACGGCTAATGCATTTTACCGATTGTCCTACAATGATTTTCTTCCAGTAACTACCCAAGATACTTAGTGACCACTCTCGCTGGTCAATTGTAGGGGTTTCCGACAAAACAGCTGAGAAAGGGTCAAGAGTTGCGATGTATTATTTCCATTAACCAAAATTCCATTTTGCGACCGTATTTAGGCTTTTGAGAATTCAGCGGATGCTTTATTTTATCGACTAGCTGAGGCTCAGCACGTTCTGTTATCGCTTTCTACCTTGGTATCCCAATCAGAACCCTATATCCGCTGCTTAGTTTATATCTCCTAGGGGTCAGTCAAATTTTCTATCACGCCCAAAGCCGTGCCGCAACCGTTCCAGGAAACTTCATGTTTGATTTTCGATTAGTATTCATGATATTCTCGACCAGCGCTTGAGTCGTGTCAAAACCGCATCCAAAACTAAAGCTCTGGGGAATAACGTTAAGCCACTTAACATCATTGTGATCACAGATGGTCGTCCTACCGATGATGTGGAAACAGTGATATCCCATGCAGTGAATCGTCTAGACAAATGTAATGCTAAACCTTGGCAGGTGGACATTCAATTTGTGCAGGTTGGAAACGACTCGAAGGCAACGTAGTGGTTGAAGAAACTCGACGATACACTTCACAAAGAATATAATATTCGGGATATTGTTGATACAGCTCCGTGGTCCGGGAGCGAGCTGACACCAAATATGATCATGAAAATCATGCTTAGGGGGGTTGATAAGAGATATGACCGAAAAGCTAGGGTCAAGAGGACCGAATAAAGGTACCTTGTTTTTAACCTGCTGGCTCTAGCTCCTATTCTGGGAAAACCAATTGACAGTTCGCTCCTTTCTGCGGTCGTCGCGTACCCATTTATTCCCTGTTTGGTATGCGTGGGAATTTGCTCTGCCTCCATATCTCCCATGGTTCGCATCGGTTTATATCTGATGGTGATGTCCTCTGTCATGTTAGAAACTCTCCAGAGCCAAATACTGCTCTTTCTTGTCTATCCATATGATGTTCCCTTAGCATGGCCTTATAAGTTTCTTTGTCACTGTCTAACATAATTGAGTCAGTAATATTCATAGAAATGAAAGATCATCAACACTAGAATTCAACTGAAACTCAAGTCAACACTTGAAGCTTGCTCTGAGACACACCATCTTCCTTCAAACCCGCAGAGATTCTGGCCGAGCAGGTAAAATTCGACTGCATCCCAGTGGCCACATTGAGAAAAATAGGTAAGGTACATCAAGCAGAGTTCAATAATGCACATTGTTGCCACAACTTGCCGTTCACAGAGTCACTTTCCTTCGATGAATCCATTCGTCCTGGCAGCTCGGAGTGGCCTCATGGGATGGAATACTTAAATAATGGCTATATATATAGCATCAGAAACACCATGGGGGTTTGGTGGAAATAACGCCATAGCGCTGATTCGGTTTCAAAGGGCTTCATACACGCATTCCTACCCACTCTGTAGAGAAACTCTATGCGGAAGCTCGCTCATAGGAGCTGAATGGTATTCTCGAGCGGTTTCATCTGCCCCCCGCCCAACCCTTGGACAACCACTTTCTCAACAGCGAAAGGCTTCATGGTTACCTGCTGGGCTTTGATAAAGAGCAAAAGTGGGCCTTGAGTATGAAAAGCTGTAAAAATCCAATCATTAAATAACTTGCCACCTTATGTTCAAGAGACAGTAAAGGGGAACGGTAATGAATCTCCTATCACTCCGTGAGTGGCCACCATCTAGTCTGGCTGCGGGATTTGATCATGTGGGTAAACAATCCCCCTCCCAAGATACTTTAAGCGAGAAAACGGTGGGTACTGTATAGTTTCGTGACAATGGTAGTGGCATATTCAGGTTCTAGGCCAAGTTCTCATCGTCAGTTTGTATATAACTAGATTCCAACAACAGAAGCTCTTCGACCTAGCTCTTCAACCTAATCCTTCACTGGTAGTCCTGTGCTACAAGGTGCGGATGACAGCCAGCGACATACGCATGAGCGGAAAGACCAAGGGTATTTTATATTTGACACAGTCTGTCAGTCAAGAGAAGACACAGAATTACTCCATGCATGTGTAGGGACAACATCGCCAGTATTCTGTGCTGCGGTGGAAATTTCTCCATCCAATGAAGTATATGAGTTCCACTATTAACTTTATCCTCGACGATGTGGGACAAACACACCCAACTCTGCATACATTCCCAGGGCCTCTTAGCACAGGCTTTGAGGGGGCGAGAAACGAAATAATTTGATCTTATCAACTTTTAAGGTGCGTGAACCCGTTCACTAACAGTGGCAATTCTTTAACGGTGCGGGTTGCAATAGAATAAACCTGAGGCAGGATGCCGGTCGGTGACCTCTCACATATGCTCTAGCAAAAGCTTAGGCTGGCTGAATATCAAAATGTCAATTTCTTTGAATCTTCGCCATCATTGATGGGTAACTATCATGGCGTCGTTGGTTGGATGGGATGGTCTAACTGAGCCTCGGCAGGGACCAAGTTTTGGACAACCCAAAAAACGCAAACCACCCCCCGTGTGCCGGCATCATCCATCGTCTTTCCTCTCATCATTCATCAGTTCTCAATGCTCAAGCCCTCATTTACAGATCCGCTCAAATACCTTCCAGGGTTAGTCTCAAAGTTCCTGGACACTTCAACCATCCAGGTACCACGCTTACATCCATACAGACGCCGCTCGAACCGCTAACCCAATCTAAAGCACTAGCATCCAATGGGGATTACCACTTAAGGACCATGCTGTGGCCCGTGAGAAACTTGCACTGCAGCCTGGTAAATGCTGCGTGCTGATTTGCTTGTTGTTCGACGGCTTCTGCTATTGCGCTGGCGATTGCGAACTATTGACCAACTGGTGGCCGCCAAGTGGGCCCAAGGAGGCCGAGAGTCTCCTTTTGGCTGGAGCTGAGAAGAAGCTAGCCACTCATGGATGTTCATTGTTGGGAATTGTCGAGATGAAGATTGATACCTACATCGCCTATACAGTTACTGGGCAATGGAGGGGAAAGTTTCTCGACTTCGCATGCTACGGTAATCGGAAGGTTTTGGTTTGTTTTCATTTCATATTGGTTTGTGATTTGTTTCTGTAAATTTGCACGATTGAAACTGGCATCGAAGAATACTATTTCGATGGAAAGTAACTCACTAACTTTGTAGAGTTCCTGTCTAGCATCCCTATTCGCTCAAATATCCCTTTTCTTTTGTTGGCGCCACGAGATTTCCAGGTTGTTGTACCTTGGAACGGGTCAGGACTGGTGGATGCAATAGAAAACGGAGCGCCACATGGGAGATGGGAATTAATGCAGGGAGAGGAGTAGATTCCACCACTACAATTATGGGATTATTCGCATCCTCATACGCCCACGGTGACATCTTTACTGTGAAAATGCAGCCCCGGAGCATGTCCACAGGGCCAATAACTACTGGGTAAACTGGCTCCATGGCCTTCGATCTCTTACACGGCCAGAGGCAGCGTCAAGTCACCCCTGCTCTGTGTTCAGTAACGGGTATTCATCTTCCTCGCTAGTCGCATCCACCATCGCGCTCCAGAGCCAGAGACCAGCACCATAATTTTGTTCTGCCAGTGACGACACCCGTTTCGCTATATTAGTGTCACCGTACCGCCAAAGCCACAACGCCAAAAGTGTTTTATTATTTGTGTCTCGTTAACCATGGCGATTGTTGCCAAAAGATTTGACGACATGCCTTGCTTGGTTTCAACAGCCGCCATTCCATAAAGACCGTTTGCTTCATATATCCCCTCCGACCCCCGCTTTGTTAGAAATAATTTGAATCCCTCATCCTATTTGCTCTCTCAGCAAGCTCCATGATTTCTCCTGCATAATTTCATCTCCATCAAAATCAAGAGCGCTTCCGTAAGGTCTGGCAACCTCCTTGGACGCCCTCGGTTGTCACCCATCGACCGTGCTTTCATCCTAGAACTCTTCCTCATCCTGAGGCACGTTGCGGATTTGAAACGAAATTCCTAAAAATAACATCCAGCAGCAACGATTCTCAGGTTCATACTCGGGACTGGGTTATGTCTTAGCAGCCTTATCTCAACAAGGCTGCTAGTTATATAAGAGACTCTGCGCTGAGTACGGCGCGGACTTTAATATCTGAATCGGGCTATTCGACTGGCGGCAGAGCTATATCAAAGCTGAGGAGTTTCCCCTGGCCGGATCCAGGTTCCTTTCTTTTGATATTCTTCCATCCGTTTTCGGCCTGTTCCATTCAGTATTTACCACTTCTGAATAGCTCTGCTGAAGCTATGGACAGCTCATCTACTACGCTGATAACATTCCTTGTGTAAGCTTGACGTCATATTAAAACCTTTCTGAACTGTGACTGACAGAGCAGTAGTCGAACCCCTCCAAATACCAGTTTTGTGAAGCTCCTTGGATCATGGGACAATTTCACGAGAGCATATCCCATGGAGAGGGACAGTCGAATTGGCAAAGGCTATTGGAAAGGATGTCATACTTTCACAAACATAATATGCGATGGTGAAATAAACGCACTTCCCCCAGGACGAGATGGCGGTCTGAGAATGGGTGGCACGTATTGGTATTATGTAGGTTTTTCAAATGTTCCTAGGGATTCTTCGAACTAGAAAGCTGACTTTCAACCGTAGTACCTAATTGACAATGAAGTTGAATTTTTTAATGAGGCGGAGCCGGTGACCACCTCTTGCCCTTTGCTCCCAGGCCAGCCATTGAACGTCCTCAACGTTCCGATACATTTACCATCCACAGAAAGCTTTCATACTCGCGACACCAATCACGTCTCACAAGTAATCGGTCATGAAACGATGAATCCTGACGACAAATATATGAATCCGAGACCTCCACCTCGGCCTACTTTACCTCGACTCACCACCTCCCCGGCGATGCTCATGCGTAGCGACTACGCTTTAACCCCCACTCTCTCTGCCGGATCATCACTATCTCCTGCTCATGGAAGAAGTGTCTCCCACCCGCGTGCCATCACCTCACGCCGCAGATTCCGCATTGGCGGCAAATTGTCACTAGACCTTAAAATTTCAATTAATCCTTCCACCAAACCCAATTCGCTTCGATCTAGTATAATGAACGTCGCATCCCCAAGATTCGGCCGAAATAATGAGAACAGAGGTCGTCAGCCTCGTGACTGGGCGAAATACCTCATTGTGAAAGTTCCAGGTGTAGAATTGAATTCAAACAGTTACTCCAGTAACTCATCACCCATGTGGAGCCCCGCCAGCAATCTAAACAAGCTATTGCCACATCCTGCTGGTGGATATATGTCCAGTGAACAATCGAATCAGGACAATTCTCTTCGAGAGAGCAGGGGTCCGTCTCCTTCAAATACCACATTGACCTTTAACAATTCTTCACTTCATGGACTTGGCCCTAAGGAAACCGAACGCCCTCAATGGCGACCTCTCGATGCGTATCGAGACTCGATATCGCAGCAAAGCACGCCCAGGTTTATCCCTCGATGGGAATCAAGAGGTGATACCTGGGCCCCAGATATTTCATCTCCCCTGGATCTGTACGAGAAACGTTTGCCAACACTCCCGAACAGTCCGACATCCGCTCTCGACTCAGAATTGCACTCAACGGGAGAGGAACATCTTCCTATTAGCGAAGAAGAGTACCTGCAGAGCCACTTTTCCGACTTCACTGCTGAGTCTCCTGATGATTCCTGCTCTCCGGACTCCTTACAGCCGGGTGGTAGCCGCTTTTCGGAATATAGCACGGATACAGACGATGCATCACCCTTCTCCATGACATCTGCCTCAACGATTAATAGTTATGGCACATTCTCTCCGACAACCAATGAAGACAAGGAGATAGCATTTGAAGTGGCACTCGCAAACCCACCTCCGCAGGCTATCTCGTCCCAAAATAGTACGCAGCAATGCCCATCCAGCACCTTCAATTATTGCCCTGAAGATGTCGATAAATCCTCCCTCTACATCTCAAAAACCCCAAGTGAAGACGACGGCAGTGGGCGCCCTACACCCAACAGAGACACCAACCCCAGGCGAAAAAGTACTGATAAATCCCCTGCAACACCCTCGTGGAAACATCTAATCCTAAAACATAATAACTATTCACCAAATACCAACTCCTCCATCATGGAAGATAATTTCAATAATTCCAACCTCCCCACTCCGCGCCCAAAACCGACAAATGATCAAGACCACCGGATGAAAAATGATAAACATGCTATGACCCCTTGTTGTGGCGTTAGACAAGGACTACAAAATCCCTATTTCGATTCTGCAATGCAGGAGTTAATGAACGAGTTGGGATATTTGGGAGATATTATTCAAGACAATGCCGTGAAAAGTTATTGAAATGGGTCACCCACGGCCTCCCGGCATTTTTTGACCCGATATACGACATTATCCGGTCAAAACTTGGTGGGCCTTCAGCTCCATATCTAGGTCCTTGAAAATGCAGAGTACTCCCACTCTATCATGCATATTTTGTGTTTCGCGTTATTTCTCCATTTATAGAGCACAATATGTTTCTATCGCGGTTTTAGTATTGACTAATATTTCCTTTACCCCTTTTCCCCTTCTTCTCATTAGAGATCATATTTAATTAGGGTTTTGTTGGATTTCTTAGCGTCCTGCAATGTTGTTTTGTTATTATTGTGTTGGATAGCGGGATTGGTTCTGCGACTCAATAGGGGCTGGCTTCTCTACATCAGTATTGCGTGCATTAGGAGCATTACATATTGGGTGTGGGTAGGTACTGAGCATCTGCGTATATATATATTATGAGGCACTGGAAATATCGTAACATAGGAAAACTATGGATTTGCATGACTTTGTGGGTTTGAATCATATTTTTATTTTATTTTATTTTATTTTGGCTCGAATCCTCTGATGAATACTTTTGGGAGAGATATGGACAATTGTATGTAGGATACGACCATTCGTTTGGACATCTAATGATAGAATGAGGCTCTGGAAGCATTCCGTTGTAGTTAAACCCTTAAGAGCTGGTTGTTGAGTTTTAACTATGGTTAACTTCCATGACGCAAAACATAAATATTCGACCGTCGGATGGATTGCATCGCGATATCAAAAACGTCACAAAAATTTCACCATCAACTAACCTGGTCGTATTGTAAACACTCAAATTTTACTCTCACTTTCTATCCATTTTCACAAGCATTCTATCAAATTATAATGCCCACATCCTCCGTTGTGAAATCTCAGCGTAAAAGTTTCAATTTTACATGCGAAACCTCCAACCTTGTTCAATACTCAGAACACCAAGGCTGCTCCAGTCCTGGACGTGATTCACATCTATCTATCAAAGCAAATTAAACGCGATGATCCAGATCATGCCATTTTCCTCAGAATAACCACTTCCTCCCCTTTTAAAGCCTCCCCCATTTCCAAACTAAATCCATCTACGATGAACCCTCAGCATCTCCCCAAGTTGGCCACTCTGGCTGAGAAAACACTCGCGTCAAAATGCAAGCCCGGATCAATGTCGTACTGTCCAACAATGGACCTTATCGCGTTGGCCAGCGCGGACGAACGAGTGGATGTTTTCCGGTTGAATGGGCAGCGGGTATTTGGGGGTGTTTATGGCGGAGGTGGACGCGGTGGTAGTGGAAGAGAGGTCAGAGGGTTGAAGTGGAAAGGGAACGGTAAGGAGATTTTACAATATATACTCTTTGTTTGGGGAAATGTTTAATTTTTCTCCTTTATGTACTAGATGTTTTAGTTTTATCTGGAGATCCTTGTTATTACATTATTTGGCGAGGCTTCACTTTCCGAGATCTAACAGCTGCCTCCAGGCCATCTCCTCGCCGTCGTCTGTTCAGACAACATTATCCGCATATTAAGCGCATACAGCGGCAAAATTGTACATCAACTGCCATGTGGCCCTTTGTTAGCATCTCATTCAACTGCCTCTGTACCACCCTCATCGCTTTCGCCCGCAGCGGATGCAGTTACGTGTGTATCCTGCCTTGGCTGGGGGATGAACTTTACCGATGACAGGAGCGCATTGAAAAACCTTCAAGATGCAGAGAGAAGAATTACTGTCCAAGATCTACTGACGACGCACTCGCAATTGTCGAAAATTGCGCAGCTAAAAGCAGATTTGCCGCGAGAGCTGGCTATGCTAGATATGGAGCGGTCGCTCCCCAAGTTGAGCACCCTACCATCGACGGGGAATGAGTGAGCTTCTGTTATTTTTTAATCTTTGCATCTATAGTTTAATATCCTTTTCTTTATTTTTATATTTTATTTTTTTTACTAAGATGTTTGTTATAGCGATGATGTGTTTGGCACTCGAGCATCGATTGATTCCATCTTTCATGCTACAAACAAAGTAACCGGTGACTCTGTCGACGTTTTGCTAGCAGGCTTCGATGATGGGACCATTCACCTACGGATTTTCGACTGTTTCGATATTGGTCTCTTTCCTGTAGGAGGCTCTCTTGGGGATTCAACGGCAAACAGAATTTTGCTTCATTCTTCTCATCCAATTAGCTCAACCCATTCCCTCTTGTTCTCCACGGAGAGTAATCTGCTCCTTGTCAATCTAGATCTCCGATTCATTACGAGATGCGGGCGGTACCTGTCTCTCCTTGCGTCTAAAGTCACGCAGTTGCAAAATTTGTTGCGGTATATCAAGCAAGTACAGGCTCAGATTCATCTTGAGTGGAAAAATGCGCAGGACCTGCCGGGAAGGTATATTAGGAATGTAACTGAGGATCTACAGGACAAATGCTCATGTGATTTTGTGACTGCTGCGTACCACCTCCTGGTGACTGGGGATTGCTTTCCGCCACTTAAGGAGTTTCTCGTCGAGATCCTTGGCGAGAGGGTAAGTAATGTACTCCAAATTATATCCAGCTACACAACAACACAGCTCCTAACCTATGTTTAGGGCCATAAACGTTGGGAAAAGGCGGTTACATCAGGATATGAAGCACTGAGAAGGCTGACTCACGAAAGTCTCCTCCCTGCACTGGAAAGATGCGGAGTCCTTCTGAGTCGGCTTCTAGGGCTATCAAAGTTCCACAAGCTTAGCCCGATCCTGGGCTTGGAAACAACCGATCTTGAGAAATGCCAGGAAACTATTGACTGCCTTAACCTTCTGTCCCATAAACTTTTGATCCATAGCAGCCGCGAGCTCCTTGAGTTTGCTGCCTTCTCAAAATGGTTGAGACATGAAGTGGATCTACAGGCGGCCGATCCGCTGTCTTCAACGTATGAGGAACTGACGGAGAGCAGTGATTCACTCGACCACGCTCAAACTTTGAGCTATATTCAGGGAGCTATGACGCGAAGCGCTCTTCAGGATTTCATCCAACCTGCTCCCGCACAGTCACAGCCTGATCGATGGGAAACAGTGGGGCGTGACAGCTCGTTTTATGAAACATATAAGAAACTACTTCGACAACAGGATCAGAAGAAATGGACGGACAGGATCGATATACCACTTCTCGGCGATCTCACTTCCCGCCTTGGCTTGCAGTGTGAAAAGGTGTTTAAGCAGATAGCTGAGACACAGCGAAGAGGCATACTGCACAGATCTCCGCTATCCCTAGACCCGGATTGTAGTGCAGATGTAATAGATATGGCGATGAATTTCAGTGTAAGCTGCTGTGGCCATTCTAGTTCTGCGGATGATTGCTATTAAACTGACTGTATCGCATTCGTTTTCTAGCCTTTTGAGAATTCTACATATGCATCTGTATACATTGCATCGAAATCGAAAAGCTCATCATGGATACGTAAGACCAACGATTGATCCTAATCCTGTCTTCCAACTAATTTTTTTTATCTTGTAGTTTATCTGTATAGAGTGCTGCTCAACACAGTCAACGGCGTCAGCTCAACCAAGGCTGCGTTCCTAGCAGTATTAAATCTGCAAAATGGGAATATAAAACAAATCAAGTTCGTTGAGGATGGAACAATGATGCTTCTATTATCTGACGGCAACACCCATCTCGTCAGCTTTCCCTACCTCCCAAATCCTGATGGTTTATTTCACCCCAACTACATCAGACTCAGTGACAGTCCTGAAGCTTCAGCTACATCATCTACTTTGCCATCTGGGATAGCCGAAGATGACATAACGCACCTGTACCTCGCAGATCCACAGCAGCATGCTGACTTTGTGAAACACACTTTCACAGGGCAGGGAAATATGGAGCCGGTCGAGTTTCAAGTCAATGGGCGGAAAGGGAGGAGGGTGGTGTGTGTTTTGTACGCAGATAGACTAAGATATTCTGTGTTTGATATGGATAGTTCTGAGGATGGGCAAGTGGACGAGGAGAATAGCGAGGAAGATCCTGAGGATGTGAATTGGGGTGACACTGGAGATGGAGATGGAGATTGGGATAATATGAAAGTTGAGAAATAGCCTGTGTTGATGTTATTTGTTTCTCAGTGAGATGCTACGGTTAATTTTTTTATTTTTTATTTTTTATTTTTTTATTTTTTATTCTGCGTTTTGTATGTGATTTCTTCGCACAGATCAGAAAATTATATGAATACAAGGGGTCATCTGGCCTGCTTGAGACCATTAGCAGGTGAATGGCATGGACTGGGGTTCAATTAAACTCAATAATGCTCTTCCTGAAGCTGTACCCATTCATGGTGTTTGAGAGCACAATAGGAGGGGAAGGGCAAAACACTGCCTAGGGTGGATCGGTAGGGCTGAGAGTCGAGAGTAGAAGAATAAACTGTGTAAAGCATCGAGTCAACCTCGAGTCAATCTCAAATACCCCAGACTTTCAAAAATATGTCCATACAGCCGTATACACATCTCCATAAGTCCACTTTTTCTTCGAGATACTGGGTATCAACCTCCTAATATTCCACTGTTAATGAAAGGACCTTCGATGCCAAGCCGCCAATAGCTGCGGATGCCTTAACTAGTTAACTTACCTAACCCCGCTGACTAAGCCCACCTACCGCGCTGGACAAAGGCCAAGAGCCTCATGCCCTCCCTCTGTTTGTCCTTCCACACTCAGCTAATCCTCCAAACAAACATCCTCCAAACTTCTACCTCAACCTCCAACCTCCAACCACTCCAGACAACAACCCTCCCCGCTCACCACTCACCTCCCCCAAATTCTCCGGAGACGTAGAACCATCAGGCTACCTAGGCACAGAACAGAGCTTTCCTTTTCTGCCTCTGGGCCTAGATACTCTTTTTAACCCCTTCCCCCACTCTCTTGTTTTCCTCTTAGCCTGTATTTATTCCACCCCCCCCTCCTTTTCTTCTTCCTTAACCTTCTCTGGGCGGGCAGAATCTCTAGGGTTGCTGGGACACAAAGCCTTGTTGACGACGCAACGCACATCATCCGGAACCCTACCCTGCTATTCTTTACAACCGTCCTGTATATCTCCGGAATCTTGCTCAATATATCCCCCCCCCCCCCCCACCCTCC